ATGTTAAATTTAACACAAAATTTTTTACAGTCAGTACATCGACGCTAGTGCCGACGTTACGAGCGCGAATTTCGAATCTAAATCTTATATCGATGCTGCGGCTTTGAACGCCTATATTTCATCAACAAAGCGACATGAAATAAAAAAAACACACGATCCCGCACACGTCCATGTCGCTCTTTTATTATCTATTTCGAAAACTCGAGTATTGTTTGACATTCTGAGAGAAAGCAGTGTAAAACTGATTTTAATAACGCAAGCAGCAAAATCGACGCAAGACATTCTCCTGGATCGAATAGAGGTTATAAAACACAGTTCGATTTATCGCGAAACGACTTACTCCGATTTTAGAAGATCATTGTGTAAATACGACTGCAGATTGTGAATGCGATCCATTGGACAATTCGTAGACAGTTGATATCCAATTCATCTGTATAAACAATATAGTATTAATATTATCATATATACTACTAAGTGCTTAATACATATTTCAAAATATCTAACAGATATCTTGTAATACCTGAAACAGAAACAGTCCGTGCTGCTACTGCCTTCGTCGAATTCTACAACATTTAGGTTATAAAACACGCAGATTGATTAATCACGCGATACAGGCGTTCTTATTGCCACTCCGCGATCACGCGAACTTTTCTTCGAAATTCCCGAAAACGCAACCCGCGTACTTGCTATTGTTGTACAATATTCACAAGCAAGATTACAAAAATTCTGCGCGTGTCTTTCCTCATTCTGATTTCGAAAGATTGCGGCATAAAATGATCGTTGCTTTTACCCACGCAAGTGTAAGGCCTGACGCGCCACCACTCGGCAGGATCAAACTTTACAATCCAATGAAGGTTCGATGGTAATTTAATCGACGCGTAATTCTATCTATCATGATCTTGCGACACTTTTTTCGACATTCCGAATAACACGCGACTCACACATATTTGCTAATTCAATGAAATGACCATGAACGAATTCGCGAAAATTATAATTATTTACTCGGGGATTCCAGAAAATCATGGCGTAAACACAATTGCTAATTGCGAATATAAACTGGACGTCTTATAACCTTCATATCAAATGATACGCGACTCGTCGGTATTAAAGATCTGTATATTAATATCATCAAACATGCTACTGAATATTTCGAAATGTCTAGTGAATCGTACCTTGCAAAAACTGCCGCAGGTAGACAAACACACTGCTGCTCCTCGCATCGAACTCTACGATAACATTTAGGTTATAATACACGCAGTTCGATTAATCACACGGCACATATCGATTGCCACTCTGCGATCACGCCGGCGAATCTTTCTACGGCATTCCGGATACACAATAGAGAGTTTTTGCAAACATATAGTATAGATACGGTAAACGCTAAAATGACGTCTCGAGTCAAAAGACCAAACTGCGCATGTGCATCGGTCACCTTAACGCTATTCAGATAACGTGCGAACGTTATTTCTGAAAAATAGCGTTCACGAGTAACGTCGACGTTATGGCTACCAAAATGAAATCTGAACGATTGAGATTCACAAGATGATCTCATATTTTTAAGAGAAATTATATCCAAAAATCCATATGAAAAGAATAAAAAACCTCCATCTTATTATAAAATACTGTTTTATCGTACGTCACCGTAGCATTCACCGTGCAAAAACTTTTTTGAAGTAGGCGATGTAAAAACGGAATACGGCATGAAGTCACGTGACTTCAGCGTTTACCGTATCTAAAATACGGAATTGCAAAAACTCCCTATTATATTTGTTAACATGACGATTAGTCTGTTCCTGCACTGCTGAACTGGTGCAATAAGTTAGAGTGAAACAAGTATATTTTTTCTCATTTTACATACAGGACCAGTTCAGCAATTCAGCTACAGAGAATAGCCCTAAAATGATCATGAGTGAATTTGCGAAAATCAAACATGCTACAAAATATTTCGAAGTGTGTGAATGAATCTGTAATAACTGAAGTAGGTACATCGACGCACTGCTGCTCTTCCCCGTTGAACTCTACGATCGAGTTTAGGTTATAGAGCATGTAGATTGATAAATCGCGATGTACGCATATTGATTGGCACTCCGCGATCACACAAAACTTTCTCCGAACGCGATCCACATATATTTGTTGTCACCATGCAATATTCACGAGCGAAAATTCCGTGCGCAACGTTAAAGTCGGTTTATGATGGCCGTAATCCGTTAACTTATGCCGGAACCGTAAAAAATTGACTAATTATAGTCGAATTATAGAAGAATAATCGATTGTGATTGGTCAATCTTTTACGGTTCCGGCATAAGTTAACGAATTATGGCCATCATAAATCGGCCTTTAGACTAGTGGCACACAAAAAAACTTAAGCAATAAAACGTAAGCAGTAAGCAAATTGACCAATCACAGCCATTGATTCTTCTTACAGTCCAAGAATCAACGACTGTGATTGGTCAATTTGCTTACTGCTTACGTTTTACTGCTTAAGTTTTTCTATGTGCCACGACCCTTACTCCGATTTCGAAAGATCGTCTGATCAACATGGCCGCTGATTAGGAACGGAAGCGACACCACACTTCCAGATCAGACACTACAATCGAATCGAATTTTATTTGATTATCGATGATAATGGCTACGTTCAGCAGGAAGCTGCTTTGCAACTGTTATAAAATTCATCAATCTGATTGGAGTATGCTCTTAATTTTGGTTGAATCCAAGAACATGTACCAATCAGATTCACAAATTTTACAACAGTTGCAAAGTATCTTTCTCTGCTGAACGCAGCCAATGAATAGGCAATCGAACTACGCGTCATCGCTCTTTTCATTCAGTCTCGAATGTAATTTTGTCAACACTATATGTAATCACTTTGTATCTAATTAATTTGTTAACTCATTACTATATATAATCCTAATTTCTAGAACGACTCGAATAATTATAATTGAAAACTAATACGAGCCGTCATGTACACATATTTCTGAATTTTAATATCGTATATTGTAATGTTTTATATGGCGACAATTTTGATTACCTTATTCTGCAAAACCTTATTCTTTTATAAAGAGCTACTCACTATTCGTTCCTGATTTATATTGATTTATCACCTTTCAAATAACGTCTTGAATCGCAAAATGTATCGATGCAAGCGACTTATCCGCATTTATATATTTGACGCCGTGCAATCTTATTTTTACATGTCAAAAACAAAGATATTTACTAAGCAAAAATGTTCTTTTTTTATTCATGTACGTATGCGCCAGGTCATCGATGTTATTAACGATGAGATCTTGGGAAAGAGATATAAAAAGCAAGGATATCTCTTCTTTTCCCTCGCGATCGTCTGAAAACCGACGCAATCAAACCTTAATCGCTTCTTTTTATCTACGAAAACCTTGATAAAGCCGACACCTTCGCAAATTTCATTCGCGCTACAAGAGCGGGGGTGAATTTCGGGCCCGTATCGCCCGAGCTGACGGAGAAGAGAGTGGCGCGACCAGTTGCGACCAGGGGATGGAGACTGGAATGGGGTAGAGCGTATGGTAATGGCGCGTAATACGATCTGATTGCATTTATGATGAATGGGGGTCGCGGTGTGGCGGTGGGACGCGTGGGAAGGGGGACACGGGGCGACGCGTGTCGAGTCGGGCGGTCGGAAATTCTGCTTGCGGTTTAATGACAGTGCCAACGCTCGCTCGCTCTCGTTCGATTCTCGACCCCTCGCTCGCGCGTTCGTTCATCCCCATCCTGCAACCGCCGAGCCGCACATCACCCTCGGGCTCTCAACGCGCGTCGAGCTGCTCGCACGCGCGAACGAACGATGCATGCATGCATGCACGCACGCACGCACGCACGCACACACGCACACACGCACACACACGCACGCACGCACGTATGCACGCACGACCGAGCTCTCGGACCATGTTTGCCTTAATTTGTGCGACGAGTCGAACGCACGAGCAAACGCAGTTTTCGCGATTCGGAGGGTAGCCCGTGTCTTCGAACACAGGAGTGGAATCGGGAGAATTTACTTTCCCAAAATAAACGGAAATTAAACGACTGAATACAAATTCAATACAAAGTTTTGTTATGTGCGGAATGAGGCAATAATTATTACCATCTTGAATATCTTCGATGCAAAAAGCGATGATCATTCCCAGACAGCATAAGATCTCCTGAGAACGAAGAAATGTTCTCAGGACTTCCTCAGGATGTACTTTGGATGTCCCCTGGACATCTGTGCTGTTAGGGTTAGATCTTCGATGTCATTTCGGAGAATAAAGTATAATCATCATAAGACACTTTTTTCCAAGTAGACTACTTCAAAAATCTGAAGACTATCTTTGTTTTTTGCTTCAAAGATATTTAAGGTAGCAATAGTTAGTGTACATAAAATGTCACACTGTACATAAAATTTTATCGAGAATATTGAATTTGTATGCAATCGTTTAATTTCCTCACTCTTCATAGAAAATGCTATATACATGCATGTGATTTTCGCAGTTTAAAGACTGATTTCCCATAACGGATTTTCCGATTAATTTCAAGCCGATCTTGAAGCACTTCGGCGAGGACTTTATCGCGCTTACGGGCGGTTTAAAGATTTCTTCCCTCTTGCCACTGATTCACTTTTAGACGCAACGATGCGTGCCTCCGATAACGATTTTACGAGCTTCATGTGTCCGAGGACATACGGCGATATGGGATCGTAAGCCCCATATCGTGCATTCGGATCTGGGTCCCATCGTTCGACCGCGAATTCACAATGTCACAGAGCAATATCGAGATATCGTGACGAATCACCAACCTTGCCAAGGAAATTTTTCTCCCCCGACTAACCAGTATGAGTAATGACCTCAGTCTTATTTATCGCGGATTTGCGGTTGCTAAGAAGAGCAAGGACGCATAAACGTGATAGTGTCAATGCAATAGCCAAATTCCAAGTAAAATTTAACTGCACTATAATGAAACTCCCGGATATTGGTAGGAACGATTAGCTACATCAGTTTACTGCTAAACTAATTTTAATAATGATAAATTACTGATACATAACGAATGTGTTACGAGGAACTGAGTTTTCTACTGCCCAAAAACAACATCCACCTTTGCAAAGTCAAATGCAGGTTCCTCTAGAATTATTCCATCGGATCGAATGTACATGGACAAGTAGCTGTGCACGAGCGCGCGCACATATACAAATATACGAGGAACTAGAGTTTCCCGGTGTCCCCAGAGAGTGATTGAGTGGATTGCCTTGACGCTCGGAACTTTCCACGCCTGAGAGTCACCTTCAAACTTCCCTCTTGGCTTTCCCTCTCCTCTTCTATCACCACGAAGCGGCCGGTGTCTCTTCGTTTCGTCTCTTCTATTCTTTTCCTCTTTCTGCTTCACCTTTGTCTTTCTACACGTTCACTCCCGACAAGGAGGAACGAGCGCTCTCAGACAGGAAGATAAGTGACCGTCGAAATTACTCGGTTCCGGCAAGAAGCTACCACGTGGTCGTAGAAAGAAGTGTCGTCGGTGTATTTCACTGTCACATCGCTGCACCTCGACTACCTGTGAGAGTGCGGCACACCGTTCCGCGCCCAATGGGTATCCAGTTTCCTTTCTTCTAAATGTTGGTTAATATATTAACAATCTGTATAATTACATAAATAAAAAAAGAGTTATATTAGAATTTATATATTTGTAGAAAGATTTGTGGAATGAATACATTGCGCACGCGCGCGCGCGGATTCTAGATCTACGGGAATATGTTCTTAGAATCATTATGAATAATTTGAGAAAACACGTATCAAGCGAACTTCATCGCAAGACAAATATTCAAGGATTGCTACAATTCATGACATTTTAGTCAATTATTTTTATAATTATGCACACACGTGTGTCTTTCTTATTGAGATACATAGAAATAGATCTAAACCTAGAAAAGTCAATATTAAATGATACTGACTTTGTTTGGAGCCACAAACGTTCTCATATGAACAATATATGAAATATACTGCATCGCAGTAGCGAAAAAAAATCATGTTTTCAATTTTTTTAATAAATTTTTAAATACTAGCACTTCCAGAGAAAATATCAAAATAAGTAAAAAAGTCAAGATTTTCATTTCATATCTTTAAAATGTATATAATAAGAGAATAATTGTACAATATTTTAATCTTGCATGTCTGTTGAAATCTAAAAGAGATTTATCAAGAATGTTTTAATCTATATGATCAAATAGATTAAAACGTTCATCTATTCATAAAAGTTTCATCAAGTACAAGTGTTTCAGGCCTCCAAATTGCACTTTGGAATTAATCCCAATATCTTGATTTAATCAAACCATTAAATAAAAAATTTACTTTATATCTTAATTCAATAAAATCCTAAATTTCCTATTTACAATTACATGATCATTATGCTTAAATAAATGTACACTGAAGCAGCTACGATGAATAGCTTCATAATTGAATTTATGAGGATATTACTTGTCATCGTAAGAACTTAAAAAAAAGTTTCAGACATTCTTTACAAAACAGGATAATATATATATATATATATACATACATATATATATATATATATATATATATATACATACATATATATATATATATATAGCTAGGTACACTGTGACACATTGTCTCATGATTCTCTTTGGAAATGTCTTAACCAAACTGGAAAGAGAAACCATCCGGAAAACCATCCCCTTGGAACTGGAAATTTCCTTGTTGAAAGAAAGTGTGGAACATAGCATTAGGATCTATATCTGAAAAAAAAAAAATATTAACAATAATAAAGAGAAACACACACACATACGCACACGCACACACAAAAGCATATATATCTTAGTTACATTGGCATGCATAAAAAGTTGTACCAACCTTGGAAACCTTCATTATCATCTATATCATGGCCACGGTCATAACGAGATCGTTTTTTGGGATCCGAGAGAATACCATAAGCTTCTCCGACTTCCTTAAACTTCTTTTCCTGCTCTTTTTTCTCTCCTTCAGTTGCATTAGCATGGCGATCTATAAAATAGATATAACATAATATTATGAAATATAACGAAAAATACATGCAATTATTTATAAACCAACAAGTTACTAGAAGTATTTGTTTTTTACCTGGATGATGAACCATGGCACGTTTCCTATACGCCTTCTTGATATCATCGGTAGACGCATTTTTGTCAATGCCTAAAATTTTGTAGTAATCTTTTCTCTTAGATTTCTTCAGCGCTAACTTCGCTTCTGCAAGTAATCGTTTGTTTTCTACAAAAATATTTAAAATTAATAGTTTTGCATGTTAATAGCGGTTATCTAACGTTCTCTAATAGCATGTTCTGGGTTATTCAGCCTACGTTTATTGGTCGAACAAGTACTTATAAGCTTTATAAGTTGGCTTTATAAGTATTGGTTAGTAGAAACTTATGATGTCATTAATTGCTCTCGGAGTGATTAACCCAGAGCCAGTCCAACACGCTATAATATTCTATATTGTCACGTTTATTAAGATAAATAAAACAAAGTAGATAAAGAAGGTAACAAATGATAAGAAGGAAATTAAATTTGTACCACGACTCTTATCGATTTTACACGCTTGTTCAAGATCTCGAACAGCCTCTTCGTATTCTTTGAGCTCCATATAAGATGCTGCACGTCTGAGAAGAGCTTTCAAGTAGTTTTCATCAAGTTTTAAAGCCTCGGTACATTCCGTTACGGATTCCTTTAATCGCCCTAACTGAGAACGTTAATGTTAAATTACTTGTTCCTTTTTCCACGTATGAATAATAATATTCTTGTTTTTAAAGACATATTTATAAATATTTATAAATATATTTATAAATATATTTATAAATATTCGATTGAATTAAAATTATATTTTATCAATAACAACTATTTATAACAAAAAACAATAATAACAATTTTTTTTTGCGTTTGCATGAGAAAAACTACTAAGTTGCTAGCAAGCTAGAAAGATCACTATAAAGATCGCTACAAATTACTATTAATAATGCCAAATACGCATTAAGTTCAAATAAAAAAGTTACTTAGTAAATAAGTAAATATCACTTTTTATTTTAATTTAGTAAATAATATTTTTTTAAATCAACTAAAGAAATTAAATGGAAAGTAGAGTAATTATTCGTGACTCAATTTAACGATTCTAATCTATAATAGCTATTATATACAGAGTGTCTGACTTGTACCGTACCAGAGCTATTATATAGCTATAATAGGTCAGGGTGAATAATGGAATGATATCTTTTTTTAAACAACCACATGAAATTTTGAGATATTAACAACGAAAGATTTCTACCGAGTGGCAGCCCACTGGCCAATAAGCACACGCGCTGCGATGAGACGAACGCTGTACACGCTGTAGCATCGGCATGACAGACTAGCCGGTCCTGACTAGCTCGGTAGAAATCTTTCGTTGTTAATGTCTCAAAATTTCATGTGGTTGTTTAAAAAAAGATACCCATTCCATTACTCATCCTGACCTATTCTAGCTATATATTAGCTCTGGTACGGTACGAGTCAGACACCCTGTATACAAATAATTTTGAGACATTTCTCGAAAATAAGTGTATACATATGTATATATACTTATAATGTATAAGGCGTACCTTAGCTGCCACTGTTGCTTTGTTAAAATGCAATTTAGCATTGGTCATAATATTTTGTGGATCAATAGCTAAGGCTTCATTATAAATATTATATGCCTCTTGATATTGTCTCATTTTAAATGCTGCATTGCCTTCTTCTTTCTTTTTTCTCAGACACTTTGCTCGCTAAAATAGCAAAAAATATGCGAAATGTTAATATTTCATATCATACCTTTACATGGGAGTATCGAGCCTCGAGCGTTAAAGCGGTAGTCAATAAACGTGCCACTTTTCGCAAGAACTACAAGTATACTTCTGGGACCTGATACGTGATTGGCTAACGCTTTAACGCTCGACGCTGGAACGTTCCCATGTATTGGCACCTTTAAAGTTATATATTACGAAAATTTTTTATTTTTTATATTACCTACTTTATATATATCTAATGCTTTGTCGTGATCTGGCGCGAGTCGTAGTACTTGTTGGAAATGAGCAAAGGCCTTATCGACATTATCTTGGAAATACAAACACATTCCACGGATATATATCGCGTCAGCATTGTTCTTATCGATGTGTAAAGTATCACTGAGATAAAATAAAAATGAGATACATATTTATATATGTACATTACATGCAATGTGTATACTTGCAATGATAGATCAACGTACTTTGCAATCTCCTGAGCTTCTTGGTACCTGCCTAAGAAAGCTAAACATTCTGCTTTGGTTAGTTTAAAACGTGTGCAAGAGGTGCTTACATCACAACAGCGGTCCATACAATATACGACCTATAAAGATAAAATGCAGTGATATATAATATAATATCGTTGAAGAAAACGTTATCATAACATATCATTTACTTTGCGATAATCCTTGGCATTGTATGCAATGTTAGCATCCTCGAGATATTTTTTTACATATGCTAAATCTTTTTGTTCTGCAGCCATTGTGTTGTTCAGGATAGCTGCAGGATCTAATTCTAGCAGCTTTTGCAACATAGTCTCAGCTTCCACAATGTCACCCAAAATCAAGCAACATTTGATCACCCTTACATATCCCTGAAAATTGAATATAAAAGATATGAGTTAATCGACTTTCTCATCAATAGCCATAAAAAATAATAAATGTACCTTGGCAAACTTCGGTTCCAGTTGAATACATTTCTTAGCATCTACTAATGCATCTCTGTATTGTTTGAGCATCATATAACATGCAGCTCTATTTCCATAGTAACGTGATATATCAGGGCACAATGCTAAAATATTTCTTATTTGTTATAATCACTCTTATAATCATCAAGTTTTCTTAATGTTTAAGTAGATAATACATAATACACTTATGTATGTGTAACAATATAAAATACTTACCAAGAACTTCATCATATACAACCAATGCCTTCTTGTATTGTTTTTGGGAGTAATACTGATTAGCAGTTTCCTTTTTTGATTCCGCTATTCTATAATGCATACAGATAAAGTAATTACAATAGCATATTATGATAATCAAAATATATTACAACATAATATAAAACTAGCACTGTCAGAGACAATATTGGCTGCATTCGTTTTGCAGCTTATAGTGCGTGTAAGCATCATTTGTCCTTGTTTAGTATTTGATAGAAAAAGATGAAATGATGCTCAGAGCATTGTAAGCACCAAAACGAACACAGCCATTGAAAAGTGTATTGAAAAATATCCAAACCAAGATTCTCTTCGTACAATGAAGATGACTAATTCTAAAAATAAGCCATTGAATTGATATTGCCAACAGAATCTTGTTATATTTAGCATTATTAATCACGAACCTTGATATCATTTATATAATGAATTTGAAGGTTGATATGAGAGGATTAACAAACATAGTAAGATATCAATCCTTTTATTATACATATAGAAAGAATTCCTATGAAAGTAATGACTTATGCAACAAGATGCTTAATATAATCAAACTTTCAATCACATTTGTCATAAGTACAAAACATAATTATTGCGATAAACTTCCTAATGGTCAACGTACTTTTTAATATCCTCAAGCGTTGTCGCAGTGTTCTCTTCCACCGTAGAGTTAGAAGCAACGTTGGGAGTTGGATCAGGCGACGCCATGGCTTCCATGTTTCTTGAGATCAAAGACAAAAACGTATAACGAACCAAATGTAACGCACCGTATACCTACAGGACTCTTGTATTTCAATTGATGTTCATGAGAAAATAGTGCATGAAGCGATGTATAAAACAGCGTGGACCGTATACCGAATGATGACGCAAAGTCAAACGTGCTCGCTCGCAATGATTCCTCTCACAAACATACTTACCAACTTTTTAGTTTCCTGAGATACACCCGTAGACAAAATATAGTTGTCTCACTTTAAAGCCAGCGGCACACGGTGCTTGTTTCGTGCTAGATTGCTTGCTGGATGGAAATACTCTGTTTTGATTGGTATATTTCCATCCATCTTCAGAAATGCACCAATCAGCAAGCAATCCAACTCCAGCTTAAGTCCCGATCTACAATAGGTATAGTAAGCTTTAAGCCTTAAAAAATTGACCAATTACAGTGGAATTATAGAGAAATAATCAATTGTGATTGGGTAATTTCTTACGGTTTAAAGCTTACTACACCTATTGTAGATCGGGACTTAAGCCAGAGGCACACGCTGTGCTGCGTTCCAAAATTCTACTCGGTGAGTAAAGTAGCATTTAATTGACCAATAAGAACTAGAATTTCTTTATCATGATTGGTCAATTAAATATACCTACCCACCGAGTAGAATTTTGGAACGCAGCCTTGCTTGTTTTGTACTGGATTACTTACTAGGCTGCATTCAAAAACTTTAAGGTGCCAATTTATGGGAGCGTTCCAGCGTCGAGCGTTAAAGCGTTAGCCAATCAACGTATCAGGTCTCAGAAGTATACTTGTAGTTCTTGCGGAAAGTAATACGTTGATTGGCTAACGCTTTAACGCTCGACGCTGGAACACTCCCATGAATTGGGAACCTTAAAGGAACGTCTACATTGGAAGTAAATAGCAAGAAGTAGGAAGTAAAAGTAAGAAATTGACCAACCACAGTCGAATGTGAGAAGAATAATCAACTATGATTGGTCAATTTTTTATTCTTACTTCTTACTTCCAATGTAGACGTCCCTTAACTCGACGGGTAGAGAATATTTAATTATCCAATCATGATAAAGAAATCCTAGTTATCTTTGCTTTAATTTTTGCTTAATTAAATACTAATCTACCTGTCGAATAGAGTTTTGGAACTCAACCCTGGATGGAAATTTCTATTTTGATTGGTACATTTCCATCCATCTTTAGAAATGGATAGAACCTATCAGAACAGAGTATTCTCATTCAGCATGCAACCAGCACGAAACAAACATGGCTGCGTTTCAAAATTCTATTCGGTGGGTAGAGTATATTTAATAGACCAATCATGATAAAGATATTCTAGTTATCATTATTCTTATTGGTCAATTAAATACTACTCTACCCGTCAAATAAAGTTTTGGAACGCAGCTCATCGGGTGCTTTCCAGCTACGTACATTGGCTTGATTTACATCGTGCACTTGATACGCATATCAGGTACTATATTCGTATCAAATTCGTATTAAATATTTAATACGCACGAAGTTTGTTCTTTCCAGCTGAACTTCTTGCACTAGTTCAAGTAGTGTACACTGATGCGTTCTTTCTAGCAGAAGTGACATCAGGTTACTGTTCTTTTCGGTGCAGCAGAACTTAAGCTAGTGGCATACAGAAAAACTTAAGCAGTAAAACGAAACAGTAAGCAAATTGACCAATCACAGTCATTGATTCTTCTTACGATCCAAGAATCAATGATTGTGATTAGTCAATTTGTCTACTGCTTACGTCTTACTGTTTAAGTTTTTCTGTGTGCCACGGCCCTTAGTGCAACAGTTCACTGATCTGCTTGCACTGAGTCTGGAGCTAGTGCAATCAATAGGTTTGTCGAATTGTTTGTACTATTCACACTTTGGGCCATCACACACAAAATTACATAGACTCATATGCATAGCATAAGATCATATAGACCAATGAGGATTGAATATTAAGTCGCCATATTGATGATTGATACTTAATATTCGATGCTCATTGGTCCATACTATCTTATGCTATGCATATACGTCGATGTAATTTTGTGTGTGATGGCTTTTTTACCTAATGACCGTTACATACTAGTGCACCTCATACAATACAAATTTTCCAAAATACGTTCTGAAGACGCTTTTAGGAGGGAGGGATGTCATCAGAATATTTTTAGGACGTCCTTTGAAAATGTGAGCTGTCTGAAAATAGATAATATCCAGTAAGTTTATTCGCATTAATTAAACTTTTTACACTTTCATACTTAGTGCACATTAATTCTTTAGAGGTTCTAAAAATAACGTCATTAGTTCCGTTCGTGTTACGAGTGTAATTACACTTTTTACACTTGATCCCAAGCAAAAGTGAAAAGTGAAATCAGAATTGCATTTACACTCGTAACACGAACGGAAATCATAACACCATTTTTAGAACCTCTAAAGAATTAATGTGCACTAAGTGTAAAAGTGTAAAAAATTCAATTAATGTGTGAATAAACTTATTGGATATTAGCTATTTTCAGACAATTCACACTTTCAAAGGACGTCCTAAGAATATTCTGATGACGTCCCTCCGTCCTGAAAACGTCTTCAGAATGTATTTTTGAAAATATGTGTTGTTTGGAGTGCACTAGTGTACAACGGGCATAGATGTAAAAGTGTGAAAAGTACAATCAACTCGAACAAACCTAGTGCAGTGCAATGCAAGAGTAAAAGTTACTGTACTAGTGCAGTACTAAAGTAGTTCAGATGAAAATAACAGATCTATGAAGATGAAAGAAATGAATATTGCAGAAATTAAAAGGAATGAAAGTGGCAATATCCCAGATAGGTTCTGCGGGCAATTGAGATACATACATTAACACAAGTACAGTAAATTGTTTATCTGAAGAATTATTTGCAAGTAAGCGGACAAAATCAATAAAAAGAGAGAGGATAACGTTGGCAACGTTCAAAAGTCTGTAGGATCCATACATTCATTTTTGAAGATTAATATCATTGTTGGACGTTAGGAGATTATACAGAGTTAACCTGTCAATTTACATTTAAATTTACACTGTAAATTTACACTTCTGTACACTCTTCTAACGTCCAACAATTATAACCTTCAGAAATAAATTTATGGATCCTAGAGACTTTTGAACGTTGCCAACGTTATCCTCTCGGGTGTATATCAGTTGGACACGGGGCAATTGGACACAGTCCAATCACAAGTCGCTGTTCCAAGGACCCTACAAATGTCTCTAATTACACGGTGCTGTGATTGGCTGTGTCCAAATGCACCGTGTCCAAGTGCACCGCTCCCATCTTCTCTTTTTTTATGGATTTTGTCCGCTTACCTATTTGCATCTAAAATTATGTGTTGCGCCATGTTGTTTCCTGCACTATGGCGTTCTTTCCCATCCTATCTGGTATGTCTGAACCTATGAACTTTTGCTGTACTCGCCAGTTCCAGTTCCGAACCAGTGCAGTTCCAGTGCAGCACTAGTTCAGTTGAAAAGGACAAACTTACGATGTAAACACTGACGGATAAACTTGGTGCAAGCGTACCAAGTAAAAGTATCGTACTAAACTAATACGCGTATCAAATGATACAAATGACGATGTAAACGTAAGAACGAATGTTGGAAGGTACCTAACCTAATTACTAAAATTAGTAAAACCGGTGTTATCGGTAACCGTAGGTTTCTCTTAAATTATATTATATTAAAATGTCTTGGAGGTCTCCTCTTACTGGCTAGCCGGAAGCTCACGCGGACTATGAGGTTGTTGCTGGGGAAGAGAGGGTCATGGGAAGGGACGCTCAGGGGATACAAACTCGCTCTTGTAAAAATTGGATTCCGTTTTTAGTGGCGTCCTCTGAAACTGTCTCCGGATATGGGCGAACTAAACGGGTGACGTCATGCGAAGTGGGGATATGCGTCAATGAATATGAACTGGCGCGCATAGGCAGACGTTCTTGAAACTTTTTAGCGAGCAACTGCGAGCAACAGCGAGCAACAGCGAGCACTAATATAAAGCAATAAATATATATATTATCTTATTACTAATCATTGTAGAGTAGTAATAGTGTAGTAATAGTACTAAAACAATTAGCTAAATCGTAGAAGTAGCAACTAACCTACATATCTATACAATAGCATACAACACATACACACACATCCACACATATACACTCATCACACAACTGTATACGTGCCATACGTGCATAAGTTGCTTGCTATTACTCTCTATAACGTCTGTCTGTGCGTGCCATTCATACTTTCATTGGCGCGCATCCCCACTCCGCGTGACGTCACCCGTTTAGTTCGGCCACTTCCGGAGACAATCTCAGAGGGCGGTAGGTGTAAGTAGTGGCACTTACCAGACGGGAGTTATTACCCCCTGGGTACGCTGGAACCATATGGGCTGGGGCTTCCGGTTCCATGCGTCTCAATTAGGGAAGCGGGGTGAGGTGGTGTCCCCCCTTGTTGCAAGTCAGGTTAGGCAGGAGTGCGGAATAGTATTAAACCGGAGGAGATCCTGAACGGTAAGCGCTTCTCGGGTCCTCCCTGAGACTACGATCGAGGTAGGACACTCGAGGAGGTTTTAGTCGGTGCAAGTCCGACATAACCCCGATTTTATCCCAGTAAGATCGGGGTATGCGTAGGCATTTCCTCCCCGTTACAAAAAAAAAACAAAAAAAATAGTAAAAAAATAGTAAAAAAAAAAACAAAAAAAATAGTAAAATGTCTTGTAAAAATTGTTTAAATTGGAGAGAAAAAGAAACGAGCACATTTTTAGAATTATGTATTCCTTCTGTCGGTCAAAGCTATTTCAAGCAAATTACAATTTCAAATACCACCACTAGGAAGTAAACGACATGAATTAAATCCGTATTATATTTTTTCCTTAGTACGTTCGATGTAAACGCACCCGTATTAAAGTATTGGTGTGCATTAAATTTAATACGCGTACTAAAACCCATTCTACAATTGCGTGAACGTGGTTGTAAGTGGTTGTAAGTGATTACGACAACCAATCAGAATAAAGCAATCAGTGAATAAAACATTCGAATTGGTTGACTCTTACGTTCACGACTACGTTTACCCAATTGTAAAATGGGCTTAACGTTTCGACGATGTAAACCAGGCCACTGTGAATACAAACCCATGCAGCAGAATAGCAGAGCGCGGAACGAGAGCGGAAGCAATCATAAACGTTCCACAGTTTTCGCTCTTGATTGTTTCCGCTCGTGATTAGTTTCGCTATCGTTTCGCGCTCCGCTATTTCGTTAGGCTGCGTTCAGATTCCCCATCCGGGTGTATTCTATTATTAGAAGTGCTATAGTATATGTAACATATATTATAGTATTTCTAGTAATAAAGTGCACCCGGATGAGGAATCTGAACGCACCCCTGCATAGGTTTTTTTTGCGTATACGTAATTTTCATCGCGCAGCTATTTTATGGTATGATTAAACCTGCGCAGTAAAACTTATGTATACGCAACTATTTCAAGAGTAAGAGTCCTGGTTCTCGAAAATATATCGCATACGACATTTAATGAAAAGCTATAGCTCATGTTACGTATACTATAGCTCTCCACTAATGGCTCCTGCACAAGAGCGCGGTAATGCTTGCCGCGCGACGGAAGTCCGCGCGACAGCCAATCAATATGTTGTTTTTCCGTAAGAGCTAAAAAGTTATTACGGAAAGCAGAATATTGATTGGCTGTTGCGTGAACTTCCGCCGCGCGGCAAGCATTAGCGCGTCCTGTGTGCAGGGGCCATTACGTATATGCAACTAGTTAGAAAATCGATCCCCAGATCTATAACCCCTTATCCACAACTTTGCTTTAATTCTCAAGCCGTAAGAAATTGACCAACCACAGTTGATTATTTTTAAAATAATCGACTGTGATGGTCAATTTACTACGGCTTAAAGATTAAAGCAAGGTTGTGGATAAGGGGTAAGTCCCGATCTACAATAGATGTAGTAAGCTTTAAACCGTAAGAAATTAACCAATCACAATTAATTCCTCTATAATTCCACTGTGATTGGTCAATTTCTTAAGGTTTAAAGCTTACTACACCTATTGTAGATCGGGACTAAATTAGCCTTTACTCTACCTTGAAAATGCAAATTTATATCGAATAAATCGCTGCGATTGAAGATCACGTGGTCATTCGCTGTTCACTAGCGAATAATCGCTGTTCGCTGAAATTTTTAACTTTTAACGAATATTCGCTAAGATAATCACTGTTGACATCTCAACAACATCTATAGGTTCTCTAATGTAATAATTCTTAAATATATTTGCTCCAACTATAAATATTAAATGTTCAAATTGACTTGCAGCATGCATATATAATTATGAAATCTTAAGTCTTCTAGAAGAAGTTTAGGTAGCACAGCATGAAAAAATCCATGCCCTTTTCTATCTTGAAAAATAGGTGCTACCCAATGTTTCTTTCTCAAATATCTTCTTTTCTTATATAAAAGTATAGCCATAACTGCAGTTGCTTTCTTTTTTCGGATATGTTCATAATAATTCATTATTTAATAATATTTGGTTATACAAAGTAATCAAATGAATAATTGAAATAATTTTCTTCCGTGTTGTTAACACACTATATATGAAGCTATTCGCGACGAATTATTCGTTATTTCGTGGCGAATTATTCGCTACTCGTTACAAATCATTCACAGCGAAAAATTCGCTGCATGAAAAGGCATCCTGATGAGTCTCGCACACTAGGACTCGATTCTTGAGCGAATGCGAATGAGATACGCATGCGAAATGTATAGTTCACATTACGTATACTGTAAATTTTCGACGAGATGGACGACGAGCAATGAGCGATATCCAATGAGAGCTCTCATTTTTACTTGAAGCTCTCATTGGATATCGCCCATTGCTACTCGCGTCCAGTGTGCGAGAGCTATAATTTGGGCTATATCCCAATATTCACTTCCAGTACTGAAAATCTATAGTTAATGTATAGTTCTTTTTTTCTTTCGCTAAAAAACACATGAATTTATGGGTACTTTTTAATTGCTTAACACATCTTGACACATATGTATACTTGAGGTTTAAAAGGTTTGTGCACCGATTTTTTGTAGATTTCGGAACGCGTCCCAACTTCAGGAGTAGAGATGCCCGATTCTGAATCGATTCGATTCTTTCACTAAAAACAGGCTTATTCGTGTTGTTTGCACTCTTCGCACTTTTCGTATTTAAAACCAGACAAAAGTATATTGGAATATTTGGAAGAAACAAAAGTGAGACAACCAACTCGATTGTTTCTTTCAAGCATCTGATTAGGCGTCCATTTCTTTTTAAAAGCGAAAAGTATGAAACATGCAAGCAGCACGAACAACCCTTTTTCCCTAAATTTGTTAGGGAAAGAATCGAATCGATTAAGAATCGGGCATCTCTATTCAGGAGAGAGACAACCACTGCTTGACACGCCAGCGCCGCCACTAAAGCTGGTGGCACATAGAAAACTTAAGCAGTAAAACGTAAGCAGTAAACAAATTGACCAATCACAGTCATTGATTCTTCTTACGGTCCAAGAATCAACGACTGTGATTGGTCAATTTACTTACTGCTTACGTCTTACTGCTTAAGTTTTTCTGTGTGCCACGGCCCTTATTATGAGAGCAGAAGGATGGCATATACGGTATATGACATCCTTCTCTTGTAATAAGTGGCGGCGCTGGCGTGTCAAGCAGTGGTTGTCTCTCCCCTGAAGTTGGGACGCGTTCCGAAATCTACAAAAAATCGGTGCACAAACTTTTTAGACCACGAGTGTACACAGAAATGCACAAAGTATAATGGCTCCTGCACACAGGACGCGGTAATGCTTGCCGCGCGGCGGAAGTTCGCGCGACAGCCAATCAATATGTTGTTTTTCCGTAAGAGCTAGAAAGTTATTACGGAAAGCAGCATATTGATTGGCTGTCACACGAACTTCCGCCGCGCGATAAGCATTACCGCGTCCTATGTGCAGGAGCTATTAAGATGATCTTGAGATCATCAATAAGATTCAATTATGAATACTGCCCTTAAAGCATTATCTTTGATTCTTCAGCTCAAGATTGCGTTTACATTTAGGCCCAATCTACAATAGATGGAGTAAGGAGTAGGAGTAGAAGTAAGACGAAATGGAAATAATTTATTTCGCTTACTCTCTTATTCCAGCTCTTACTACTTAATTCATACTTACTCCATGTGATGTATATGGGCTTTAAACTTTTATTGTAGTAAGGGAGTAAACGAAATAAGGCCCGATGTACAATAAATAGAGGAAGGAGTAGGAGTAGGAGTAGGAAATAAGCAGTAAGCAAATTGACCAATTCCATTTTCACGTTTCAAAAATAATTGATTGTGATTGGTCTATTTACTTACTGCTTATTTCTACTCCTACTTCTACTCCTTACTCCATCTATTGTAGATCGGGCCTTAAGCGTCTTCTACAATGGCAGTAGGAGTAGTAGTAAGAAATAAGCAGTAAGCAAATTGACCAATTCCATTTTCACGTTTCAAAAATAATTGATTGTGATTGGTCTATTTACTCACTGCTTATTTTTTACTACTACTCCTACTGCCATTGTAGAAGACGCTTTATAGTTGAAGTAATTCATGTACAACAGCAAGTCGCACGATTATTTTATTTCCATATTTTTATATAATTTTTAACCAAAAAGTTTTTTATCTTTCAGTAAAAAATAGTCAAATATCAATTAATTATTTAATCATCGTTAACACTTTTTTTTTTAAAGTGACTTACGGAAGGAGGACATCAGCGTCTCTTTACCGACCGGTTGAACGACAGGTGTGACGTCACTCATAGGCCGCTCCGCGATGCGTATCGGGAAACAGCACGGACCTGCCATCTTGAATGGCATGGCTCGGCTACACAGTGCGTGTTGAGAAAGAGATGCGAATTTTACTACGAATGGAACGTTGGTATTGTGTTGTGACGGGATTCGCGTGAAGCTTAACAAAAACTTAAGTGCGTGAGAGCTTTCCTCTAGCCGCAATGGACGCGGTAAAGGCGTTCAACGCGGAGGTAAGTGACTACCCCAAGGAACCTCCACTTGTACGCGCACGTCTTAGAGGTCACCGTCGTAGGGGCAACTAGCCCTCTTTCTGTTCCCCTTCGTTCACTTCAACTCATCCTATTCCGCCTCGTCATATCTGAAATGAATTCGTCGCTAAGATACTGCATGATCTCGAATCTCGCCCACCTGAAATGTATCCTACCATCTCTGCGAACTTCCTTTGCCAGAGTCCAAAAGAAAGAGAGAGAACGCGATTCGTTGCGATCTGAACGCCTCTCGCGATCTTATACGCTTGTTTTCGTAAGGCACTTAAATGATTTCGACAAATGAACAATTGTAGTCGTCGAATGAATCTAATTATATTTCCCGATTGAAATACCATAAAAATAGTATAAAAACAATATTTTGGTTCAAGCATCAGCTTGTATGCATTCAATGGGACTTGAATGCAAATGCAACAATACATTGATTTTTATTACTTGGAATACATGTTATATCTTTTATGTTAGAATTATGTTGAAAATGAAGATGTTATGGATAATTATAAGAATAATACTTTTATTTGCAATAAATATGTTGCCTATTATGAAAATATAATTAATTATGGTTTTATTACAGCTCTCTGCTCTCTACGATGTTAAGCCACCTATTTCAAAAGCCAAAATGAATTCGCTCACACGGGGAGCTATCAAAGCAATAAAATTCTACAAGCATGTTGTACAAAGTGTAGAAAAATTCATTCAAAAAGTAAATTATAGTTTTATTAAATCGATATAATTATAATATGATGGTGCGTTTACTAAATTTACTTTATCTTTTTTTTCAGTGCAAGCCTGAATATAAGGTACCAGGATTGTATGTTATAGATTCAATTGTCAGACAATCCAGACATCAGTTTGGAATGGAGAAAGATGTATTTGCTCCAAGATTTGCAAAAAATATGCAAAATACCTTTCTCAATCTTTTGAAATGTCCGCAAGAAGATAAAAGCAAAGTTATACGTGTACTAAATCTTTGGCAGAAAAATGCAGTTTTTCAACCAGAAGTTATTCAACCACTTTTTGACCTAGCAGATCCAAATCACCCAATACATAAAGAGCAGCCAGTAAATAGTAACGGTATGAAATAGTAAATACAGTGGCTATGACTGTATTATAATAGAATATAAAATATTTTTAAATATAATATTAAATATATATTTTTTGTATTTCAATGTTACTAGGTACATTAAATACATCAGCTGGAAATAACATAAGTAATATGAGTGCGGTCTCAAAAACACCTCCATCTGCTATTAAAAATACTGTGAAGGATCCAAAACTATTTCCACCTGGGAAGACGATTGATCCTGCATGGCTTGCGCAAACGAAAGTGGAAACGGCGAATTTAGTCAATGCAAATAAACTCTTGGTAATATTATTTTTATGTATGTTCATATTGTATTGATTTTGATAAATCAAAATTTGGTTAATTTTATATTTTCTTTTATACAGGGTCAATCTAATCCTAGCCAAGTGGACGCCTCTTTTATTGACCAGTTGCAACATTTGCAAGAACTAATCATGAAGAAGCAAGAAGCTAATGAACCAAAGAGTTCTGTCAAGTTTGATAAGAAACTATTAGATTTCGACTATGGTGAAGAAGAGGATGACGATGTCGTTGTGACGAATTCTCCAAACGCAGCCACTTCGACGAACACTCAACATAATGCAGTACCGACGAATAACAGTTTAGGAAGTCTGGGGCTGTTACTTACGAATCCTGAAGTATTTACTGAATACTAGAGATTAGATAATAGTGATAGTATAAACTTCAATGTTATTACTATATATATTACTTGTAGGTTCTCAGACAACTGCAGACTATACAACAAAGTATGCAAAGTAATGTAACAACTTCCTCTTCACAACATGAGATAGAAGAAAAGAAACGTAAACTTCAGCAAATGAAACAGCAAGAGGAAGAGTTCGATAAGCATTTAGCACAAACTGTTTCTGTAAGTTGCATGTTTAATTTTTAAAATTTTTCTTGATATATTATTCACACGATCTGCATCAAATTTCTTTTTCTTATTTCAGACCCTTCCATTTGCATCTGAGTGCGAGTTAAAACCTTCTGATATCCTAAAACCAAATACACAAAATTATGCACCAAATGTGAACAGCAATATGATACAAGACATGAGCCAACCACCACCTGGTTATCCACCAGCTCTGCCATATACTTCACAATCGTTATCAAATATTAGGCAGATTAATCAATCTACACATCAAAATCAAAAGAGCCCATTGCTTGATGAACGTCAAGAAACACAGGATTATTCTGGGTGAGTGCATCATCATTTATATAATTATTACCATAAAGCTTTGTTGTTAATTTTAAATAAGTTTCTTTTATAGAAACAGTGCCAGACGTGATAGTAGCAGTGTAGAAATTGTTAATTGTGAAAACACGAGTTCACAAAGTAGATCGCCCGAACGATATCGACATCATAGTCGATCTCGATCCCCACGACATCGAGACAGAGATAGAGATCGTGATAGAGACAGAAAATCCCGCTCCAGAAGCAGATCACGACGAAGAAGGTAATCTCGATCTTTCGCACTAAGCCAAATTATTTCTATCATCAAAATTTGAAAAATATTAATATGACAAAATAAAAATTGTCGAACATGGCTTTATCCATGTTGTGAACGCGTTAATTTTTTATTTTACAAATGTATATCTTGTTTGTATGTATATCTTACAGATCTCGCTCAAGAGACAGGGGTCGTGATAGGAAACGCGATGATAGTCGAGAGAAGATGACGGAAGAAGAACGAGAGAAAGAGAGAGAGCGACGTAAACGCGGTTTACCGCCAATAATTCGAGATAAATTGAGTGGTATGTGATCTAAAATATGAAGCAGAACTTAACGTATATACAATTTATAAAAGAAATAACAAAGCTTAAACATATGATTTTGCAGTTTGCAGTACAACACTTTGGGTGGGACACTTATCAAAACTCGTACATCAGGAAGAATTGTCTGATACATTCGGAGAATTTGGTGATATCGTTAGCATCGACTTAATCCCGCCGAGAGGTTGTGCTTTTATATGTATGAATAGAAGACAGGATGCATACCGAGCACTTACAAAATTGAAAAACCACAAGATGCAAGGCAAAGCTATAACAGTAAGTCTTGTTTGTATATAGTATATACTGGAATATAAAAGGTGCAGTTTTTATTGCTGATTTATAGTTTATAATAAATTTACCAATATTAGAACAAGCTATTACTAAACATGTATGAAACGCTACTAATAGGACAATCTAAAAATTTGGTTACATTGGGTTATACAAGACTTGCATTAAATATATTTTAATTGATTTTCAAATCAATTTCTCAGTTTGCAATATTCTATAATCTGACTACAGAATAAATTGCTCAACCATAAATTCAAGTTTATCTCATAATTCTCATAATTTTTATATCATGATTTTTATAAATACAATTGAAATATTGTATCATGTTTTTAATGTATTTCTTTCACAATTATAGTTGGCATGGGCACCTGGAAAAGGTGTTAAAGGCAAGGAATGGAAGGACTACTGGGAAGTGGAATTAGGCGTCAGTTATATCCCTTGGAATAAATTAACTAACATCACTGACCAAGAGTTAGAATTATTAGAGGAAGGAGGTATGATAGACGAAGATACATTACCACCCAGTTTAAAAGGTACGTTTCTGTAAATTTAATATGCATATATAGACAAGCAGATTAATATCGATGTAAAAGTGTGAGAGTTTGATTGAAAGAACATCTCAAAAATAAAATTTCTCCTTTGTGAAATTACAGGAAAATTAAAACACACAGGTACAAGTGCGGAGATACAACAACTGCAACAGTTGCAATTGCAGCAGCAAGCGATGGTTGCCGCTGCGAACGCTGGTGCTCCTATTCCTACCTTAACGGACGGTATTGTGAATGTCATACAATCGTCAGCTAATTCGCAGCAACAGCAACAACAGCAACAACAGCAATTAATCGATACCAGTCAACCACCACCGATCAGACCGCCCACGTCTGCTGGGGCGTTATTGCCTCCTCCGAACACGCAGTTACAGATGATGCCACCGGCATTCACGATGCCTGGAGTACCACGTGAGTTTACGTCACTTATCGCTGAAACATATGTCTTGAATGTAACTATGAAATTTTATTTCGCGCGTTAGTTGTCCGTATATTATGTAAGAAAATATCTGAATAAAATTATAGATATCTTAGAAAATATTTACAAACATAAATATAAATTGCGATGCAAGAACTTTAAAAATGTTTTTAGGAATTTCTATAATTAAATACGTAGTAATAGATGAGTAATGTTTAACTTTTTTAAATTAGAATATAGATATATTGATAGAAATTTTTGACAGTTAAGCATCATAAATGTTATACAGGAGTGATTAGTCATATGGGCATACAGATGACACATGGATTAATGTCAAATGTCCCAATTGGAGTTCCACCACCTAACATGCAAAGCTTATTGGGACCACCTAGTATGATGCAAACAATGCTAACTCCCTCGGTAAACCCGCCATTTGGTACAGGTGTTGGCGTAGGTTTACTGACACAGATTCCACTGCCTGCGCCTGCTGCACCTTCGGATAAGCCGAATTCCACCGGTATAGTATATAATTCTTTAACTAAACATATAAAATCGTTGATGGAATATATAACTTAATAATAATAATATAATGTTCTTTTGCACACACCATCTCTAGATACAAAATGATAAAAGAAATCTTGTTAAGTTTTTTTTTAATAATTATATCAAACACCACCATTTATGTAAAGATGGTATTATAAATGTTGCAGGTATGCCGCACAATGTTCCACCGATTGGCGTTCCACCACCCACAACAGAGACGAGTATGCCGAATTTGCCAATGTTGCGTCAACCATATGGAGTAGGTCCGGTGCCTCCAATGCAGATGCAACTGCCTCAACAACAGCATCATTCAGATGATATGGACGTGGAAATGGAAGACGCGATGCCGCAAAGCATGAGCAGCAACGTGCCTAAGGATAAACCGAGTCTCAGCGACCAGCTAATTGCTGAAATACGCTTGGAGAACGATCAGGCTCGCGAGTATAAAGATCAGCGAGATCGTGACCGGGAGAACAGGGAAAGAAGAGATCGAAACGAGCGAGATCGTGGCGACCGCATGGATATGAACGAGTGTCGAATGGATCGTAGTAGAGACAGAGGTAGAGGACGTGATCGTGGTCGAGACCGACGAAGAGACAATCGTGATGGTCGCGGGGACCGAGAAAGAGACGATAGACGCGGAGATAGAGAAAATAGAGAGACCCCCAGAGACAACCGGGAAACTAATGCTCCGAGACATCCAGAGGGACTTGTTGTGCAGAATCCAAGCATTCAGGAGAGCGGCGAGGGCATAGCGAAGAAAGAAGGCAAGCCCAGTCTAGCCGATCGACTGCGACAATTGGCAGACGGCACATTGCCATTGGACGACCGAATGGATAGAAACATTCGCGGCAATCGTGCTGAACGTAATAATGAGCGAAACGAAAGGAATTTCGAGGATAGTCCTGGTGGTGCAGGAGCCGCAGGAGCAGGACGACGACCTGCCGATATGCCGATCTCGCTGATGGATCTTCCCAAATTCGGTGCGGTACTGCCAGATCGAACAGACTTTCCGCGTGGTCCGGCTGCCTTTGGGGGCGCACTTCAGGAACCACGAGAATTCCAACAGCGGGTCGGTCTTGCCGATCGCGATCGTCAGAACTTTCCGACTCGCGGCGGTGGGCTCAGAAACTCTCAAATGGACGATTTCATGGATCCTAGAATGCAGCCCGGTATATTCCCGGAGGATTTTGAAGGTGGTAGGCTGGTAGGTCACAATGGACCACGCGCCGATGAACCTTTCCCGCCTAGGCTCGGTCCAGCCAGAGAAGAATTTGACCGTGCGGAAGTGCGCGGTCGCCGGCCACCTGTAGATGAGTACGAGCGTGAACGCTACGAATACGACATGAGACGTGACAACTTTGATCCTCGGATGCAGGACGGCTACGATCCCAGAGGCCACAACGAGCGCTCTGACTTCGATCCACGCAGACGAGAGTTCTTCGGACCAATGGAACCTGTATTTGGAATACCACCAATGATGGGTCCCAAGGGTCCGAGAGTACCGGTTGGTCCTGATGGATTCGGACCTCGTGGAGCTAGAGGACCTGGTGAGATACAATCTTTTTCATCATTTTCTTTATATTTCTTTCACATTCGGATGCATGTATTTTTTAAAACATTTTCAGAAAATCTGTGCGTTTATATGTGGTATTGAATTATATTGTTATTTTTCTCATATAAATTATTATTCCCTCTTTATATAAGAAGAAATAATTATTTTAATGAAAATGTTGCGCGAGATGTCGATAAATTTTTTATTGTGAATAATTTGACAGAAATTTCAGCAAATATTGTATTTTAAAAATATAAATGCTTATTTAATTCATTATATCAAGAAAAATTTGAATTTTTTAAAATTATTTAGGACAGTTATATATTTTCAACAAATAATATGATACGAATTATTTTTTACAATATGAAACATAAAATTTGTGATATAACAAATATTCTCTATTTGCTATAGGTATATTTTGCATGTGCACATATAAATGTTTATATCTTATGTTTCTTAGAAATTTAGTATATATGTATTTATAATCTTTATATATATACAATGTGAACTATTCAACTTTACTATTTAAGATATTTCCATTGCTTTCGAAAACCAAACAAAAATGCCCGAGCATACACATATTAGTAATATTTATAATTAAAAAGTATATCAAATTTAATACTAGGGCATATAGCGCGACAAGACGCGCACACGAACAATAATCTGCTTTATCAATCAACCATTACATTCGTACCTCGTGCGAGGTGTCACCATGTCGCGTCTTTTGCAGGTCCGTTAATGTTTCATCCGCGTGGTATGGGTCCTAGAGGCATGAGGCCGGGAATGAGACCGCCATTTGCACCTCGAGGCCCTTCATTCGATCCTAGAGAAGCAGATTCCTTCTTCCGGCCACCCTTTGACGATATGCGCGGCCGTCCACATCTGCGACCACCGTTCGGTCCAATGGGTCCACCGAACATGCTTGGTCCCGACGGACCGTGGAGAAATCAAGAAGGCGTAGGACCGTCCACGTCATGGTCCGGCCAAGAAAGTGGACCCGATGTAGTTCACGGACAGCGGGAGAATCATCTATCGAGGGATAAGCAGAAGCTTACGAAGCAACATCAGCAGGACTACAAAAATATGTCCGAGCGTGAAAATCGTAATCGAAATCGCAAGTCCAGGTGGGGAAATGTTAGTCCACCGCTAACGGACGCAGATGCAGATGAAATACTGCCGTCGGAGGAGGGTGAGAGCAAAATGAAGGCGGCTTTAGATCGTGGCGAGGAACTCGAAACGAAAGACAACTTTGATCACGAAGCTCCGTCCATGGCTACCGTTGATCAACCGAGTCATCTGATGCAGGACGAATCGGCGGTGACTCAGGAGCAAGATATAATGCACAGCGACAGAGAGAATGAATTAACTAACGTACGGATCGACGAGCACGTCGGTGAGATTACCGGTCACAACTACGGAAACGATGGCATTCAGGAAACCAATCCCTATGAAATTAGCGCAGATCACTTCTCCAGCGACGATTTGACCTTAAAGCAGCGGGATGAAAAGGAACAGTGTGAATATGGAACACTCATTCCAGCTGAGGATTCAGCGCAACAAAGTGCGGTGCAGATCGAACAAATAGGGCACGTCAGTGAAAACCATAGTGCACAATCGGTGGAACAGCAAGCAGATTCGTTATAAGAAAAAAGAAAAGAAAAAAAGTTCAATATTGAGGAAAATTACCAAAGTAAAGTATAAAGAATCTTCAGCCAGATTCGTGTAAAATATCGTTTAAATCGATACACGATGTACATAGAGACATGATGCAGCAATAGAGCGTGCGTGGAAAAGAGAGGGATAGAGAGGAGGGAGAGAAAGAGAGAGAGAAAAGAAAGAGGAGTGAAAACAATTGTACGGACACAGATTATTGCACTCTGGAGTGGTGAGGGAGCCATTGGGTCCAGTGAGTTGTTTTGAGTATCTTTCAATCGTCAGAGTATTCGATTGTTGAATCCTTGAATGTAAGTCTCAATCAAGATTTCATCCTAATTGAGACCTGCTGCTTGAATAATTGCTGTGATAGTGAACACAGGACCGTTTAATCCGTGTAGATGTATATACAAAGAGAAAGATTCAGTTTCTATTCGAAATTATTCTTTATCTCGTAATCTACTTTTACTTTCTTTTTTTTACTTCCTATTTCTCAATAACATCGATAGCGTAGAAAATTATATATACATACATATGTGTATATATATAAATTATCCGTATATATATAAGTATATATATACATATTCGGATGAATTCCATTATTGCCATCTGTACTAGATGCCGGTCAATCTTCGTAGTTTTATTAAGGACTTTCCTGTAGCTGATTTTGAATTATCTTTCGAGTATTGTACAGCGGGACAACATAGTATCTCCATGCCCTAAGCAGGGATTAATTTATTGAATTGTACATACTTTTATATTTTCGTAGCAGAACAAATGAGTGAATAAGATGTTGATTGCCACTGCTCAAAGAATCAAAGGAGAAAAAGAATAAATATTTTATATATAACATCTTTGATAACAAAAGAAACATGGCCTTGTCATTCCGACGATACGCGCGTAGCTCCCATTCTCAAAGTGAAAAGAAACAAATTAAATCTACACGTGTATAATATAACGAACTATTCATAGGCATCTACAGAAACATGTACATAATATGATTAAGAACATCCATTTTTCTCTTTTTTAACTCTGTTCAAGTGTAAAATGAATTCAATTTCTTCTTGACAATCGGGTCAATTTAAATAACTGGTTCTATATGTTCAATTTTAACTCGAGGCATTCATTGTTTAAATTTTATGAAGGAGAGAAGAAAGAATAAGAGAAATTTAGGGCAAAACTTGTATAGGAAAATAATAGAAATTCACAAGCAGTAAAATATCGATGTGTGATTATGTGAAACGAAAAATATTCAAGAATTTTTGCGCGTATACGCGCTTCCATTATTTATACGTACACACGCACATACACACATCAGACTCGGCACACGTACAGACAACTTGGTTCCTGTGTTCACGCACGCACGCACATATTGCACGGCGCAGCGATGGAAGACACGTGCTTGCGCTCAAACTGAGTGACAAGTGCAAGGTACTGTTCAATATTACTTTCACATACCATTAGTCAGGAAGAATGTGACACTAAGATGACTTAAAAATGTCATTATTCGGCCGCACATTGGCCCGCACCACTCCAGGAGGAAATCTGTTGATACATATATTATTAAATTTAATTACTGTGTATCTTTAATGATTAGAGAATAATTACTTTACGGTTAAGATGTGGAATTGTGTTAACCAACTTCCAAAGTTGAGACGTCCCAATGTCGTGTTCCAATCATTGGACTCGTCTGAACTTAAATCTAACACTCAATTCTGAAACTAACATATAGGTTCACTTTGCGCCTTTATTGACGAATAAGAAAGGAAGTGGATTGTAAAAAAAAATAATATCATGGTAGACTTTTTAACGACTTATAACGGGAGGATTGTCATTTCGATATAAATAATGATGTTTGATATTTTCTCGTTAGAACGCATGTATAACTTTTCAATTTACTTTGTGTTTACATTATCATAAGTTTTTGTTTTATTATCGAGTATGTTCATATGTGCGAGTTTTATGAACAAATAGAATATCTGTATTTAAGAACAAATACTTAATGAACATAAATATAAATTGACAAAATGTTCTTTCTTTTCTTTAGTAACATACTGAAACTTATCGCAAATTTTCATCAAATCACGACATTTCGTTAGCAAGTTTCATGCTATTCTAATAATATATATTGTAACACATAGAAATTAGGAGTTCTGTGTACACAGATCAATATAATAGTTTTAATACAGGAAGTTATGCTGTTCTGGAGCTTCTCATGAGAAACTCATACTGCGCTGTAAAACTTGTGCATTAAAGCTATTACGCCGATCTGTGTAAAATGTATTATACAGATAATGTACTGGAATTTTGTTACATCCACATTCACCATATTTGTATCCTTTTTCAATTATTTTCGTTATACATAAAATTACTGCGACTTGAATGCCATAGCAAATTTCTAAATGAAAAATCATTGACGATAAACTTAGTGTCGTTATTGTCTGTTCGATTTACAACTCGTATTTTCTTCCAAGATATATAACATACAGAAAGACATTAATTTAAAATCCTAAGAATACAAAATTCTAACGAGCGAACCTGGAGTGGTGCGCGGCACTACATTCTAGGAGTTTGTACCAGTACAATATTACTGCAAACTTTAAAATGTGAACATAATGTACAATCGTCTAAGGCGACTTATGTTTCTCCATATTCTATATTGCTCCCGAAACTCCAACATTCGGAAGTAATATAATATTTTAGTTTCTTAAAAGCATTTATATAACGTACAATTTATTTTTGCAATATTTTTTTCTTTATTCTATTGAACTAACTTTCCCCATTCGTACAACGCATGTTCATATAAAATAACAGGAAGAAAGAAATTATTATGTGTAGTATTATATTCAAGATTTTTAATATAATACAACGTAGAGATAATATTTATCTCTCAAAAAGCGTAGAAACGCGTTGCGACGTCAAGTACATAAAACCAACTGATATCAGGCGAATATGAAATATTTGGTGTATTCTTGCTCTTATTTAATTTTTCAATTACTTCAAACAAAGTTAAAAATATCATCAATAATTCCAGTTGTATCATGATTTGTATTTCAAATTTTCTTAAAATATTCCAGAGATACAAGGATATTGTAATATGTTTCCAAATTTATGTTATTTCAAGATATTTTAATCGAAGTTTTCATTAAATTTACATATTTATAAAAATTCATCTTGAATTGTGAATTAAGCGACAAAATTCAATGTTCTTGTCACAATCTTAAAATGAATCGTATTTCATAAAAAATCGAAGATAAGCTTCAATATGTCTTCCAGTTGTTTACGCTGCGTCCATTAATAATTATTTTAATTTGATTTTACATATAACGTGTAAAAGATTTTCAATTAAACATAGAAATAGGATAATTAAAGATTGATTTGAATATAAAATTTTAACTGTATGTAATGGTTCAAGAAGATTTTCATATCCTATTATATATCCCTTGCTTCTTTTATTCAATAAAGTTGTAAAAGGTGTGTAATCGACTGGATTGTCGATTTAATTAAAGATTTGATTCATATAATCGTGTTTATACACACACACACACATATATATATATATATATATATATATATATATATATATATATATATATATATATATATATATATACACACACATACACATAGAGCTTCGATTTATTTAACATTTCTATTAGAATTCTATGTTAACGTTAATTAGAAATGTTCAATAACCTTGAGAGAAAAAGAGATACTCAGGTATCTAGGTAGTAGTAAAATACTAATATTATTGATATAACTGAATAAAAGTGAGCATGCATGCAAAATGTTATGTTATACACAGAGTGATTCAGAAGCGCTAGAAAATGGAGAAAAAGAACTAGTAATAAATATTTCTTTAGCGGAATTTATCATATAGATTTATCATATATTTTATTCATATAAAAGTCTATAAAGTTATAATATTGTGTGAATAATCATCTCTATTTATTACTCCATCTTTTCTAGAAATCACCCTGTGTATTATAACACTATACAAGCATTATAAAACTTCAGATCTGTAATAGGTAAGTATCGGTAACTTGCAATTGCTGTTGTAATATAATTGCACACAAAGTTGATAAGGAAGAGATATGTATGTATGTATGTATGTATGTATATGTATATATATATATATATATATATATATATATATATATATATATATGTGTATGTATGTATACACAACGTACATACAAGGATTCTACAAATTCTTTTAAACTATCACGTCAACGTTACTGAAATTTATCAGAGATTTCAAAAATCGTAATTTGTAAAAAAATAATTTAAAGATGGTTATAAGAGTAAAGTGGCATATTGAAGTAAATTTAATTATTTCTGTACATCTTTATTTCTTTAGTAAGCAATAAGTAGAAAATAAAATAACTAATAAAGCATAGAAAGCTAATTGTTAAAATGTTATTTCTTTATTTCGGCAACAGCCGTAAGAGAAGTTGAGCTTGCCATTTATTTTAATCAAATACGATAGTGTTAGAATGGTTATAAATTTGCGTCGCGACTAATCAAGATAATGTACCTGGTCAAGAGCACAAGAGAGATAAAGAAAGAAAGAAGATGCTTTTCAGTGTATCCAATATAAAATATGTTTCGGTATACCCACAGGCTGAAAATACGTAATAAAGCCAAAATCGAGCTTATATTGAAATTACATATATATGTGTACACATATATAATATATATGCATATACTATATACATGTATGTATGTGAGTATATATACACATACATATATATATACATTATATATAAATAAGTTGTTAACACACATGTATAATATAAGCGAGCTAGCCGCAAATTTATACTACAAAATATCTTAGAAGTCTTAAGTTTTTATTTTTATAACTGATATTAACATATAACAAAAAATTATGCACCTATATGCCCCATGTATTTTTTTTAACTCTAGCCACATTTCTATTTAGTGCCACCTTTAGCGCTAAATGTAAAATATTATAATATGAACTTTACCGTTCGCTGTGCAATGTATAGGATTATTAGTTGCACACCTATACAGAAATTGCACAGAGAATAATAAAAAGCAGTCGTGTAGAAAATGTCGAGACCAGATACATTATCCGCCCTAGAATCATCATACAGCAACTGATTAAATTATCTCAGAGTATTATAACACTTTTAAACAGTACATTTTCATTATGCGTTTAGCATTGCAATGTTATTATAAAAGAGAAACTGTAATGCTTATATTAACACTAGAATAAATATGTGGGTTATTCATATAAACGTGATTTTTGTAAAATTTTTTTGAATTGTTTTTCTTACCCATGTTAGATATACACATTTAATTTTTATTAAAAATTTATTTCCATAAAATTTTTATAGTTCACATATGTACCATACACGCGTATGTTTTTATCAATTTGTAACATAATAAAAAAATATAAAAGTAAAATTTCTCTTAACATGGGAAAGAAAAACTTTTCCTAAAAAACTTGTATATTTATTATATATTAAATTTATTTCTATATTTTTTTTTATTACAGCAGAGAATAAAAATACGTACTTCTAGATGCAAGAAGAGAGATAGAGAAGCAATATATTGCTCCTCTCACTGGCGAAATAAACAGAAGTGTTCATAAAACATTGATAATAAATTCACAAGAGAAAACAATTTTAACCCAAAAATCAAACTTTGTAGTTTTTAATATCTGTAGTATGCATGTATGATACATAACGGCATTATTAACACTTCGCGATAGCATTAATACGATTCTAAAGCTGAAAATCTTGAGATTCTGCAGTTAAAATAAGTATAAAAATTATAAAATTGTTTTACATTTTAGCATCTTTATCATATTAATCATCTTTTATAATAAATTATATGAATTATAATATTTACAGATAATTTGTCAGTTCTTTATATAACGTTTTATCTATCACTTTTAATTGCTCGATGCAAATAATGTTAAATAAAATACAATTTGCCGAACAGATATCTTAAGAAATATTCTTTGCCGAAAAAGATATCCTTAATTATTTTTTGACTTTAACATCTTCAGAGGCTAGTCTGTATTTATCTGCTAGAAATGCGAACTTTTGTTTGATTACTATATTTAAAAAAATCAAAGATCTAGAAATGAAACAAAAAGTTTAGATAAATGCTTGTAGAAAATTTAATTTATAAGAATCGTAGAAGAAGAATATAATGTACTTACTGATAATATTTACTGTATTTAACAGAATTTAATCATACATCTTTGTTACAATTGAACTGTTAAAAATAAACTAGGGATTCACAAATTCAGAGGCACTATATAATAAAACATGTAGCAAAAGTTTTGCAAGCATTATAACATTATATAAAGAATATCTGTAAAAAGAAATATACATATATACATAAAATATATATTCACATATATGTGTTAGATACAAATAAAAAATATCGTAAATTTAACCATGTTATAAGAAAAATAATATTTTTATAAAAGAGCTAAATATAAAAATATTCACAGTGGCATATATATGTGTATATATATAATAACAGTCATTTTTCTTTTGTTTGTAAATAGTATGCTAGTAATTAATTTATCTGTCAAACAAGTTAATTTGATAAATGAATTAATTAATTATATAATCTTTTTATCTCACAATATGAGATATGGGATAATGTCACAAAACATTAACAAAAGTTCAACTACATAATTAATGAAACAGACAATATTCCACATAGCGACTATTCTCAAAACAAATTTTCTGTACTAATCCTTATATATCATATGTAAAAATTATATAAATGATTCATGACAATGAATAAACGTCTTACAGTGACACTCAAAGTTTTTTATGATGTTACTAAATAACTCTATCAGATATAGACATAAGTAAAACTTAAAATTATTTTTACATGGTCTTTTTGAGTATAAATCCTTTCAAGATATGATTATGCCTCCAGTTTGTACACTAATACTGTATTTTATGTCCATAAACACTTATCTGTGTCAGTATCACTGTCATCTGTTCTGCTATATCCTTTAATGAATATATCAGAGAGAATAATTCTCTTGTGTATGTATATGATCTTGAAAGCTATGAAAGCTATGAAAGTAGGCATTGAAACAATATTTTATATTCTTTGGATATAATGATATCATGGTGCATTGATAAAATAATATGAGTCATATTTTACATAGTTTATAAAAAGGAAATTTTAAAAAAGCTGCTAATTCTTTGATTTTTTGTTTAAACTTTCCGTCAGATATTAGCTTGTGCGCTTGTAATGGTGCTCGAATAATGGTATAGTTATATACGAGCTAAGATATCATTGACCCCGGCAGACTGGTTCCTTTCTCCTCAGCCGCCCTCGTTTTACCCCTTTCACCACGCTCGCCTTTCATCGGATGCGCGCGTGCTCCACATCCATTCATACGCGAAATATACTATCACCGTTACTACGCGATTCTACTACCCGTTTCGCGGACGTGACTCCTCCACAGTATTATTTGTAACAATCAATTTATTACGAATTGAACTACGTCACTTACAAAACAGTGCATAATATTGCGTCTATCGATCCGTTTATATGTATGTGACGCAATGACAACAAAGTAATACTGTTACACAACAACGCTAAATAATAACCGTCTTCTATTCTCTAGGCAAATAGAGGCATATATATAAATAAATAATAAATTATATATATTTCAACATTGTGTTGTCATATACCAACTTGTGATATTCACGTAGGTTAATATGTTTTTTTGTCAAGAGTATAATTAGCTGATTTTTATTAAATATAGCGCAACACAGAAATTCAGTACCTTTTGATTTAAGTTTTCTTCGGGAGTTTGACAAAATTGCGAAGCCCTTCTTTAGAACTTGTAAGGGTGAGCTTCCCTTCTGTGATCGCACGTGCATACACAGGAACGTGCAAATCGAACCTCGAATGATATCCCGCTTCAAGACAGTAATGATAATATATAATATCTTTAAGTATTTATTTACATATAAATTTATTTAATTCATTTCTTTTCTTTTTAATTATCTTAAACGCAATCCTGCTTAATTAATTACGTATCCTTCTGAGTTAAAAAAAATCTTATTGGTCTCATTCCTAAGGGGAACTTCCCTTTCACAGCCGGCCCTGGCAAGAGTACTCGGGTGTATACACGCACTACATCCGTGTGATGTATGTATATATATGTCGCGTGTGAACGTAGTCGCACGTTATTCATTCGTCTGGCAGCTTGCCGTTCCAAGATGGAGAGAAAACAACGTCGTGACTGCTCTCGCGCAAGGTGGTTGTAAATACAAACCGGACAGCATCGATGATCCTGTTGATTTTTACGTGAAATCAGCGTTAAAAAGTGCAATGGCGAAATCCGTGCTAAGTTCAGATACGTTACCAAAAGCAGGTCGCGTTAACGAGGGTAGGATATTGGTTCTTTTTCTTTTCCATCATAAAGACGCCTCCTGTCACAGAGTCTGTTCATTTTACGTACATTACATATAGCAGTTTTTCGTATTATATTAGCAATATTTGTTGACAGATTTCTTATTAAAAAATATCGCAAAATTCTAAATTGATAGAGAATCAAATCATAATTTCAGATTGTTTAAAGTGCATGAAGTTACATTAATCTGCTACTGTATTTATAAAAATATTGTAAACAATATTTTTGGAGAACTTACAGTATTTACAAGTATCTTTGATAAGATACGATAAAATACGAAATATATTCTTTATTGTTTTTTTCTTATTTACTTTGTTATAGTAAAATTTTGCTTTGTTTTAAGTGCAAAAAGAGTGTAACTGGACGAACGAACTTGTTTGACAGCGCATGATTAGTCATTGCATTGGCATTCCTAATACTAATTACCGTACTTGCCGTGGTGTTGTTACAGTGTGCCGCGAATGGTTGGTGCACGAGGATGGAGCGCTGGCCTATCGACTTCAGGACGAAGAAAGTATGAAAAAATCGCACACATATGTTACATTTCTTGTATATGTGTAAAGAATTTTAGAATTGTACAGGGGCGTCTTACGATCGGTCATAAGGGTGCAAACATGAATAACTATGATAAAAATTTTGTTAAATATAAAAATTTGACATTTAAAAAACAAAAGATAACTTATAAATATCTTCTGATGTATATATACAAATGACAAATATTAATTTTTTTCTGAATATTTGTGTAGAAAGAAGTAATAAATAAATCACGCTATAATCGTGAATATATTATTATATATTATACTAAATTATATTATTTATTTATATATATATATATATATATATATATATATATATCATATTAAATGTTTATAAAATTATATATAAAATATATTTTTTATATTCAATAAGTACATGTACAAAATATCACAGGAAGAAATCTGATAGCTTTGTAACATATGTATTATTAATATTTGCAGTCAATGCTAATATATGATTTTTTTATTATTACTCACAGTCAAGGAGCATTATACTGGTAACAAAGTACGTAATGCACAGGTGAGAGAAGACTTGCCACGGGCTAAAGTGGAACAAGAATTAGAAGCTTTAAGATATCAAACTTATGTACAACAACAGTTAGTAACACTATTTGTTTGGTTAATGATGCATGATAGTTTAATATGAGAAGCAATAGTATTCTGAAATATTTTTTCTTCTAAAGGGAAGAAAGAGATGCCCTTGTCGCCAGGCAAATAGCAATTTCTTTAGAACGAGAAGAAAGACAAAGAGAACGCGAGTTGCAAGAACTGATGAGATTACAGCTAAGGCTTGGAGATGAAGCTATGCAACAGGAGATTGAAAAACGTGTGCAAGAAGAAAAAGATGAGGTTTGTTATAAAACATATGTTATTTGTTACATTAACTATGAAATTATTAAGAAAATATGGACTAAAACAGAGACTAAAACAGAAACAGTAATTGATCATTTTTACATCTATCGCACTAATAATAGTGTTGGAGCAGAAGATTCATATGCATGTTGAAATTTATTATATACAATAGGAACTCGCGAGAAAGCTGCAACAAGAGGAGGAGGAAGATAATCCCGACGGTCTGGTGGATGATCAACTAATGTTAGATCAAAAACTAGCAATGGAAGCACAAGACGCCGAATTTGCGCGAATGCTTCAGGAGAAAGAACGCGCAAAGGCGCGTAAAGCACGAGAGAGAGCAAGGCAGAAAAAACTAGAGCGTGAACGTCAACAGCAACAACAGCAACAGTTAGAGGAGCAGAATCTTGCAGAACGACCACAAAGACCGGATAGGTTGGATTTAAGGACTCCACCAGTCAAGAGTCGTGTTCGTCAGCCTAACTCAAACTATACTCATCAATACTCAGACCCCGAGGAGATCCAAACGTTGGACGATCCTTCGGTCGACGGTATGCGAGAAGTGACCAATGTTGCAACCATTATCGATCCCACTTATAACGCACATCGAAACACCTCAAGTAGCTCGAGCAGCACAATAAGCCCAACTTATGCCTTGCCGACACCACCTCAAGAGTTGATGCCTGATGACGTACCTTGTTATATGCCAATACAAGGTCAGCGACGGAATCAGGCCCAATCTTTGTCTAATAGCCACGAGGAGAAACATAAACGACGCGTTAAAGATGGCTGTAAGCATCAGTAAAGATTACCACAAATTAAAATAGTATTTTTTACAAAAAACACTTTTTTTAATTGCCATCGAATGTAGACAGTATTCATTTATAAGATTCGTCTAAGGAATTTTAGTAGGCACTTACATTGACTAACATTTATAATGTTTGTAACATTTATCAAGATTTATCGATTTTTTTCATTTTATATTGGATAATGCGTGTGTTTTGCCATATTATTATGTGGTAATATAATTCGCATTGTGCGAGGCATAACGTGCCTTTCTTAAAGGGCATGCAATCTATGACGGCCTTGATACATATTAACAAATTATTCAAACAATCAATTAAGAAAGATTAACGATGTTACGATTGTTGATTAATATGAGCGGATTGATTGTACCGTCCTCGATTTTATATTTGCATTTCTCACGTCCACTTAATGTGGAATATCTCAAGACTAAAGATAAGAATTACTTTATTGCAATAATCCTTGTCAGTATTAGGATTTTTGATACTTTTAGCGAAAAGTAAAAAATATGACAAAAATATCATAGACAATCACAGAATTTATAAGAGATTTATTGTTCAAATTTTGATGCACTTAGGCTTGATGGTAAGTAGGCAGTAACGGTGTACAAATGTTAATTGACTGATAAAGTTTATCACGGCAACTCTCTTAATTCGTAGCAAGAATCGAGTATGCAGAATGTAAATGAAATGCAAGTGAGCAAGTTGTGATAAAAAATAATGAATTTTGTATAAATTTTCATAAATTTTCTCGCGACACTGAATATAATGACATTTTATAGAGTCTATCGTTCAATCGGAATCATAACTTGTTCTTACAGAATATAGCAGTATATTTCTGCTACATATTGTATATTGGGGTTCTCTCTAGATAGACAGCATTGATTTGATATGTAATAATACATCGCGAGTATTTCAAACCCCTTTAATAGTTAATAAGGTAGAATGTAAAGAATGACAACACTGCCAAAGATAACACTTTAATGCTGGCTTTTAAACAGATAGACAAAAGTGTTAATAAGGAAAGCACGTACACGCGTGTATTAAGCATATGTAACGATATACACCAAGGAGTGAACTATATTGCAATCTGCTCCAAACTTTAAAATATGATGCAACTTTTAAAACGCTTAGAACATGTTGCTGATTATAATATTTCAAGGAGACATGTTAAAACGTAAGAATGCGAAAAAAGTACAGTTGTCATATCCCTTGAATAGATACTCTACACTATTTATATTTCCAAAAAAATAACATGTTTACGAAACACTATTACAATTCACTTATTATTAATTATCGATTATTATAAGGAACGTATGCGGACGTATTATATGTACAATTTATTATCTACTAGTTCATATAAGATTTGTATTTCAGGAAAGATAAATAATTGTACTGAGAAACAGTGATTAAGCAATATTCCATTAGAATACGAGTTTATTTGCAATGATGTATTATTAATGGTGGCTGGAGCCTTCTCTTTTTTTTTCGATATTATCATACGTATTACCTTTTCTTTACATTTATTGTATTAATACATCTATACATAAGTATATGTTAATAAATTATTTACAAAGTTATGATACACTGCCTTTTAGAGAAAAAAAGAAAAATATTGTATTATTTTTTTGTACGTAGCAAAGAACTTTTTTAGTACTAATGAAATATGAAAAAAATATTAATGTTAAAAAGACAGATTGTAGACTTAAGCAAATTTCAAAAAGATATATACGTATATATAAACGGAATGAGTACTATTACAGTCGTGTGTGTATGTGTGTGTGTGTGGAAGAAGGAGAAAAGGTGTGTGTGTGTGTGCGTGGAAGAAGGAGAAAAGGTGTGTGTGTGTATATGTATGTATGCATTGAATGATTGATATAATACATTCTTAATAATAGTTTATATAATTATGGTATATTTTGGCATGACAGATTTTTAACTGTAGCTGTTATCTTTGTACAACGACCCAATCATGTGTTGACATAGGGATTAAGCATAATATATGCAAAATTGAATGAGACAAAATCGTACAGCTAACACATACGATGCAGTTTTTGTGCATTAATCATTATATGTTTATATAGGTTGCAAAAACAATCTTCGAAACTATATGTGCATCGCTTTCAAAAAGAAGGAGAATATTTTTCATTTCAATATCGTACTAGTGTATATTCTAAATACTGCAGTATTAAAATCAATTATTATCAACATAATATATATCCTAATTAAAAAAAAAAGATTGCTCTATCTAATACACCAAGAATTCTGTTGAAAGAAATTAGATTGTCAGAAACAAAAAAAATAGCAAAGCAGGACGATCAATGTGTCCAAAAGTCACCTCTTCGTGCATTCGACTATCAATATAATTGTAATGAGCCTTTTACAATAAGCCATTAGTCACAAGTCGCAAGCAAATTGACTAATCACAGCTGATTATTTTCAACAATAATCGACCTTGGTTAATCATCTTATGACTAATGTTTTATTGTACAAAACCTATAATGGACCGTCTACAATGCGGTTGTAGTTACGTTTTAAAGTCGTAGCACTAGTCTGAATCGATCATATCTATCATATCTATTTTCTTTACGTAAACTTGTGAAAAATTAAAAGCTTTATTGACAAATTCAATAAAACTTGTAATGTTTTATGAGTTTACGTAAAGGAAATAAATATATGAAATAAATTCAGACTAGTACTAAGACTCTAAAACGTAATTGCGACCGCATTGTAGACAATCCTTAAATTTGACATTTTTCTTAGTAAGATCTCATTTCCTGTATGGTCCCCAGAATAATGTACCAAATCTCTTGCTTTACAACATAACTGGCAATCAACTAAAAAAGAACTTCAGAATTTATTGCTTTAAAAACTAATCCAATAATTCTTCGCTCTAACATACCTTATTGATTGTTAGTATTCGCATTGTTCATCATACAAGCATAATTGCTCTGTACTATATTTCATGCAAAGCGAAAACTCTGGAGACGATCAATAGTTTTGTACACGCAATTTATCGATGTATCTATGTATCTGTCGACAATTAATTCTCAGTTACCTGTCAGGGTTTCCGTAATTGTTGTTTCTTCTAAGCAGAATTCAAAATATTATACAAATTAGCTTTCCAGCGTTTCTAATACGTAATTTTAGAGAAATTTCAATTTGTTTACGTTAGCAATTGACTATAGTCTTTCTCCCTTTCGCAATCACGATTTTATCATCGCAATGTGGGCAATTAATGAAGTGTACAGTCAATTACAACGTAGTCAAGTGAATGCCTTTCTAATTATATAAGCAATATTACATAAAAAATACAATCACATATCAACAAAAAATATTGTAGTTCCAGAAAAGAATGTGTAAATTGAGTTTAAGAATATCGACAAACCAAGGACGTACGATAAAATCAACTGAATTTTCCACATAATTTCTTGTTCATTCTTTTGCATTTTTGGGTCTATTTAGTACAGTGAATTTTGTCCGACATCGCGATCCGTAGGTATTGACGGTTACACGAGCGTAACGGCTAGATTCATCAATATCATCAGGCTTCTGAATAGCAGGATGTTCTTCTCCTTCCTGATAAGGACTCGGTATGAATGAGCTTAGTTTTCTGTAAGAAAAATTAACATAAAATAGAACGATTTATTTTTGTAAATTAGTTCGAGTTGATATAAAAGTCTCGAAAAGCAGCAGAGCAAAGAGACATGAAGCAGTAAGAGGGAAATGAAAAGGAACATTAGAATCAATTATTAAATAACGACCTACGATGCTGATTCGGTAAAATATTTTTGGATCTGGTATGCGGCGACGAGAAAACGTAATTCGGAACTTCTCCAATATCTGCAAATAGAAAACAATTATCATTAAATCCTTCATTCTTGGGACACCTTATCGTATAACGAACAAATGCTCGCTACATATCAGAATGAACTGATAATCATTTGTAATTGTAATAGTTATAAATTGATTTATTCAACTATGCGAAATTGATTTATATATTTGTCATTTACACCGTATTTTCATGTCCACGTATTCATTACAACGTAAGACTATTTACTCAACATGTATATGTTCAGGCACCTTTCTCATCCAACGGTACGTCGTCCATTTTCTCCGGCTGAGAGAAAGAGAATAGATTGCTGTTTTCTTCATTCACACTTGTCCGTCGCGTCTTGCCTCGATTTCGCTGCGTCGCTTCATCCTTCTTCGTATCCTCTATCGCTGTGGTCGACGCAGCCCTTCTTCTACGTGCAGGAGCAACATCCCGCGTGATTTTGCTATCCGCCTCTTCTCTAAGTTCCCTTCTATCCTCGTTCTCCCCAACAGGCTCCTCCGCTATCGGTTCTTCCACGATACTTCTCATACTGCTAATTCTCCTGAGCTTTATTTTCACTTGTTTGTACGACACGTCCGCACTGGCCGCTCTCCTCTCTCTGGCGTTTACATGCGCAGTTGCCTTTCGAGCTGTGGATCTCGTCTCCCTCGATGACGATTGACTTAAGATTTCTTCCAACTCCTCCGGTATAGACTGTATCGATATGCCACGTCTGCGTGTGTTTACGGCTGGACTGTCGACAATCTCTTTCGTGTTTCTCGTGACGGAACTCCTGAGTCTCCTCGGACTCTCCAGAGACTCTAGAGAAAGCTCAGCATCTTCCGGAATAATTTCTCTAATTATACTACTAGACCTACGTTTCCTTCCAGTCTGTACTGTGATTTCTTTAGGCACTGAGCTACCACGTCGACCTCGACTGGCTTTAATCACCTCCGGTTGCTTCTCTAGATCCGCCGTGAAGGATCTGCTCATTGTCATCGTTGAAGATCTCTTGGCGCGCACAGACTTCTTCGTACTATTCTTCGTTCTATCGACTTCTTCTACCTCTTCATCGTCGCTCGTTTGTTTAGGCAACGATGATGAGCTCTCTGATCTGGTGCGAGTCCTCGATGCGCTCACTTGTGATTCTTTTTTCATGGAAGACGTGAGCCTTGCGCTTCTCCGCACTGTTGGCTCATTCTTAACGTTCTCAAGTTTACTGTCCTTGAGGTCCGATGGGGGAATCTCCTTCGCCACAGATGTAGACCTACTGCGACCTCTCTTGACCAACATTGATGTATCCATGGAATCTACCAATTCTGTCGAAGCCGCTGACCTGAGATCCTCGTCCGTCGCCGTTGAGCTCATCAGCACCTCCTTCACGAGGGAATTCGCTCTGCGAGAACGTGGTTTCACTGACAAAGAAATATCTTTTGTTGAACTCGCTCTCCTTAATCGCGATGACTTGCCGACATCTGTTTCCTGTGTTAAGGGATCGGCCAATGAATCGAACGTGTTTGAACTCGCGCGTCGCAATCGCGGAAATTCGTCTGCACTTTGTGCTGGAGAATCCGTCAACGAATCTTTTGCCATCGAACTCGCTCTTCGTGTTCGCGGCAGTTTCTCAGCAATTATATCTTGCGATGAAGAATTCATCGGACAGACTGTGTCTTTCGCTACCGAACTTCCTCTTCGCGAACGCGTGACTCTTTCCATCTCTAGTACTTGCGATGACGAAGTATTTGCCACTATATCTTTCGTTAACGAACTCGCTCTATGCGATCTAGTCACTCGCGCGGATTGATCATCCTGGGACTCGATTTGATTTCTCTTACACTTCGAGGAACTCGCAGTCTCCGACAGCTTCTCTCGAAATTCAACGTCAGGCAAAGCTGGAGTTTCACTTATATCTCTCCTCACGGTGTTATCTCTTCTATCTGACTTTCCATTCGTTTCGTCGGATTCACTTTTCTTTTCGGCCTCGACGACACTTTGCTTTGTAGCATATCGTCTCGGTAAATCCGACAATTTGCCGTTCTTCGTCTTTGATTCCTCGATCTCTTTAACACTGCTGTCGGATTCATCATCTGTGATGTTTGGTATGTCGTATAATATACTTTCTGAATGGGTAGTCACAGTCGAGTATATTTTCTTCTCGTTCACGTCGTCCGACTCGTAGAGTATCATCGCGTCTTTACTCATCATCGACTCGTCGTCAGTAAAATCGATGTCGCCTGTCAGTCGCATGGACTCCTTCAAACCATTGGATTTCTTGTCGAGATCGTGCTCCTCCGGATTCCAGACATCTGGTAAGCAAGAAATAGGAACTTCGCTCTCCACCTGCATCTGCGCATCTTCCAGAGTTGTAGATAGACTCTTGAATACCTCATCGTCGTCGTCGAGACTGTACTGTAGTTGAAGGAGCTCCTCGTCAGACTTGTCCGAGGCAGTCAGACTTGGTTCCGCGACCTTCTCAGGGTTAGAAAATGCAGGTTGTTCCTCATTAACATTCAAAGTCTCTCGCCTCGTGATACCTCCATTGTTGTACTTGCTTTCATCTTGCTCATTTTGTACGTTTTCCTTTAAGCTACTTTGCTGCTCCGGAAGCTCGTTTCTATCATAAGCAGATTGTTCAATACTCGAGAACCTTTCGGATTCACTTAACATATCAAGCTCTTCTTCAATTTTGCACGTATTTCTTACAGACAATTTCGACTTCATATCCTCTTTTTCTTCTATCTCCTCCTCTTTCTTTTCCTCTTCTTTATCATCTTTCTCCTTGATATCCTCATCGACTACTTGCTCATTATTCGCGCGCTTTAATGAAACTATTCCTTTCGTCAATGGAGTGGATGAAATAAATTTACTTATACGATTCTTCTCCACAGAAAAGCTCCAGCGAGACTGCGGAGTAGCTCTTTTCAGCTCCTGCAATGAATAGTCGGTAATATCAACATTACTGTTGGAGGAAAGTATAGTAGTAGAGTCGCCGAAAGCAGCCGACAATAATGAACTGCATCTTCCAGATGTATTCACAGTGAATGCAGGCGGTTTGTTGGCCTCGTCAGCAGCTAACGAAGTTTTTGCGGACGTGTTGATGGGCAATGTGTCACTAGCCGCTCTCCCTACGTTACTCGACAGAGATTCTTGGAACATTTCTACGGATGATTGTAAGGCACTTCTTCTGAGGCTAGGTCGCGGACGTGGGAAACAGTAACTCCTGCTAAAGTTGCTGGAGTTGCTGGAGTTAGCACTGAGGACCGCGGTTTCGTTATACGACTTGTCTTTTGCATTAGGACTGAGGAACACGTCGTTGCCTTCGCTCAAGATGCTGTTGTTTTGCTCTTCATCTTCATTTTTCTCATCTTCCACCTTCTCCTTCTTCTCGTGTTCTTCCTTCTTTTCGTCTTCATCCTCATACTGTAAGGTTTTCTTGGGCTGATTGATGCTGAATCGTATTTGCCTGCTAATTTTCTTCGATTGATTATCGACTAACCTGTCCGTGATCTTCTCTTGAACTGAAGTTGTGGGCGATATAGGCGAGCTTCTTATGAGACGCTTTATCTTCAGGATCGACTGTGGTGTCTCCGAGACGATGTCTTTGTTCGTGGACGCATTGAACTTGCGTTTCACTAGAGGCGTCGCAAAGCTTAATTCCGATTCTTTAGTTTTTCCATTTGATCTATTCGGCGAGACAGTCCCGTCTGACAGTTTACGACGTTTTGCACTGTCCACCATCTCGTCATTTGTATCCTCGACGTTCTCATAAATCTGATTCACCGTACGTTTGTTGATGCGACGGGTTTTTCGTACCGGGAACAGCACACAATTCACGTTGGAACCTTGATTGTTCAGCTTCAACGATGTGCAGGGTGCACTGACGAACGGAATCTGACACTTTTCACCTCGCAAATAGGTTTCCCGCGCCTTCGTAATCACTGCTTCGTGTATACCGCGCAGTTGATCGTGACTTTTACAATGCGACATTGGCCTGGGATAGCGGGTTTCCAGATCTACATCCAAGTTGGTCGCGGCTGCATTCACGGAGAAGCGCTTCGTAATGTCAGGCAAGGTCGTGTTGTACGCGCCGAGCATGCTAAGCATGGGCTGTGCGTCTTCGGCGAAATTCGACTGATAGCGCACAATCGTTTGATGATTGTCACCACTAGTGATCGCTTCCGTATACCGGCATCGCTGCAAGTAATACAACAGTCGTACATCCTCCGTCTTGTTCTCCTCCAGGAACTTCACAAATACCTCTTCTTCCTCGGGGTCCAGCGCCAAGTGCAGAATCTCGTCGAGTTTACCGTAGGTTTTGCACGCGCGGAAAAAGCAGGTCAGCAGTTGCTCATAGTGACAGGGTGGCCGGCGATGGAAGGCTGACTGTACCAGACCGTGTTCCACCGACAAACTTACGGCGACACTTTGCTCCTCCATAGACGATAAAGGAGGTTTTCTCACGCGGAGATACACGAGAGCCAGCTTGTGCTGATTGTTGCGTACTAGTGTACGCAATATAAATCGATGATGCCAATCCTTGACGTCCGAATCGGACACCAGCTGGCCGGTCATCATATCGAGAAATCCTTGGTAGTCCTCGTGATCGAGCAGCCAGAACGCCTGAGTGAGTTTAATGAGGCTGGGACTCATCTTGAAAGCAGATGGATACTTGATCAATTGATCCACACCAGGGTATAGTCGTTGCAACAGCATCGCCAAATCCATCAATAGGTATATAGTAATTTGGTGCTTATAGCTGACTTCGTGCGGTTCTATGTGATGACAATCCGTCAAATAACTTCGTAATAAAGATTGCAGTGACGGCGGTGGATAACAGCCGCCTAAGGCACCCACACCGCCTTCTTTCTCCCATTGTTCCTTCAACACGGAGCACTCTCGCGTCATCAGCTCGTCGATGAACAGCACTTCTTCCTCGTTTTTATCGTCGTTACTTTCTTTAGTCGTTCGAGCAGCTTGCGCTCGTTTCTCTTTGTAAGATGTTGAAAGTTTTTCGTACGGATAAGGCACTTTTAGCGCTAAGGAGATAGGTAAGGTACTCTCCTCCTCCAATTCCTGTGTCTCAGGTAATAGCCCCACGTCATAGAACCAGAGCAGCACCTGGAAATACATGGACACGCGTTTCAGCATCCTTCGTTGATTTGTCAGATCTGCTGTCCCAAATGGTAATTTGGCCACCACATTGGATAAGCACTCCAATTGCTGGGAACAGAATCGCAACGTCCTCACGTCAGCCTCGCCAATACCACTACCTGATTGATCAAACAACGGGACGCAGAGTCGATCAGCGAGCATTTTTATCGTAGAAGCTCTTTGAACACCCCATTTGAGGAAACTGGAATATAGGTACGAGGCGCTACCGTCAGCCCAATCTAAAGCACACTTTACCAAGAAAGTGGACCACCGTTGCTCAAGGCATAGCGACAGTAACATCTCCCGCTGCGCATTGTAGTCACTTGCGAGCGAGAATTCCGAATTGAACGGCATCAAGCCGACGGACAGACATCGGTGAAACGTCTCGGATGGTTGTAACAGTATAACTGGACCGGCAATGGCCATTTCACGCAGCAAATCCGCTTGAATGCCGCGAGTCATCCAGAATGTTAGTCCTGTCGGGCACAGTTCTATCCACTCAAGCGATAAAGAATTGGGATAGAACAATTCCTCAGGCGAGTTCGGCCCGTTGCTAGGAAACTCTTGTAAGCTCAGCGGAACGTATGCGAAACTCATAATGCGATCGTACTTTTGCTGCAAAAAGTGCGCTCTAGCGCGATAAGTCGCCAAAATGCTATTTGGATTCTGACACTCGTCAATGGTGCGAGGCATTTGCTCTTTGTACCATTGATTTAAGTCAAACAGTAGTGTTCTCTCGCTGGTGGAGATAAGTAGTAAATTATCCTCGCCTCTCTTGACACCTGAGTCCGTCTGCTCCGGATTGGTTTCTCTCTCGATGGTGCATAAACCGATGACTCTATCGTTCTCATTCAACTCGAATTCAAACTTCAAATTGGGATCGGCTTCCAGATTGAAATACAAATTCATTCCACGATCGCAGTATTTCCTCTCAAACAGCATAGCGTACATTCGCAACACAGACGGTGTCTTCGATGACGACTCATCCTGGAACACTACCCATAAATAATAAAATGGTCTAGGATCATCTGTAGGCTCCAATAAGGCCAAATGCGTGACCGCCATGTTTTCATCGATAGGCACACTGATCCATCCCACGGAACCGTCGTTTTGCCAAATTATCACTCTACCTAAGCAGCCGGAAATCAAACAGCCGATCTTCGTGGAACTAACGATCGCTGTAGTTAAACTTTCACTGACTAAAGGAGACGATTCGAATTCTTCCCTATTGAAGCCAATATACTTTTCTATACCTAAAATATCAAATTTTGAGAAAAGTGAATAACAGTATCGTAAATTAATAATTAATTAAATAAATGCTTAATACGCATACATGTAATCGCAATTCACAATACTCACGACTATTTAGCAAATTGTAAGCCGCGTGTCTCTCCTGATTAAATTGATGTCTGGTGCCGACTTGTTTGGTTAACAGGTCCATCTCTGCTGGTGATGTTTCATCCATCACGACAGATAAATCATGTATATCCCATGTAGATCTCCGAAGATCGATCATGATATGCTGGAGATCATGTAAAACTACACAGGCTATTCCATCCATCTCGTTTAGTATGTTATCTGGTCTCTTTTCATTGAACTCTTCCCATTCTGCACCACCTGATACAACGCATACCTTTTCTATCCCACATGGCATCTGTAAAATCCAAAAGTAACCTCTTACCAATGTTATCTTTTTAGGTAATTTAATAATTACATGTATAAGATACACCATTGAACATTTAAACACTTAAAAATGCTATATTTAACTATTTCGCTGACAGATGCGTAATAACACACCTGTCTGTCCCATGAATGGCAAACATGCACTATTGCACATCTGCCAGCAAAGTGGTTAATAAAAATTTTGATAACTCAAATAATGTTTAATTATTTTAATAAACAAATAATGGTAGAATATGCTTACACGAATTGCTCTTAAAACACGAGAAACAGTGCAGTCAAATATGCACAACAATCCAGAAGAATCCTTTGGTTTACTTGCTCTGTTATCTATTCCAACCAGCAGCAATGGCAAGTCTCCAGATTGTGTAGGAAATTGGGATATCGATGTTACAGTTCCACGAAATGTCCAACTACTGATGCTTTCTCCTGTTTTTGCATTGAAAACTACAAAATAGCAATCATAACTTAACCATGCATACATTGCATTATGCAGAAATCCTCCATAGCAATTGTTAATGTCGTGTTCTTGAGAAATCGTAGATTGATTCTGATCTTCTGTCTCTAAATTTCTCAACCTGTTTGACACAGAGAGTGGAAGGTCCACGATCCTGCGAATCTATATAAAGGAATTATGAAAAACAATTATAAGAAAAAATGAGCATAATTACCAAATAAAATATTACATTTTCTTAACTAGACTTTGCAGTAAAAAAATTCTAATATAAGCCATCACATCTATTCAATCACTGACAATGACGACAAATGGAAATTTTAAAAATAGTTAACTACCTCGCAGTTGACTTCTTCAAACTCCTTCATGTCTTACGCAGGCTACCGAAATATTTTACGTGCTAAAAGTTGCATTTAAAAACCGTACTCGCAACTCGAAATGAGGTTATGTTGGCGCCAAATCTCACAATTTTCCCATACAATCACTTAACAGGTACATCGAAATTGAAATTGCACGTGCGACAGAAGATAATTATTAGAAGAATACAGTAACAACGTAATTTGGAATCGTATTACGAAATCAGTATTGTCTCTCATTCATCTTGTTACGCGTGCGAGCATTTTAAAACCGCTACTATACAACTGCGAAGTACGTTAAACACTGTTCCCAACCGTATCGTTTTGCGATATACGAGACATCGCGCATATATAAATTTATTCATCAATTATACAGTAATCGGTAAATACGAAATATTACACACATTGACGAATATACTATAAATATTAACAAAATCAAAATAGTTCTCATCTAACACGCTGCCAATAGTTCGCATAATGGAAGATTTACACTACACAATCGATATTCGATTTATGATATTTCGTATCCAATAGAAATAATTAATTTCTAGGGACTTAGGTCGGTATTTATAGTCGATTTTATATTTAAGATTATCTCGAGTTCATCTTTAGATGTTATGCAGCCAATGAAGTGATTCGAACGGTATCTGAAGATAAACTCAAGACGATCTTTAAAAAATGGTAGAAAATTGTATAAAACAATTCATTAAAGTTTTAAAAATTCATTGAAAGCGGCATATAAAATTTGGAAAATCCGCAGAAAGTCGTATTTCTTTTAGTAATATTTGTCAATAACTTGTATCATTGAAAAATACCATTCGTGATAACTATAAGTTAAAATAATTCGATATGTCTCGCGAACAATCGAAATAACAGTATCACATTAATTTGTTATTTCACTAGATATTTCTTAACAATTTAGATACCGACAAATATTGCTAACGTAGTACAGAACACTACCGATAAGCGCTTATCATGAACGCTTTCAGTAAAAAGTCTTCTTTGACACACGAATCTAGTCTGCTTATTCAGAACCACGGTTATTACAGTATGATGCATTGATTTGACGTGTGTCTCGATGTACATCTCTCCATACGCTAACTTTTCCCTCAAATTTTGGTTCGTTGTGTAAGTGCTCCAAATCATAAATATTAATAATTCATCTAATAAAAGTTAAATTGAGAATTTCATCGTTATAGCGACTCGGGGAATATATCGTCGTAACCGTGTCGAAAGTTTTCTACAAGATTAAAAACATGCAGCAATTTATATTGGCTGTTAAAAGAAAAATATTTAACGGTAATAGAATTGAATTTTTAAAAAATTTAGAGGTGTTCTTTATTTCTTTGGCAATCAACAAATGTGCAAGTTTTAATTATTTATATATATATATATATATATATATATATATATATATATATATATATATATATTATTTATGCAAGTTTCTGGATAGTTCTTGTAGTGTGCAGCTATAACAATTTTATGTTATATGAATGTGACAAAATATACAAGTATTCCCTAAAAACTTAAGTAAATATGTCACACCAGAATATGAATTTTTCAGATGAAAAAATGGCATCCAAACCTGGTGAGGTTGATCAACATATCAGTGACGATCAACAGGAAGATGGATTTTCTACAGAAAACTATGACTGTTATGAAGACTATATTGACATAGACTCTGACATTGATGAGAGAGGTAACTACATTTTTTTTAAATCAACAGGAGCACGTAGGATCCGAACTAATTCTGAACCAAAACTAAGTTCTGGAACAACAATAGAATGTACTTGTGAATTATCAACAACAATTAAGGATAATGATGTTGAGAAAAACACAGAATCTTCTGATAAGGAAGTTGTTACCAACACAGGTAAAAGACACACACACACATATACACATTGTTATGTATATTTATATAAATTACTATATATTTTATACAGCATGAAAGCATAAATAAATAAAATCAGATATTTCTATGAACTCAAAATATTCTTTTGCTCTCTACTTTTTTTTATTGTCCTCTATCTCAGTACTTTTGACTTTTAAAAAAAATAAACGTGCTCTGTGTGTGATGATGTCATTAGCTGTGATACTCTGAAGTAGCTAATGTTCTAAGGTTTCACGTTCATGTAAAGTCTTTATAATCTAATAATAAAATCAGCCATTGTGTCCTACTGCAATATAAGACAAATTCAGAGTACATTAACATTCTTAAAGAATGCCAGTGCAATACAGAAATAAGAAGAAAGTTTCAAGATCTCAAGATATAAGTATTGGTGATTGCAGAATTATATATAGATACAATACTAAATATATTTAGTTATATAAAATATTTAAACACATTATTTTACATTGAATCTACTATATTAAATTTTAATCTTATATATTTTTGCCACAGAAAGTGTTGAATCTGACTTAAGTACCAAAATACCAAGTAAAATGAAGGAAGCGGGTGTTATTAAAGTGTGTGATGAAAAATATGATCCTACTATCGATGAAAGGTTACCACATACTGTGACATTATTAACCACACCAGATGGCGGAAAATTATACCTAATAGGAACAGCACATTTTAGTGTTGAAAGTCAAAATGATGTGTCAAAGGTAACTGGAATATGTACTTTCTTTTTTTGTCTTATTACAATTATGATTTTACAAATGCCTTCTTTTTAAGTCAATATTTAGCAAATATATCATTAAAATTATTTTCTACAGATTATACAAGCTGTCCAACCTCATATAGTCGTGGTTGAGTTGTGTAGAGATAGAGTTGGTATATTGCAACTTGATGAAGAAGCTATGTTTCACTATTCTAAGGACATCGGTTTTCGTGAGTTTGTGTGTGTGTATATATAATTTTGCAATTGTCTATATGTTATATAATCACTTGACTTCTTTTATAGAATGTATTTTGGATATTCTTAAAAAGGAAGGAATTTATAATGGCTTATTGCATATTTTATTGCTAAGAATGGCAGCTCACGTGGCCAAAGAACTCGGAATGCCACCCGGTGGTGAATTCCGAAGGGCATTCGAAGAGGTTAGTGTACATTTAATAGAAACAATTATTCATACACCTGATTAATATAACTTGATTTACGTGTATTTCAGGCAAAAAAGGTGCCAGATTGTATAATTCACATGGCCGATCGACCTATTAATATAACAATGCAACGTGCATTACGGTCGTTATCGTGGTGGCAGACCATAAAACTAGGCTGGCACTTAGCATTTATGAAAATGCCCATTACCCAAGAAGATGTCGAGCTCTGTAAACAGCGATGGATGCTGGATGAAATGATTGCCAGCATGAAAGGGGAATTTCCAGTATTGGGTGAAGTGTTCATCAAGGAGAGAGACATTTACTTGACATACTCATTGCAAATAGCTTGTATGCCTCAATTTACACCCCATGGTATCAAACCAATGCGAGTTGTTGGAATCGTTGGTTTGGGGCACACACCAGGTATTATCGAGAATTGGGGTAAAGTTCAGCCTACCGATATATCACCTATCTTAAAGTACGTATAAAATTATTATAATATACCTTATATAGAATTTCTTATTATCTCCGCAATCTTAACGTCAATAACTAAATGATATTAGCGAAAAGGGGCGGAGAATTACCTAAGATTTTTACTAAGAAAAAATTAACTGGATCGCTTTAGGGAATCTATCATTAAAGTTAATCGTAACATGTAAAACATTCTGTATATATTCAACTGATATATATTATTCGTCAATTTATCACTTTATTTTTTCATAGAGTACCGCCACCGTCAATGTCAAGTAAGATCTTGAAATTCACCGTCGAAGCGTCTCTGTTCAGTGCTGTAATATATATGAGCTACAAAGTTTTAGCAGTACCTGCTATTTTTACGTTCCAATCTATCAAGTCATCGGTTGAGGGACTTCTAAAGGTTAGTACCGCGCGATAAAATAATTCAAGTTTAATTTACAAAAACGGGGACCCCCTTTTTTTATTATAAAGCAACAACTCTTTCCTCTTTTATCTCGTGCTGCCTTTGTGTCGAAAGGCAATCTCGGACCTCTTCGGGTTTCTTTATTGATATACGATTGCGGTAAGCATGGAAGCAACCGCTTCTAATGACGAATATGAACACGCTCTAGCCAACGTGATGTATGTAACAAATAATATACCGGGACCTGGCGTAGATATAGTAGATTTCGAATCGGAATATTCCATAGGATGCTCGTGCACAGTTGAATGTTACAATTGCTCTTGTACACGTGGTTCTGCTAATTATTCCAATGCACGAATTATCGATGAAAAATTAGCTGTGCCTATATTCGAATGTAATACTAACTGCAAATGCCAATCGTATTGCGGGAATAGATTGGTGCAAGATGGCCCATTAGACTGTTTAATTGTGCGTGAGGTCGCCGGCAAAGGTCTCGGTCTCTTCACGACTAAAACTATCGAAAAGGGCCAATTTATTTGCGAATACGCTGGGGAAGTAATAAGCTTGCAAGAAGCGCGATACCGAATTGAAATAAATAAAAAATATAACGCAATGAATTATGTGCTTATAGTTCGCGAACACTACGGTGAACGCGTTATTGTAACTTGTATAGATCCGAAGTGTTTTGGTAATATTGGGCGCTATGCTAATCATAGCTGTGATCCAAACTCTAGCCTCGTCCCGGTAAGAATAGAAGGAATTATACCTCGGTTATGCTTATTCGCATGTAGGGAAGTAAAAAATGGAGAAGAAGTGACTTTTGATTATGCTGGTGGATTAGCGGCTAATTCCGTCCATTGTCTCAGTGATACTCCTTGTCTTTGCGGTTCTAATAATTGTTTCGGTTACTTACCGTATAATCCAGTTTGACAGCATAGGAGGCACTCTTTTAAAATTATATTTACATATAATATTATAATAATAAAACTAGTTTAAACGCTTGTAAAATTTACATCGCTAGATTTGATCTATAAATTACTTACATAAGATCAGAATGGCGATGAAAAAATTGTGTGTCTTGAAACACTCGATATCATAAATTAGAATAAGATACATAAATCAAAATTCTCATAAATGAACACATAGTTCTATGACTGGTCATGTGTAACTGGAATCATATGTAAATCTGGAATATAAATTTTAAAAGTATGTGTTTTTACTTTACATATAGATACATGTAAACATGTATGTACATACACAAAGAAAGGGTGTGTCTAATTATATTAATAACGTTATATATCCCAGTCGCTTCACCTGCATGTTAATCGACGCTTCTTTGCAATAGATCAATGCTATCAATTCTTATATCAATTCTAGTATACAGAATATCACGTATGTAAGCGAGATATCCTGTATACTTCCACATTGCGACTTCAAACATAATGAAAGCATAATTTAGTGTTTAGATGGCTTCTGCTATTTATTATTTTATATTTTATTACGAATTAAATTTTATTACTTATACTTTTATGTGTAGTACATTTTAAATTAGTTCTATTAAATACACTTTTAATTAAAGTATGTAGAATATATAAGATGTGGACAAGCACGTTGGTAGTATTGATTTTCTATCATATCACGATATCAATGTGTATATAAATTATTTAATGTGCCAACAAAGAGAATATATGACATAATATTTTCCCAATCACACAGTAATTTAGCTAAAGGTAAAGTTTAAGAAACACGTTCTATAGTTCAAAATAGTATTTCTCCTGCTCGGTTAGTTTTTATTATGTATAAATAACGCAAAAGAAGTGATAATTAATGCAACCAACGTGAGGTGTTCTCAAGAAAGTAGACATTACCAGAAATTGCCAATTACTGATGTACACATTTAATGATCTGCTTCTCATTGAAACGACAAATGAACAGCGAATCAAACATTTCTTCAATTATTAGAACTAGGGTTAATGTATAAAATATTATTACGATATTCATATCAATGGTATTGTAAGAGTTTAATTATATGTATGTATACACATATTTATATAGGCATAAGATACATCTGGATTATGTAACATCGAGTCATTGAAATTTAAAATTTTTCGATTGTTAAAGAAAATCAATGGAGTACATAGCACAGTATATTAATATATGAAAATAAAATAATATGCATGGTAACGTTGAGTTACAAATAATTCGTTAAAATTTTATATATAAAGCATATGATATAAATATATATGTATATATTTTTTCTTTATAATTGTGTGGATACTTTTACTATATAAGACATTGGTACATGCTTATTTATGTTATACCAATGACAAATATAGTTCCCAATAACTGCCTTTAATATGTATAAATGACGATTTGTAATAATAGAATTAATTTGAACGATCATCCAATGTTCAATGTTACATACTCATTCAGAAATTCAGTATCATCTTCTGTATGATCGTATGTTGTATATTATATTTAAGGGGTTTCATATATCACTTGTAACATTAGACATACGCTTGTATTAAAGAGTAAATCACTGAAAATTTGTAGATGGTACATGGCTTGGTATATCTGTGTCGCTCTGTACATGAACTTATCAGGATAAATGCTTTTAAAGTCAATTACGTTTATCGTGAAAGTAGTATTAGATATTAAGCTTATATGTAAATTTTTAGCTTAAGATTATATTAATTTATCTTAATTTGTCGAGATAAATTTTCTATGATGTAATTATTTCTTTTTTTTCATAATTGACAAAATTTGGATCTCGACGTTATCATTGACAAAGTTATGTAAAATTTACCATGTAACATGTACAAAGTCACTAAGTTAATCCAAATCTGTAAACTATGTGAATGGCAAGAAAGGTAAATAGTTATATGTTGACAATAAAATTATGTACACATTACGACATCACAATATTTGTCTAATTATCTTTCATGATCATATTTAGAATATATAATTAAGTGAAATAATTTAGCGAAGATATGAATCATCTCTAATATTTGCATTAGGTTTGTTTTAATCTTTTATTAACAAAAATTAATTTATAGTTTAAAATCAGTTCATAATAAAAATACAATAAATCTGTTATAATTTCTTTATGAGAAAAAAAGGAATAGTAATTATCAAATTCCAATAAACAATGTAGTCATTAATGATACAGAATTTGAGAAACTCATAAAAACTCTATTCATTATTACGATTTGTAACATAAAACTGTGACTGAAATATATGCGCACATATATTATCATATATCTGTAAAAAATCTTACTTAATAAATATAAAGGAACATTTATTGTTGGTAATATTAATGGTAATAAATTCTTAAATTTTGTTATATCAATGACTTAAGTTCCGAGAGAAATCACGAAAGAAGTTAAATATTTGAAAATGAACAATATGATGAGATTATTTAAATCCTTGTATTAAAATAATACTATCTTATAATTAAAAATGGTTATCGTTTAGTTTATACGAGATTCTTTACATTCGCTTGACTCTACATTGACTAGTTTTAATTAAAGTACATTAAAGAAAGTAATTTTTGTACTTATTAAGTATTACGTATTGGTACATCATACATCTCTTTTATTCTACCTTTTCATTTGTATGATACAAATTTAAAACATATGTATATATAAATTTCAGCTATTACAGGCTAATGTCTTTAAAGTCTATTATAATGAAAAAAGATTATGATGTACGAACACACTTTTTTAATTTTATCGTGATATTCTGTAAATTTTCATACAGATGTCTTAACATATAATAAGCGTCACATTATATGCGATCGTTAAGGCATTATTATTTCAATAAAATTTCAAACTAAAATATTTGATGTTAGTGCCGACTTATATTAATTACTCTGTGCATTGGCAGTAGATACCGATTTATCGTCAGTTTGGTATTTCCACCGCCACCATGCTACTTTCATTCGATCCCAAATATTTTCCCACGAATCCATAGCGGGTCGTACATCGAGTAATGCGACCGAGTGATTCTCGTGGACTTTATCACCCTCGTAATAATCAATAACGTATCTGATACGCTTACCACAGCGATCCACAATCCAGTCATGTCGATCGAATGGCAGTTTATATCTAAAAAAATGTTTCACTATAAGACCTTATAATGCAATAGATACTGTTATTTGAAATTTGTTATATTCAAAAGATCTCAGATGTATTTTTAACAAATATTTTGTTTTTTGAGCAAAAATGTTGATGAAAATCATTATTTGATGTGTATATATGATTGCAATTTTCAAATTAAAATTCTGTTAAACTTCACTTAAGATCAGTTAAAAAATTATTTTATTATCTATTTAACTCTTCAAAATCTAATATCTTATAATTAATAGTTTGTATGATAAGAAAAACATACCCCATCCAATAACGAATACGTGCACGTGGAGAATATTTTTTTGCATTCCCAGAAAAACTGAGCAGTTTGGGATTGCTACAATCGTGTGCGTGAAGGGCTTCCCATTTGAGAACTTCTTTCCATGCTTGTTCATTATTGGTATTGTGAATCTTTACTATGGCTTCCATAACTTGTGGATTGATATCATCCTCTTCCCATCGCCATCCTTTTCTTAACATAGCATTCCAAAACATCTGTTGAGAAGGATATAACCAGGTTTCTCCAGGTTTAGTTGCATCTGGTATCGTCGAGACTTCTCTATCAGTTGGTAATGGGAACGGTTGACCTGGAGAAGGTTGCTGATTTGCCGGTGGCATCTACAATTATGCATTCATTTATTTATGATTAAATTATATATATATATATATATATATATATATATATATATATTGCAAGATTAAACAAGTGTATGTATGTATTATCAATTTATAAAATCTCTTCTATTATACTATACCATATTAAGTGGATTTATATCACTTCCATCCATTTTATCTATGGGACATTTGCTGATATAATCTATAGTATTTAATTGATTTGATTTGTGCATTGGACATTCTAATGGTGGATTACTCTGTATTTCTCCCATGTTACTAAGCTTGGCAACTTGTTGAGATACTGGTGCTATTACATTAGTGGCTGATATAGATGCAGTAGTAAGAGCACTACCCATTTTAATTGACTTCCTTGTAATAAAAATATGACAAAAATATAGAAATAAATCATGTAAACACTGTTCATATAAAAAGATAATTTGTGATGTTTAAAGTGATCAACTTAGTTTAATAAAGATGATTTCGAAGGATGACATACTTAATAAAGTAACTGTTAAATCTGATGAAGATTATGCAACAAATATATTCTCTAACATGACTATCTAGATATTTGTGCAAGAAATATGTTCACAAAGTATAATTACATATCTTCTATATAGTTTCTGTCAAGATTACTAAAAATTATTAATGATTTTACTTCATTGACTTTTGATATACATATAATTGATGAAATCCTATTTTTGTTAATTTATGATTACTCTATTTCGCGCCTTAAAATTTCACTTACATATACGTTATTACATAATGGACATTTGATAAGTAAGAAATCTATATATCTATAAGTTATACATAATATATATGAAAGAACAGAAATACCTGAATTTTAAATTCTTTTAAAATGCAAATACTACATGGATCAAAGATTTGAAGCACTCAAAATGCTTGACTATGTAAGCATGAGCAAGAATTGTAAGAATAGCAAATTAGATGGTCAATACACTGCACTTTTCTCGACAAGATTCAACTCACGCGCCATCTTAAGCCAGCGGTATACGATCTTGTTTTCGTGCTGGATTGCTTGCTGAATGGAAATCATTGGCTCAGAAGAGAAAGCTGCTTTGTAACTATTGTAAAATTCGTCAATCTGATTGGAGTATGTTCGTAATTTGAGTTGAATACAAGAGTATGTGACCAATCAGATCCACGAATTTTACAACAGTTGCAAAGCAGCTTTCTTTGCTGAACGCAATCAATGGCCGCGTTCAGTAGAACAAGTGATCAGTAAGCGCTCAGGGAGCTCTTGTATATGATTTGGCATATTCTTTTAGATCTTCAACTATATTCCAATCAGATGCAAGAACTCACTGAGCGCTTACTGATCACTTGTTCTACTGAACGCGGCCAATGGCTGCATTCAGCAGACTCAACAGTTGCACAACAGTTGAGTAATTTGTCAATGTAATTGGTCTAGATTTAGGGATCTAATAGCAAGAACCAATAATCGTTGATTGCTCACTGAGCGCTTTTTCTACTGAATGCGCCCAATGGCTGCGTTCAGCAGAGAAAGCTGCTTTGCAACTGTTGTAAAATTCGTGAATCTGATTGGAGTAAGCTCTTAATTTTGGTTAAATCCAAGAGCATGTACCAATCAGATTCACGAATTTTACACAGTTGCAAAGCAGCTTTATCTGCTGAAAGCAGCCAGTGGCTTGGTTTACATCATGTCCTTGATACGCATAGTAATTTCTATTAAATAATCTTAATATCGACAATGCATATTAACGGCAGCGACGCATTCAATCATTACAATACGTTTTGTTGATGAGTATTATATCAAATTAATATACCATTGTTTATATATATCGTCGATATTAAGATTATCTAATAGAAAGTTACTATTTAGTACGCATATCAAATGTACGATGTAAACCAAGCCATTGGGTGCGTTCAGCGAACTCAACAGTTGCACAACAGTTGAGCAATTCATCAATGTAATTGGTCCAGATTTAGGGATCTAACAGTAAGAATCAATAATCGCTAAGTGCTTACTGATCGCTTTTTCCGCTGAACGCCCAATGGGTGCGCTTTAAGCGGGGAGCACACATCTTGCATAAAGACATAATGCACAACAAATAAGAAAATTGACCAATCAGAGTCTTTCATTTTCATCGTGGCAATAGAAATGAGAACTCTGGTTGGTCAATTTTCTTATGCATTATGCCTTTATGTAAGGGTGTGTGCTGCCCGCTTTAATGGCTCCTACACATAGGACGCGATAATGCTTGCCGCGTCCTGTGTGCAGGAGCCATAAGTCCATCGCACATGAAATAACTGCATGTGCATAGCATAAAGCCCTATGCACAATGCCAAGCAACAGGCAATAGGAATAGACATTAGCCAATAAGAACAGGGAATAGAAATAATTGACCAATCTGATTTCCTATTCCCTGTTCCTATTGCCTGTTGCCTGGCATTGTGCATAGAGCGTAAGACTGTATGGACCAATGAGCATCGAGCATTGAGCATTAAGCATAAATATGGCGGCTTAATACACGATGTTTATTGGTCCATACGATCTTAAGCCCGTATCAGACTATAGATTAGGATTGAGATTAAATCGAAATTTAGCCAATCAGAGCAAAATTCACTAAGCTCAAGTTTGGTGAACTCTGATTGGCCAATTCAATCTCAATCTTAATCTGTAGTCTGATACGAGCTTTATACTATGCATATGCGCCTATGTAATTCGTCTGAATAAGCCTTAATTTATTGCACTAGTACACAGAGGTCAAGAGAAACAGAGGTTCTTTTTCGAAGAAATTCTGAGCTAGTGTGCACTAGTGCAAGGAATGTACACTAAAGTGTTCTTTTTTAGCAGAAATAACGTCGACATCGCTGTTCTTTTTCGAAGTGCAACAGCGGTCAGTGCAACAGTTTACTGACTGCCCTAGAGGTTTGTTCTTTTCAACTGAACTAGTGCTGCATTAGAACTGCACTGGAACTGGCGAGTACAGCAAAATAAGTAAGTTCAGATATGCCAGATAAGATGGAAAAGAACGCCATAGTGCAGAAAACAACATGGCGCAACACATAATTTTGGATGCAAATAATTCTTTAGATGAAGAATTTACTGTACTTGCATTAATGTATGTATCTCAATTGCCTGCAGAACCTATCTGGGATATTGCCACTTTCATTCCTTTTAATTTCTGCAATATTCATCTCTTCCATCTTCATAGATCTGTTCTTTTCATCTGAACTACTTGCAGCGGTACAGTAAAGTCAGCGGCACACGGTGCTTTTTTTCGTGCTGAATTGCTTGCTGGATGGAAATACTCTGTTTTGATTGGTGTATTTCCATCCATCTTCAGAAATACACCAATCAAAACAGAGTATTTCCATCCAGCAAGCAATTCAGCACGAAAAAAAGCACCGTGTGCCGCTGGCTTTACTTTTATGGCTCCTGCACACAGGACGCGGTAATGCTTGCCGCGTGGCGGAAGTTCGCGCGACAGCCAATCAATATGGTGTTTTTCCGTAAGAGCTAGAAGGGTATTACGGAAAGTAGCATATTGATTGGCTGTCGCGCGAACTTCCGCCACGCGCAAGCATTACCGCGTCCTGTGTGCAGGAGCCATAAAAGTAAAGCCAGCGGCACACGGTGCTTTTTTTCGTGCTGAATTGCTTGCTGGATGGAAATACTCTGTTTTGATTGGTGTATTTCCATCCATCTTCAGAAATGCACCAATCAGCAAGCAATCCATGAGCAAGCAACATGAAAACAAGCACCGTGTGCCGCTGGCTTTACTTTTATGGCTCCTGCACACAGGACGCGGTAATGCTTGCCGCGTGGCGGAAGTTCGCGCGACAGCCAATCAATATGCTACTTTCCGTAATAACCTTCTAGCTCTTACGGAAAAACAACATATTGATTGGCTGTCGCGCGGACTTCTGCCGTGCGGCAAGCATTACCGCGTCCTGTGTGCAGGAGCCATTAGGCGACAGTTTCCCGAAAAGTGGAGGGGATAATGTTGGTACCAAGAGAAATCTCTACACGATATAATTTAAAGATCTGTTTTTTGTAACTGCACTGCTGAACCAATGCAAAAGATTAGAGTGAGAAAACGTATACTTGCCTCATTTCAATGTATTGCACCAATTTAGCAATGTAGTTACAAAGAACAGAATCTTTAAATTATATCGTGTAGAGATTTTCTTTGGTACCAATATTATCCCCACCACTTTTCGAGAAACTGTCGCCTAACCTTGGAAAGAACATAACCTTTGACGTCACTTCTGCTAGAAAGAACGCACCAGTGTACACTTCAGCTGCGTTCCGAAATTCACTTCCAGTACTGAAAATCTATAGTTCATGTCACATATACTATAGAATTTCAGTACTGGCAGTGAATTTCGAAACGCAGCCTTCTTGAACTAGTGTAAGAAGTTCATCTGGAAAGAACAAACCTCTCAAGTTCAGTTCAATACAATTCTAGTGCAGATGAGCAATGGCGTAGGGCCACTTAAGTCAAGGTGCGCTCAGCCAATAATTGAAGTCTGAAGTCTGAAGTCAGTTCTAGTGTAGTTTTCGTGCTTCGAAAAAGAACAAACCAACCTTTGAATAAACCGTGTACACGTATGCTCAGCCATATATTGAAACTGAAACCGTGTACACGTGTTCGTATTACTCTCTCTCTTTTTATGTATTAAATTTCTTTACATAAATTTTAATATTTAGAAATAAAGTTAAAGTATATCACAATGGTTGTGAGAGGTAAAAAGAAGGTAAAAGACAATTTTTTTACTTATATAAATATATATATATCGTTATAAAATTATTTTGGAATAAGATTAGGTTAAATAATATTTATTGTGAAAAGTTGATCAATTTAGCAATGATTGTTGCTATGAACTAAAATTAATATCTTCTAAATTTACAGTATCAGACTGGTGAGGGGGCACAGTTTATAACAAGAAGAGCTGCTCTTAGGAAATTGCAATTAACATTAAATGATTTCCGTAAAGTATGCATTTTAAAAGGCATATATCCAAGGGAACCACGCAACCGTAAAAGGGCACAGAAGGGTGAACCTGGCATTAAAACTTTATATCATAAAAAAGATATTCAATTTTTGATGCATGAACCGATCATATTGAAACTAAGAGATTACAAAGTATGAATGGCAATTTATCAAGAGCGAGTGTATTTATAGTTCTGTACTTTACAATCATATATTTTCACAGATATTTAACAGAAAAATTGGAAGAGCAAAAGCAATGAACGATTTTGCTAAAGTGAAAAGATATTTAAATAACCATCCTACATTAAAGTTGGATCATATAGTTAAAGAACGTTATCCAACATTTATAGATGCTTTACGGGATTTAGATGACTGTCTAACTCTTTGCTTTTTATTCAGTACATTTCCATCATTACCTCACATACCAAGAGATCAATCATCATTATGTAGAAGATTAACAATTGAATTTCTCCATGCTGTAATTGCAGCTAAAGCATTACGTAAAGTATTTGTATCCATCAAAGGATACTATTACCAAGCAGAATTAAAAGGGCAAACTATAACATGGATAGTGCCACATCACTTTTGTTTTGAACCTCAAGCAAAGAATGAAGTCGATTTCAAAGTCATGTCTACATTTGTAGAATTTTATATTGTAATGCTTGGTTTTGTGAATTACAGATTATATCACAGTCTGAATTTATATTATCCTCCTAAATTTATAAATAGTGGTAAGATTATTCATAAAATTATATATATAAAACTTAAGATTATTTTATTAATATATTTATATATATTTTTATATTAATATTCTTTTGTCCAGGAAATATAGAGAAAACACTGATTGATGAAGGAGCATTTGTATCAGAAAGAATAAGTGCATTGAATATACCATTAATAAGTTTAGATCCTTCAATACAGGCTGTTGAAGATGAAGAAACTGAGATTGATAATTTCTCAAATGTAAGTCTAAATTATCTAATTATTTAAGTAAATAAATAAATAAATAAATATATATATATATATATATATATATATATAGAGCAATTGTGTGTGTAATATGTATGTATAAAATTCACATATTAGACTTGGTTTCCGAGTTTGAGTCGCGTGGATTCATTTATTTATTGTTTGATTCAAACGTTTCGTGAACATTTCAGTTCGCTTCATCAGGGAGGAACGACCTGATGCATCTGGTGTTCGCGAAACGTCGGAATCAAACAAAGATGAATCCACGCGACTCAAACCCAGAAACCAAATCTAATATGCATGAACACCACGAAAGTCTAAAAAAATCAAAATTCACATATGTTATTAAGAAAATGTATTCATTAGGAAACAGACTCCACTAAGATAGAAGCTGCTAGAATGGAAGTTGAGAAAATACGAAAATTGAAAACTTTGTTCAAAGGAAAGAAAATTTTTATAAATAGAGAAGTACCTAGAGAACCGTTAGTATTTATTATACGTTGCTTCGGAGGAGAGGTATCTTGGGATAAATTACTTTTTATTGGTTCTACTTTTGATGAAAAAGATGAAACGATAACTCATCAGATTGTAGATAGATCGCAAATGGATAAACAATACATGTCAAGGTACTAATATTATATTATATTCGATAGCATATTATATTCGATATTTCAACAAATATCGTTTTCTTTAAAGATACTAATGTAACTTTTTTTTTTTTTTAGATATTACGTACAACCGCAGTGGATTTTCGACAGTGTGAACGCGAGAGAGTTATTGCCTGTAGAAAAATATTTAATGGGTGTTATTCTTCCTCCTCATCTCTCACCATTTACAGATACACAACAAGATCAGACTTATATTCCTCCAGAAGAACGTGCTCTTATAGATCCTGATTATAAATTAAATGATTGTAAGACTTATTTTAAAGGAATATACATAATTGTAAAAGCCATAATTTAATGTAATTGATATTTATTTTCATATTGGGTTTTCAGTGAAAGCAGATTTACGGAAAGAAACAGAAAATAATGATGATGAGGAGAGTAAAGATGAAGAAGAAAAAATTGATAATGACGACCTAAATATAGAAAGTAACGAGGAAACTGAAGAAGAGGAAGTTGATAATAATACACAGATCCCTGCTGAAAAAGAGAAGACACAAACCCGATTACAAAAGGTTTTATTATCACGATTCTCTGCAATTGTCTTTTGAAAATTGATGTAGATGACACATAAGTTTACTATTAATATATATAAACTTTCAGAAGAAGGCCATGAAGGTAAAAGTTGGTGAAGTCACCAAAAAAAATCAATGGGAGGAGGTCCAACGACAGAAGCAGGAATATCGTCTTAGGGAGAAAATGATAAAAAATAAACATAGAAATCTATACAGAAGTATGATGAAGGGTCGAGAGGAGAGACGTAAAGCAATCTGGCTTTTGCGGAAGAAGAGGCGTATTTATGATACTGACAAAAAGGAAGAAACGAAAAAATAACGGAATTAAGAAAAAAAGAGTAACCTGTTAAATAAAATGATCATTTAGACGCAAAATAAAGTATATTTTGTATTAAATTTAGTGTGCGTAAATAAGAAATAATAGTAAACAATTATGTTTGGTTCGCGTAGACATCACGTTATAATATTTATGCGAATTACATTTTTTACTTTTCCCTTGTACAAAGCAGGCATAATGTATCTCAAATTCCATTCAATTCTTGATTAAGCAATTATTATGATATATTTTTCAATATGACTTAGATACTTTCGATGTAGTTCAGAACACAGCCGAGATCAACAAAAGAACATACTTTTGAGTAATTTCCAGGAATTATAAATTTTTTCACTGTACATTCAATTGCGTTGAGAAAAGTGTTCAAATCGTATTAAAACAGAGTATATACATATTCACATTAATCTAATTTAAATAATATTACAAAGAAACGTATTTCTCTATTATATATATATAAATCGCCGACGTTTTTTGTATTTTAAACAAATATATATATATATATGTGTGTGTGTGTGTGTGTGTGTGTGTGTGTATATATATATAGTGAAATATTTTATTCATTAGTTAATCATTTATTTTATGGTTAAACAGGCTTTGAATAATAAACGTAAAATGCTAAATGTAATGTCACTTCTGTCGTACGGTCCTTGCTTATATCAGGTTGTATACGTCATTCATCTTGATAACTTTTAATCCTGAAGCGGAAGTCAGTAGTTTATGGTCCATGATAGAAGTTCATTCGCTTAACGCACCGCTTAGTGTTCCCATTTGATTGAGACAATGTCCAAGAATTTAATCAATTCCGTACAAAATGCTGTGTCAGAAACGTTGTCAGGATTATGTTATAGTTATCCGCAATTAGAGTATCAAACATTGCACAAAGTTGTATTGTCACCAGATGTATGTACACACTCAAATGCGTTTCCAATCGTAGTTACTGTTGATAATGAAGGAGCACTATTGCTTAACGCGCTCGCTACCACATATGTGTGACGCAATCAGGAGAGAATAGTGTGTTACGTATGTGTGACAGAGGAAATTTATTTTTCTATGTTGACATAATCAAACTAAGTCTGTTTTACACAATTACCTAAAAAAAAAGTAAAAGTGATTTGTGGGGATAATCCTCTATATAAAAACTGTGGTAGCAAACGTCTTAATAGTAATTGAATTGGATGGTTAATCAGTAGCGTACCGAGTGTTTTTGATAGTCAAGCGCAGTTATCTTTTCATTTAATATTTTGATCTAAATAATTTAAAAACTTATAAATACTTTATATCATAAACAAATGAGTTCTCTTTTGACAACGGTTGTAAAAATACGACTGAAAACGCGCGATATTTCGATTCATTAACAGAGAGCTGCGTACGAAACTTTGTATTACTTTTAGTAGTTTGTGGTCATTTTATATATCTTATTTATAGCTTGCTATCGAAGCTACCAAAAATAATCGAGACAATATTTTTATAAAATTAAGTCTGGAAATATGTTTCTCTATCCCCTTTTCAGTGTAGGAATCAAAGAAATAAAGTAGTGTTGGTTTGCGGCGGTGGAAGTGGACATGAGCCATTTGCCGCAGGTAATTTATTTGTATTATTTTTATGCTTTATGCAGCCTAGATCTGTGTAGATTTATATATATCTGTAGAATAATATCGTTTACTTTCGATGTAAATTTTCTACTTGCGATAGTATTTTTTATATTTTTTAGGCTTTGTTGGAAGCGGCATGTTGACGGCTTCTATAGCGGGGTCTATTTTTGCGGCTCCACCATCTACTCACATTACACATGCTCTTCAGTGTGTCGCAAAAAATAATAAAGGTCTTATTTCGTTTTTTGTTTTGTAGAAATAAGTGTTCTCATTGTTCAAATATAACTTAAAAATAATCGTTTCTTTTTAACTTGTTCTCTAAATATAAATAATATGTTTTGCATTAAATACTCTGATTATTAAAATCCGAATATCAAAAGTAAAGATAAAATTTATATCTTTTTAAGATGTCGAAGATTCTTAAGAAATTTTTATTAAATTCAAGCAATCTTAATATCTTATTAGTGTTTTTTTTCAGCTGATGTTCTAGTCGTGGTGCCTAATTATACGGGAGATTGTCTGAATTTCGGCATAGCCATCGAAAAAGCTCGGCAAACAGGCATCAAGGTAAATTAATAAAACAGATAAGATACAAAATTATATTTATTTATACTAATTTTTTATCTCTTTATGTGTTATCAGGTGGAAGAAATCATTGTTGGCGATGACTGCAGCATTCCTAAACATGAACAAGGTGTTGCCGGCAAACGCGGCCTAGTGGGCATGTTGTTTGTTATCAAAATTGCAGGTGCTCTCGCTGAAAGAGGATCATCTTTGCATGAAGTGACAGAAATTGCGCGACACGTTTCACAAAATACGGCGACATATGGAGTCGGACTAACCGCGTGCGCTATACCTGGTATATTATATGTCATGCATGATAAATCCGGACAAGTTAACGTTTATACTTAAAATGTGATTGTAAAAACCGACAATCGAGTTTGAAGGAAAAAATTGCACGCAGGTCAAGGTTTGATGTTCGAGCTTGCACAGGATGAAGTAGAATGCGGAATGGGTGTGCACGGAGAAGCCGGTTACGAGAGAATCAAGCTCGGAACTGCGTCTGAATTGGTATCATTGATGTTGGAGCGCATTTGCAAAACTTTAGCTCTGGTCGCCAACGACTCGGTCGCGGTGATAGTTAATAATTTTGGCGGTTTAAGTCAGTTAGAACAAGGGATCGTCGTTCGTGAAGTTGTAAATCAGCTACGTGAGTAATCCCAGGCAGCACAATGTCAAAAATCGGGTCATAAGATGTTTTTAAAACATCTTTAAGACATATTTAAGACAAGTTTATAAGATATTGTCTTAAAGATGTCTTAAAGCCGTCCTAAAGGCGTCTTATGATTTGATTTTTGACATTTGTGCTGCCTAGGATGTTTCAGTCTTCTTCACGTATATATTAATTTTCTTGATACATAAGCAAGTTCTGATGAACTTGCATTCCGAACTAACATTCTGTAAGTTTCGGAAAATTCTCTCTTTGCGATACTTACTGTACTACTACATTTCTTCTATATTACAGAAAATATGAATATCGACGCTACTCGCGTTTATTCGGGCGTTCTGATGACATCTTTAAATAGCGCCGGCGTACACGTAAGTTTGTTGAAATTAACCGAAAGTCACAAGGAGGTGTTCATCAAATATCTTGACGACAAAACGACAGCACCTTGCTGGCCGGGTTGCAACTATAGCGTTCCTTCAACCATTACCCGCACCCCAACTAAAGACGTAGAAAAAGAAATAACGGAGAAAATAGGAATATCGTTAAACATACGAGAACAACATTTAACAAAATTATGTTTAGAAAGCGTGTGTGCGGTTATTATCGAGAAAGAGGTATACCTCAATGAACTAGATCGCGGTTGTGGAGACGGAGACTGTGGATCAACACTAAAAAGACTCGCAGATGGTAAAATACTTGACGCATTCCGTTGTTTCTTTTTTAATAGATTGAATTACATAAAGTTTATTCTTTCTCTTATTATTAATTAAATATACACTAATTATGTATTTATTTATTATACATAATTCTAGGTATCTTAAATAATTTGAGTGAGCTACCCTTATCACATCCAGCAGCATTATTATCAGGAATAGCGAATATAGCGGAAGCAAACATGGGTGGGACTTCCGGAGCTCTGTATTGTTTATTTTTTACGAGCGGTGCGAAAGAGCTGGCATTATGTGAGCAAGGGGAAGATTTACGACATGCGTGGTTTCGTGCATTCCGCAGTGGCTTAAATTGTTTAGAAAAATATGGAAAAGCGAAAGTTGGAGACAGGACTATGGTTTGTATTTATACGTCTTTAAAGTACAGTAAATTGAAAAACCATATACACATTTCATTTTTTGCATACATAAAAAAATAACACATTTTTAATTTCTTTTTATAAAGAAAGATAAAAAAATATTGTTATCATTTGTACACATTTAGATCGATACAATGGATGCTGTGTACACGATGTATGGAAAAATACTAAATGAACACGTAAACGATTTTTACGATAAAATTGCTGCAGCAGCATGGAAAGGATGCGATTCTACGAAAAATATGAAACCTAAGTAAATATAAATTAATTGTAACAAAAATAATACATTATTTTTACAATATTTTATATTTCTAAGAAAATATTGTTTCTCTATTTATAGAGCAGGACGTGCAAGTTACGTAAAACAAGCCCGATACTTGACAGAAGTTGACGCGGGAGCGTATGCCGCAGCAACGTGGATTTCGACTATCATACATACAATTACTCATTATAAGGATTGATAATATTTTAATATCTAACAGCGATGTTCTTTTGTTGATTATTTGAAAATAATAAGATCATTTTGTTTTTTAATATTTGATTTGATATTTATTCGTATAAAGATTCGTTATTATAGACTCTTCACAAAGATTCGTTGAAAAGTAAAATTCGACTAATCTGCCATTGAGTCGTATTACTTACAAATAAAAGATCCGTCCGACTTGCCACTGAATTGTAGTACGACCTCAAATTGTCAATAGAGACGGTGGCGGCTCGTGGCGGAAACTTTAAAACTAATAAAAAGTAAATTATTTTTCAACACGACTCAAACAATTAGTCAGACAAATATTTTCTATTTTGTTAAACGATAATTCGGAGGACTTTTATATTCAAACAATAGAGTTCTGTCTTGAATTATAATAATTTTTTCTCTGTAGAATTTGATCATCGTTAAACAAGCCCAATATCATTTTATCGTCTGCTAGCATTGCGTTATTGCGCATACGCAGATTTTGATCCACAGCAGTAGTGACTGTCACGCGTATTGTGTTTGAGTTTGGTTTGAAACGGCGAGGCCGAGGTCATCGTTGCCGGGGTCTTGATGAAGATGAAGCGAGTGAAGAATGAAATAATTAATGTGCTTGAATCTTATTTGAAACGACGCCGCTATCAGGTACAAAATTGCGACCGTGAATTGCCATCATGTGTTTGATTTTCATAACCTCATTAACCTCGCCGCCACTGTTGTAGGGCAACGACGTCTTCTGTAATAACAAAACCGACCACTTGTTTTGTCAGAGCAGCGATCAAATGACATTGAACGCAACCGCTGAGTGCGGCACTTCCCGCGACAATTCGATTATTTTTAGTGCCATTACCATTGACATTACCGCGGCGGATCAAGCTTATCAACGGTTAAGTCTCATTGCTTAAAATCCTTTCAAGATCGCACCACGTGATGTTTATTCGATCTGAAAACATTCACTTAATTATTTGTAAATATAAGCACAATGTGTTTAATTATATTTTAATATTATTGCTCTAATCTTTTTTTGGCTCTCATATACTTTAAAATTCTGTGAAAAGAAAAGAAGACCTAAGTAGTCGTCAAACTCTGAAATATATTTTTATTCAATATTGCTTTTTATTTTTATAAGTAAACAAATAGAAGCTAAGCCTATTCTAGATTAATCATTTGAACTTAATAATCTTAAAACAGGATAAAGTAGAATATTCTTTATATAAACAGGATATTTTTTTCTTTCTGAATTATGCAACTTTCATACTGTATGCTAATTGATTGCATATTTTTTTATATTACATTTATTAATATTCCATATTTTTATACTGTATTTCTTAATATTTTATATTATATTTTGCTTATATAAGTATAAAGTCATGATATAATTTTTTCTATATTGTTTCAATATTTTTCTACTTAAGCATACAGCATTTAAAAATATGTCTTATCATGGATATTAATTGGAACAATCAATGTATTGGTGCAACTTAATTTTATAAAGCAACAATATACTGTATTAATTTTATTGTTAATATGAGATTATATGTGTATGTTCTACATGGACTAAAGTTCTAATTTTTTTTAGTTTGAAGATATGGATGAATGCAACACTTAATGAAAAGATCAAAATGGAACTGCAAGGACTTTTGTATCCAATATTTTGTCATCTTTATTTAGAAATGCTACATGCTGGCAACAAAGAAGCTGCAATTCAATTTTTAAAAGCTCATCAAAGTGAATTTATCAGTGATACTGAAAAAGACTTTCTAGAAGAGTTGTCTGGTGTATTTTCAGTACAGGACATTGAACTGAGACCTTTGGTAAATGCATTTAGAACTAGAAAGTACAAAGTGGATTTATCAGAGCCAGCACATATCTGCCTACAGCAATATCTTGCCAAACATGGACATATAATATTAATGCAGGTAAATGTTATTGACTATGTTCTTAAGAATCTCCCTTTTTAAGTATTTTAATTCTATAAAGAAGTTATCAATTAATGTGAAACAAATGTAAAACATTAAGATCTTAATTATAATTCTCCATAGATTATAAATACACACGTTACGATAATCAGAAAGGCAGATGGTTCTCAAATGGATGGAGAAGTACATGAAGAGAAAGGTCAAAGATATGAGGCAGGTATTAATGGCCATGTGGAACAACCATCTGGTACCGGGGTAGATCGTGAAATGAGAGAATTGCAAGAAGCTATACGATTAATACGAGATAATGCTCATCAATCACTGAGAATATTCACAGTAAAAAATGCTATAGAAAAGTAATTATAAATTTCAATGTATTTTTTATGATCTATTTATTTACACTCGCACAATTTATTCTTTATGATTATTACCTTTATCTTTTTTTTATATTGCAGTGCAAGTAGTGCTCTTATTGCTTCTAAAATGGATAAATTAGCTGTTGGATTTAGTACAGCTGAAATACGCTTGTGGGGTATAGGTGAAACAGTCTTACTTAAACCAAAACATAAAAGCACACATATACCACTTGCCTGTGATGTACTTCCATCTCGTAGTTGTAACGAACAAGAAAATGCAATGTGAGTTGTAATTACATCACTTTCTTAATCCAATTTAAGGTACAAATATTCTACAAAATACATAACTTTATAACAGAAGAAGTGAAGCGGGAGCAGTAATATTAAGAGGACACACAGACGTGGTGCATGATTTAAGATTTATTCCGCAATCTGAAATACTTCTGTCTGTATCGAGTGACAAGGATATGAGAGCATGGAGACTCAATGATTACTCATGCGCAACAATATATAGGTATATACTCTAATTATTTTAATATATATGAGTAATTTTTCGATTATGACTTGATATACACACACAACGTCAGCGAATATACAAGAATATTTCAAATTCGTGACACGTAATGTTGTGAATGTGAACGTGTGACGTTAACGAAAGATCAAAACATTTAATTTTGTAAAAAATTAAGTAATAAAATTATAATAAAATGTATATATAATATATATACCATATGTAAATATTTTTTTATTATAGTGGTCATAGTTATCCGATATGGTGTATGGATACCAGTGTGTTCAGTTTATATACTGCTACAGGTTCACATGATAGAACTGCCAAATTATGGTCATTGGATAGAACATTTCCACTGAGAATATTTGCTGGTCACTTTTTAGATGTCAACGTATGTTTTTACTATTATATATCGTATATCATTTTCACATAACACAATAACGCGATATATTGGCATGCTGTTTCAGTGCGTGAAGTTTCATCCAAACGCTCGATATTTAGCAACTGGTTCCGCTGACAAAACCGTAAGATTATGGTCCACAGATGACGGTAATTTAATGCGAGTGTATGTTGGAGCACAGTCGACCATTTACAGTTTAGCATTTAGTCCAGATGGCAAATATTTAGCTACTGCTGGTAATTACAATAAAAAATATATATACTAGAATGACACTATAGGTACCTTATTGTTCACAAATATATATTTTCATTGCGTTCGTTAAGTATATATATAATAAAAGTATATAGCAGGAATATAAAAATGTGTCACATAATTATTGTTGGAATTTCTTTTGTGTTCATTAACATTACTTTTCAATTTCAAGTTTCTCATTTTAAATTTGATATTTTTTCATTTTCAACTTTACAGTTTTTAAAAAGAGATTTATATCTATTTGTTCATTTACTTTTATTATTAGTACGTTAAATTGATTCAAAAGGTTGGTCACTTTGCACCTATTTAATAAAATTGCAATTGTGAAATTAACAATTAATTTTTATCTAATTAAAAATAATATTTAGGTGACGACAAATCTATATCAATATGGGATTTAGCAACTAATGCAGTGCTAACTGAACTGAAAGGTCACAAAGATACAGTTATGCATGTAGACTGGAGTTTGGATGGCCAATACATCGCCAGTGCAAGTATTGATGGGATTGTACGGCTATGGCCTACTCAAGACTTTATCAGCACTTTGAATGGGTGAATTTTTTAAAATCCTCTCCCTTTTTTATATAATTTAACGTCGCTTTACAATATATATTTTTTCTTTTTTCAGTAGATCATCAAGCGCGATGTCACAATCTGAGGCGCCACAAATGTACTCGACGTCTTGCTCAAGCATCCTTTCGTTAAATTATTACAAGAAAAACAATTCGTTAATTTGTATCGGCACAGCATAGGATTTTTACTATTTATTGTTTTTATTTGGGGTAAAATATTTTAAGTTAAATCTATTTTAACTGGTTTACCAATGTACAGTTTATCACACGAAGTTTTTACATTATTTATAAAAAAAAAGATACATCACCAGTGTATAGTGTTAGGTTTATTTTCACTGTACCTTATTATATGTAAAATCTTTTTTACGAGTTTATATATGAAAATATTTCGTAAGTTTTCATTCTTTTAGGAGCTAATATATAGGGTCTTGTGTGCCTGATATATAGTTCATATAATATCGTGAACAAGGCTTGATATACATATTTGGATAAATTCTATAAAAAAAGTTTCAAAATTAATATTGAATATTCTCTCAGGATTTACTCGCTTATTAAAATAATGAAAACAATTCGCATAAACATTCAAGTAAAAAAATTGTTTTAAAGCAAAGTAAACCTACACATCACTAATATACATATATATGTTAGAGAGTGAGCTTTCGGATATTGACAGTCACATAAAATTTTTACCTTCAGAGATATGTCGAATGAAACGAATTAAAAAAAATAACATGTTATACATATTTTCCGCAAAAAGTTTTAGGAAAGACTCTGGTCATATAAACTTCTGAAAATCTGTAAACATGTATATATAGTAAGATTCATATATAGATTTATATAGATTTGTAAAGACTATATATATATATATATTTATACTCACAAAAAGAATAGGTCCTTTTAGATATGTCCTTATGTAAATCTTTTTTTACCTATTATTATGTTAATGAAAAAAATCCTGAAGATACTTAACAGAAATTCTAAAAAAGATTCTGTATGTGCTCAAATAAGAAGTAATAGTCACCTTAGGATCAACTAAAATTGTTCAGTATTAATAATAATAAACGAAATTGAAAATAATAAACGAAAAAAGTACAAAGAATTATATTTGACTATATAATTATAGTTGAAGCTATATTCAATATATTATATAGCAAGAGAATATAATTTGTATAAAATAACGATGTGTGTTTATTATGTATTTTATATTATATATGAAATTATATTCTCTTAATTTCACGTTTTCTTTATGACTTGTGAATTTCATTATGACATTTTGATTTATTATTTTTCTAGTTTGCGCGTTTTGATACTTAATATATATAAAAAATAATTTTATTTTATGCACGCGCGCGACTTGGTCTGAAATAAATTTTTATAAATAAACTATTTATTGTTTTATAAATAAAACAAACAATAAAAGTATACTTGCACATGTTAGACTTTATTTATTAGTATTAGAATAGGATATATTTAAAGTGCTAGGAAGACTATTACATCTTATTTATTGCAATATATGTACACTGCGACATAAAGTATGCAATTTTTATTTAATTGCAAAAATTACACGTACATAAAATATGCAATTTCATTTTCGTTATTATTAGGAAATCAAAATTATTTTTTCTTATTTTCAATCTTTCATTCATTATTATATTCGTCTATGTGATAATTAACTTAAAAGGAGAAATTATTAGACTCGTATATATAAATCTTTTCTATAGGAATATCGTCTAATAATACATTGACAATTTTTTGTCTTGTAAAGATTTTGTAAATCGTGAATGATGTTTGACTATATAGTAAGAGAATATAATTTTTATAAAACAATATGTGTATTTATTATTTCATTATATGTTATTTTACATCATATGTAAAATATTATATTCTCTTTTTAAAAAAGATTAATTCTTCTTTTTCTTTTTCTTCTTCCCAGTTTTCTTTTTACTAATTTTGCCGAACTCTTGATGCTCTTCTGCTTTACGTTTTAATATTTCTTTCATAGTATCCTTTTCACTATTATCAGTAACTTCTGCATCTAATGGACGAACGCTAAAATCTGGTATCTAAAATCGCAAACAAAAATTATGTATATTTTTTTCATGTATACATCTCTACTGAGATATAAAAGTTTAGTACTACATAAGTTTTGTTCTTTTACTACCATATAATGCCAAGAGAAATCATACCCATGATAATTCATTGATCATTATAATTCTATGATCATAATAGCTTAAGAACTTTAAAAATAATCGTTAAAGAAAGAATATTATATACTCACATCTGGTTTTACGAGTTTAAAGAATAATTTTTCATGTTGAACGTTAGAACTGTCCAAACTCATTTGCACGACGATAGGATCAAATGCTCGAAATACAATATCTCCACAAGTTTGAGACTGATCTTCTGGATTGTACGTAAACGTAACAGACGAGGCGGACGGTTTATTTAGATAAAGCGTTCCTTCCAAACCATATTTTGGTATGAGCACTTGTAATGCATTTTTTCGCACAAATAAAATATATCCTTCTTCATCCTGAACTTTACCACGGAAGAATAGCTAAAACACAAAACGATCGTGTTAGAAGCATAAGTTTTTATAAATATATCGGGACAGAATTTTGAGTGGAAAAGAAGACTGTAAACTGAACTAACATGTGTATGAAGCGCGACTGAAGCTCGGCCGGCGTATTGAGCCATTCGATTTCGATAATTCAGATTATTGCATAATAAATTATTCTTCTTCTTATCCAATAACTCTGCGTAAGTCGCATCGGCGCCTATACATACAGCCAACAAGCGGTGAACGATTATATCCGCGTATCTGTAACATTGCAAGACAAACAGAAGAAAAAGCTGCATTTATATAAATTAATTTAACGACAGAATATTTTATTGATAATTCTTAAATAAATGACTTGCCTTCGAATAGGAGATGTAAAGTGTGTATAAATGGGACATGCCAATCCATAATGCGTATATTCTTCCGGTTGATGCATTCCACTGATGAAATATACCGCTTGCATCATACATCGCGTAGCTAATATTCTTAACATTGTATTAAAGTAAGGATTTGATTCTTTTCTAGTTTCTTCTAACGATTGCGCCAATTCCTTACCAGTATTTGTGTTTATGGTGAAACCCTGCAATAAAATGTAATAAATAATATCTTTGATGTTCTGCATTACTCATGAATCATTCTTTACAAGGAATGACGTGTACTAGTATTGAATATAGTACGATAATTAATTTACAATACCTGATTCCGTGCAGCTTTAATTAATGGTTCAAAATTACTTTGTGGTGGTTCAGGATGTCTCCTTAACATAGCACATTCTGGAAATTCTGCCAATATCTTCTCAGCAACACTAATGTTCGCAAGCAACATAAATTCCTCTACCATAGAATTAGTCTCTCTCAATTTCTTTGCTTCTACATCAATAGGATCGTGCGTCTCACTGTCCACTTGGAAACGTATCTCAGGTGATGCCAAAGTTAAAGCACTATATAAAAATAAAAAGAAACGAGATATTACAAAAATTCCATAATAACATTGATGTTACATATTACATGGATAAATATTACAGCACAAGCATACCCATTCTCTATACGTTTCTTTTTCAACTTTTTCGCTAATTTATTTAATCCTCTCAATGAAACTGCAATAGCGTCATGTTGAGCAGCATCGTCAATTTTTAATTGTGCTTCTTCATATGTCATAGCTTGGCGTGAACAAATGATAGATTTGCAAAATTTTGTATCAATTATGTTTGCATGAGAATCAATCTCCCACATACAAGAAAATGCAAATCTTTCCTCCTTACCTCGCAAGGAACAAAGATTTGAGCTAAGCAATTCTAAAAAAATAAATGCACATTTTATATTATACTATTTATGCTGATCGTATAAAAAATAATTTAAATAAAATGCTATTGTAGTATCTTACCTGGGACCATATCGATTCGTTTATCGACAAGATAGACAGTGGTGGCGCGTAAAGCCGCTTCCTTGTCCAGCGCGGTCCCTGGTCTTATGAAGTGGGACACATCCGCGATATGTACACCTACATCGTAATTACCGTTTGGTAATTTTCTGCAATGTAATGCATCGTCAATATCAGTGCAACCTGGCGGATCCACTGAACAGATATCTAAATGTCGAAGATCTTGTCTTTGTGCAATGTCCTGTAAATTTACAGCTTACAGTTAGTTAAAACCCGAAGAGCAGCCAATTTACGAAATGGCAGATTTTAAGCTTTAGAAATTTGTACATTATCATTAATATTTGTACATACTGCTTCTGTAATGATCCAGGGTAGCTTTGGAAGAAAACTAAGGACGGCATCGGAAAAATGGCTGTGCGGAACATCGTGTTCCAAAAGTAATACTTCATTTTCTGTCTCTTTGTCTCCTATATTACCGAGTGCTCGTACGAAGTGACCAAGTGGATATCTCGACATTCGTGGCCATGAATCCAATGCAACAATTATTCTTTGCTTGCATAATATCTCTGCTTGTCTAGTTTCTATTCTTATTTTCGGGATTTTTCTCTCAGCCGGAATAAACAGATGTCTCACGTTCTATCGATTATAATAGAAAAGATAAAAATTCATTCAATATAGTATATAAAAAATAATATTAATGTTATAGAAAGGAAATAGTAGATCTTACATCTTTAATTGCACCTGGTTGCAATATTCCACAATACTGTCTCCATTTCCTCCTAATAATACCAACAATCTTGCCTGTTGGTATTTTCTCTCTCGCTTTCGATATATTCTGTTTAGCAAATATTTTTTCATCTTCTGGAATATCGTCAGCATCTGCAACTTCTTCATCCTGCAGAACAATTTCGCTAGGGGATGACCAATGATCATCCGGTAAGAGTTCAACTGCAACTATATCACCATCTACTGCCCTGTTAAGATTGGTTCGTCCTTGTACAAATAACTAAGACAATAAGAAAAGATAGTAAACAAATTAAATGATGTAATTCTGATATTAATTGTATTAATACAACTGATAATAATTATATTTGTCTTACAGCTTTTTCCCTTCCTTCAACATTCACGTTTCCTTCGAGAAAATTTTCTCTCGATGCCAGGAATGTTCCTTGCAATAATTTGCCAGATGATATTCCTTCATGAATTTCTGCAGGTCCTAAATGGCAGGGAAACAAGTCTGGTCCTTGAGAGTCTAAAGTATAAGACCGTTTACATAATTTATCCAACAGTAAACTTGCATTTTCCAATGATGCAACATAATCTTCCACTATAAAAGAGAATATATTATTCTTTCATATATTACAAATATTTAATGTTTATATTATATGCTAGCCCTATGATTAAATAAGCTGAAATAAAATATATCCTACTTGATGCAACAAATATTCCATCTTCAGCTGCAAGTGTTCTGTTTTTTACATCATCTGTTAATAAGAGAATCTTTATGTTGTGATTGTCAAAATTTAAGTGATTATTATACCACTGAACTGCAACTCTTATTGCTCTGTCATTACGATCATTTGCTTTTTCACCAGGTTTTCTTTCAATGTATGTCTCTCTAGAAATAATTTAAAAATATTTTTGCTATAATAATATTGTTAAAATACAAAACATATAACATATTAGAATCATATTAAGTGTAAATAAATTATATAAGTGTAAATAAGCATATGAATATATTATATACAATATATATAACTTTCTTTTATATAATAAATATTTATGTACCTATGATGCTCATTAATAAACATAAAAAATTTTCGTTTTGCATTTGCTATAATATTTTTTAATTTTTTATACACTGTGGAGCTTTTATGCCGAATTTCTTCCAACACAGTTTGCAAAATAATTACATTGGTAATAACATCTTCTTCTAATATATCTATCTACAATTAAAGATTAAATTGGTTAGACAGTATAAATATACAGTATATTTAATTCAGTTATAACAAAAAAATATACAATTTGTAAATGAAATATTACTGGGATATAAAAATATATTATATAAAAAGTACTGTAGAAAGTAATTGGAATTTTATTATACAATCATACTTACTTGATCTAGAATTATATTTGTATCAAGTACAAGACAATAAGGAATTGGAATTGAAGAAGATTTTGCACCAGCATCTTCTTCGTCTAGGATCGTATCCTGAGGTCTCCCTTTACACTTCTTACATATTTTAAAGCCGCAGCAAATATCATCTCTAAGATAATGTTCTCTGACAGTCTAATAAATAAAAATAATTGGAATTCAGATGTTATTTTTAATAAACGAAAAGATAAATATTTGGAATACATACACACACAGAAAGACATACACATGCATACACATATAACTCTCTATTGCTATTTTTTTAATTAAGCAACTATAAACTTGTTGACTATTAACAAAATTTACCTTAAATATATTCCCTCCCTTTGTCTTTCTAAAAAAAATCTTCGTTGTTAACATGTTTAGACAGACATATGTGTTTATTAAAACTTATAACCATGTGTGAAACTGTGTGAAACTTATAATACCGTTAGCAAGTTTGTACCATAAGCGAAATGTATTGCTAGAGATTAGAATCTCTAAGGAAAATTTTTACTAGCGTTAGTGGCTCCATTGCAACTTTCTCTAGAGAAATATTAATTAATGGAGGATTCACACTGCGCCACAGACTTTGACTATGGCTGCGTTCCAAAATTCACTGCCAGTACTGAAAATCTATAGTTCATGTCACGTATACTATTGAATTTTAGCACTGGCAGTGAATTTCGGAATGCAGCCTATATAACCATGGCGGACTTCCGCCGCGCGGCAGGCATTACCGCGTCCTGTGTGCAGAAGCCATTAGAATCGTCGCTAGCAGTCCATGGTTATATAGGCTTGGTTTACATCGTGAACTTGATACGCGTACTAAATAGTAACTTTTTATTAAATAATTTTAATATTGATGATATATATAAACATGATAATTTTAATATTGATGGTATATTACTCAAACTGATATAATACTCATCAACAAAACGTATTGTATTGGTAGAATGCGTCGCTATTGATATGCATTGTCAATATTAAGATTATCTAATAGAAAGTTACTATTTAGTACGCGTATCAAGTGCACGATGTAAACCAGGCCATAATCAAAGGCTACAGATTAGAGATGCCCGATTCTGAATCGATTCGATTCTTTCCCCAAAAATAGGTTTATTCTTGTTGTTTTCACTCTTCGCACTTTTCGTATTTAAAACTAGACAGAAGTATGTTGGAATGTTTCGAAGAAGCAAAAACGAGACAACCAACTCGATTGTTTCTTCCAAGTGTCTGATTAGGTGTCCATTGGATGATTCACACCGCGTCCGATATCCGACGTACGACGTCCGATATCTAATAGGAGAACAGCTTTCTAATAGAGAATTCAATTCTCTATTGGAAAGCTGTTCTCTTATTGGATATCGGACGTCGTACGTCGGACATCGGACGTGGTATGAATCCTCCACATCTCTTTTTAAAAGCGAAAAGTATGAAACATGCAAGCAGCACGAACAACACTTTTTCCCTAAATTTGTTAGGGAAAGAATCGAATCGATTAAGAATCGGGCATCTCTACCACAGATGTCTATACTAATGCAGGGTTTACACCGCGTCCGATATCCATAGGCTGCGTTCCGAAATTTATTGCCAGTGCTGAAATTCTATAGTATACGTGACATGAACTATAGAATTTCAGTACTGGCAGTGAATTTCGGAACGCAGCTTTAGGAACTTTATGGTCTGTTCTTTTTAGCTGCATTGATGAACTGATGCATTAAGTTAGAGTGAGAAAAAATATATTTGTCTCATTTTAACTTATTGCACTAGTTCAGCAATCAGCTAAAAAGAAAAGGCCATTGGGTGCGTTCAGCGAACTCAACAGTTGCACAACAGTTGAATAATTCATCAATATAATTGGTTTAGATTTAGGGATTTAACAGTAAAAACCAATAATCGCTAATTGCTCACTGAGCACTTTTTCCGCTAAATGCGCTCATTAGTTGAATGTATAACATGTTCGACTGGCTCTGGGTTATTCAGTCTACGTTTATTGGTCGAACAAGTATTCATAAGCTTTATGATTGGCTAATAGAGATTTATAATGTCATTAATCGCTCTCGGAGCCAGTCGAACACGCTATTAGAAATCTATCGATCAAGGCTGCGTTCCGAAATTCACTGCCAGTACTGAAATTTTATAGTATACGTGACATAAATTATAGATTTTTAGTACTCACAGTAAATGAGTAATTCGGAACGCAGCCAAAGCAAACTTCTTGGCTCTGTAATAGATTTTTACACTCAAACGTAACCGCGCCCAAAAATGTAAATGGACTAAAGTTGTCAAGTGTTACGTATATAATGTGGTAAGAGTATGTATGATACAGGATTAGAAAAATATAATCACGCGCGTAAGTCTTATTTATTTTGAAATAAAGTTGATATGAACTAATCTGACATCTGCACGATAGACAAGGAAACATTGAAAAATTTAAAAATAATTTTGCACAATAATTTATGCATTATAAGAGTTATATATGCATGATTTACAAAAATATATATCAAATATTGCAAATGTATAAAAATATTATATAAAAATATTTTATCCAAAACACTTCTTGACTAATTTACACTAATCTCTATTTTGATCAATAAAATATATCAATGATCTGAATCATTGTTGTCTATTAAGGAGACATAACATGTATTGTTACGTCTTATCATCTCTATTTGAATATGTGTCAATAATATAATAGTTATGATGTAAAATGCTGCTGCTAAAAACCATACTGGCACAGGATACACAGGTGGCATATAATGGGAATACAAGAGAGTATACAGGGAAGCTGCCGCAAATGGTAACAGAGTCTCTAAAGATTGAGTTAGAGAAAAAATCTTCCCTGTAAAGATAAATATATATGAAAATATAATTTTTATAAAATTAATGTAAATATCTTAGAAAGAAACTAAAAAGTGCATATCCAAATATATATTTATATTTAAATATATATTAATATTCTGTATGATTTTATATATATTTCAAATATTATTTGTTTAATAATTATTTATTAATATATTTTTATTATTATTTATTATTAATTATATATTATTTATTAATATTTTTTATAATATATTTTTATAAATAGTAAAACTTACCAGTATCCTGCACAGGTACAGTTTTGGATAATATAGCACGTATCATTGGTCGAGCTAGATCACTGAACATACCTATACTTGTTGATAAATACATGTGCCAAGATTGCCATATAAAAGCTCGCATTAAAGCACTGCCAAGAGATGATGTAACAGATATTATGGCAATTATCGCCTCTGGAAGTCCTAAAATAATACATGTATTTTATAAATTCTTAATACAAAATTTTTCTAAGTATGAATATTTTGAGGGATTATCAAATGTTAAAGTAATACCTGCACATTGTCGCATCAATTTAATACCCAGTATTGTACCTAATATTCCTAATACAACACTTGCACCTACATAAGTGGAATATTCTTGTACATCCCAACCAAGTCGGGCACTTGCAAACAGATATCCAATAGTCATCTCCCCTTGCAAGGTAATCAAAAGTAATGTAAGACAAACTATGCAACTCCAAACTAATGACCTATTAAATCCATCTCTCTTTTCAACACATGTACGAACAAGGTCTTTTACAAGCACAAAATCAAATATCTTACAAATAGTTCCCTGCAAAAATAAGAAATGATAATTACTTATTCTATTATTTATTTCAGTTACTATTCTAGTTACAATTCAAGTTACAATTCTATTGAATCTCAATTTTTAACATACTAAACGTTTATACTTGTAAGACACTCACAGTACTATGACTTTGTATAGTTTCTGGGACGCAAAGTAATATATACAATGTTGCCACAATGCACAGTATAGTTGCTATACTGAACACAGCAATATATCCATATGCTTCAAATACTGCTGGGCCAGAAAACAAACCAATTAGTAAACCAAGGGATATTAATGCATCTAGCCAGGCCAAATGTCCTGATCGCTCACTATCATTCGTTATATCAGTGATATAGCAAAGTGAAGCTAATATTAATACACATAAACCACCCGAAAGAGCAGTAGGGACATAAGCTAATAACAAATACCAAGGTGCAATGTTCCAATGAGTCATTATAGAGAGCAGAAGGTATGTTAAAGATATACCTAGAAAAATATTAATCATTAATTCTTTTTTTATTTCAATATCATGTAATTAAAATTACTTCTAAACTTTATAATATTGTCTATCATACAAATTAATATATTATATTTACCTATATACCCTGATAATATAACAGGTTTTCTTCCATGTTTGTCGCTCCATGGTCCCAAAAACAAAGACAGAAACGAAGGAAAAATACTTTCAATGAAGGATTTACTCATCAATATTAAACTGGCATATGGTTGTACTTGCAAATTTATTTTAAGAGCTTCTGGGCTACTGCTATTATTATGGAGTATCAGGCATTCTGTTTGATTTATTTTTAATGTCATAGTGCACGTACGATATACTATTAAATCTGTCAGAATGGTACCTGTAGGAAAATATGTACACATAGCCATTATGTTAATATTAAAAAATTGGTTTTTACCTGACATTGATTGAGCAAGCAGCAACAGCACTACAGGTGGTTGCACCATTATAAAACGCCTCCATCCAGTTTGGTCCATTGTTTTCTATAATTTACTATCACTTACTTTAAAGGCACTACTTTGAGCGATATTTGCACGACGAGTGTCTCATAAGACTAAACAGAGCTTTAATCATCTTCATAATCACTCTATTCGACCCTCATAATTAAGAACTCCTGATAAATAAATAATGTTATCTTTGGTTTGGCTGACACTGATATTCTTTGTTCTCTCGCTCCTGACGTAACCACATCGACCATGAATAATTATGATCGTACGATAGTATGTTCCAGTCAGAGAATAATCGGTGTTGCATGATGCACGTCTACAAAGAAACATTTCAGTGTGTCTGCGATTGTCAGTGCAATATACGCTTAAAGTGTCTTCTATGCCAAAAATAGCTATGAAGGACTGACAAGTTTGTGCAAGTTTAAAAGCCAATCAGCTGATTTGTGATTACATGCCATTTAATTGCACTATTACATTGTTTCTCTATTTAAAGTTAAATAAATATATAACAGAAAAAATTTTTGAGAGGATTAGATGAAGACTAAAGAAAGTGTATCTAAAAGAAAACAAATTTTATATATTTTAATAAAAATCACATCATCCTGTTACAACTAAAGCTGCGTTCGCTTTGAGCGCTCACACGCTGCATAAGCGTTCAGTGGCGTAGCCAGGGGGGGTTGAGAGGGCTGCAGCCCCCCCGAAATTAATTTTCTGGGTTACGCTAAGTGTGAGAAAAATTTTTTCGAATGACCTCTTTTTTGCTTGTTAAAAATAAAAAGTACAGCCCCCCGAAACTTTTTTTTGGCTACGCCACTGTGTCATTCTATCTTTATCGCTCCTTACATGCGGAAAAAGATGAATGACGCTTGCAGCGTGTAAGCAGAGCTCGGCAAACGATGCACTTTCCGGCCGAGAGCTCCGCCTCGCGTTGTCGCCCACACGTTGGCACCACAGCACGACACGCGGAAACGCGCTCCTGACACTTGAACGGTACGTAGGCTTCACGCGGGGCAACAAGGCAAGGAGGATAACGCGAAGTGGAGCTCTTGGCCGGCGGAAAATGCATCGTTTGCAGAGCTCTGCTGGGCTCTTATTCTTGAAATAGTTGCGTATACGTAAGTTTTACTGCACAAGTTTAATCATACCATAAAATAGCTGCGCAATAAAAATTATGTATACGCAAAAATTTCAAGAATATAGGCCCTGATCTAAACACAGTCTAAGTATAAGCGACTGCTAATAATGTAGTTCTCTGTAATCTAACATACCATTTTTGGGTTCATTACTATAATTTATTACTTGGGGTCTTTATTAAAGATAAATATGATGGTTTTGATCTATCAGCAATATCTCGTGGGAAATAGCAGTGATCTAAGAAACTGAGAGAAATCATGTTGTTAGATTACAAAGGCTTCTTTTATTGGAGAGATTTTACAGGATAGTGAAGAGTACGAACTTTCATTTGGGTTCACTAAGTCTAAAATAATTGATTTGTTTCTGCGAGCTTATAAAGTATAATTGTCATTTTCATTTACAGAGATGAAACAATAAGCACACGAGTGCTAGCATAAAAATATGAGTATTTATGTGGTATATTAACAATATACAGTTTATAGGTACAAACGCCGAGATATTTCTTACTATCTAATCCCACTCTCCAATATACATAGCACGCGGAGTTGGAGGTATTACGCCTCTCGTCGGGATCGGTAACCTTCCGTATATGTGGTTATACGGTGACTCGTTCCTGTTGTCCGAATCTGAAAGTGTAGTAACAGTTATTGCTAATAAAGATAGTTTCATAGCTATTTAGCATATCAAGTACGACATCTAATCTGACACATGTAACGTATATGTCGTATGTAATTATATAGCGCAATAATTTCTCTAAAACCTTTGCAACAAAGAATTAATTAAATCTCACCAAGTCCACTCTCGAAGCTTCTGGCATGGTACATAATGGGTGGTCGATGAGCAGGTAGATGACCGTATATTTGAGAGGATTGACTACTAGCGTATGCAGCGCCCGCGTAGGATGGTACATGTTGTGTCCTGACATGTCCTCGAGGAGGAGCAGGACCCAGCTTGCTCTGACCGTTCCTCGCCATTTTTACAAAATTAGGCACACGCGCTCGTAAACCACAATAGTATGGATCGTCTAAAGTCACAATCAAAATTTAATACATGTATAATTTATTACTCTATTCGCGCGTATGTGTCAAAAAAGTAAACAATTAAAATTCATGATGCAATTTTACAAAAGTAAAAAATGCAAAAGTAAATATATCTTCAGATTTAATATATAAATTCCAAATAAAATTTGATCTATGTGAAATTTTGAATGTCATGTAAAAAAGAATAACTGTAAATTAGATGAATGTTCTTTAAACTCATTAATAACATATACATTATTCCTTACCGTATTTCTTTCTATCGTCATGTTTACTTCGTTTCTCGTCCATTATAGGATGCTTTATCGCTCTTGTATAGTCATCTTCTATATCATCGTAATCAGGCTGAAATAACCAGACAAACGCCAAAGAATGATATGTTGCACTTTTTTGCAATATAAATCTAATACATCATTTTCTTTTTTTTATTTACCTTGGGGATACCATGACCATAGAGATTCTCTCTAGGAGGCAGTTTCGGCGGTCTCTCTGTACGTCGGTGCTGATAACTCGTCGATTGCATGTAGATTTGCTCTCGGGAATCTCTATCCCCGGAGATTATTTCGCTAGGACCTCCTACGGATGACGACACGCCCGCCACGCTATAAGGATCTTCGTCAGGAATTGGTATTCTAGGTCTATTTTTTATGTCAACCGGCCTTTGTAGTGCTAAAACTAAAAGATACATCAAAATGGAAAAAGTTATTCGAGTCACGTGGCACAAGAGCAGCCTAGATGTAAAAATTTCATAAAATATTTAATGTCATATATTGCTTATCTTAACGTACCTGGCGGCAACTTTGACTTGAGCATATCCAAACCGACAACATTGACGATAAGTACCCATACAGGACATTGAAGTAAGTCAGCTTCTGTTCTAACGAATATGATAGCGCTGAGACATTGCATTTCCAATCGCCGTCTGTCCGGGTAAGCCCTTCGTGTTTCCCGCGACAGATTTGTTTGAAATTTATTCATATCAAACAACTGAAAGACCACAAGCGCATCGTCCATGTGTTATATAGCGTTGGAAACCAAATTAAGAGCAAAAACACTTCACGAGTACATCTATTTCGAAAAATCTTTCCAGTAAGATACAAAAATATATTATCTGTAGGAAAAAGCAAAATAAGAACTAGGATCTTTGATCTAGCGCGGAAGATCGACTGTGTACTTTAGTTCGTGTTAAATAGCGGAACTTTTCGCTCTCCTTTCATAAGAGCGTGGTATATGATTTCCTGACGATAACAAGATTTAAACGCCTCTTATTATACGGCTCGGTTGCTCGAAGTATAGTTTTAATTAGAAAGGCGGTTTCTCTATCAACATGCATTCTCACGAACTTCGTGATAAAACCATATGTGATTTTTCGCGCGTAGATAAACGATTGGGAAAAGTTGCCTTGCTCTTTCTTTTTTTTCTATTTTCAATTGAAAGAGTTTTTATTGGAAATATGAAACGTAGTCTTACCTTTCCTGGTTTTTCATGTTCGAGCGCACCTTGCGAATTGCGTATGATTTCTGGACCAATCGCGTTGTCTTCTTGGTTTGTAGACTTGACGTATACATTGTTCTTACATAATCTTTTGATGAGAATGTTGCCTTGTTCGTCCATTTTAATTTTAACTCCCTGATTTATGTGACGTTTTGCTTCTTCCGTTTTCGGGTCTCGCATGGGATTGTCAAATCCACAAAGTCCTATTCTATATTTCATAGAAAAAAAGAAAGTGCGATTAATGGGTCACGATAGACTGCGCACTGATGCACGTTGAAGTAGTAAGTCGTATGACAATATATATACAATGTTAGATAAATGATTGTATTGTAGATTCGCATCATATACCTGAATCCGTCAAATCCATCATTTGAACCGTTTATTGTGAGGACAGGAGCTCTAGCATAAGCTTTCGCTACCCGTCTGTTTCTCTCGAACACGATAACTTTCGCCCAAATTTCGTCATCTATTTGATTCCATTTATCTAAGACTTCTTGTATGTGATCCTATAAGTATAACAACGCCATCAGTATATTACATTGCTGTTAACAAAATCACGAATTTATCACAGAAATAATCGCAAGTAATCGCGATAAAAATTACCTTGTATAATTTATCCAAATTATACCACACATCTTCCTCTTCTTGTTCTTCATATTGCGATTCTACGAGATTATCTCGTGAGCGCGAGAGTATTTTTCGCCTCGATACCATTTTGTGACTCTATATTTAATCTGAAAGCAGATGTAAAAAAATAATTTTGTATTATTATTCAACGTGTAAGAGACTTTGTTCACACTGATAGAATAATATTATTATCAGTGTTATTCGGCAAATATATTTCTTTGCTCTCCTCATCGTCCATTCTACATTTTTGAACAAACACGCGCGATTTCACACAAGTGTGCTATTACACGCGTAATGAGCGTTGCGACGCATTCTGAAGATACAACTGCGTCGCGTACCGCATGGATACTGGAAACCCCGTCTCGTGTAATCGAATAAATGTTTTTTCGTACGCGAGCAAAGCGAAACCAAGGTGAAAAATTCGCTCCCACGCTCTAAAGCGCACTTGAAATCTAGCGTTGATATCGAAGTCGTTATCAAATATAAGCTCATTCTCCCCCGTATATAGATAACGCAAGTCATTCCGAGGGCGAGGATAAAAAAAATCGACGGTACGATTTACGGGCCGCGTACGCTATGTGCATATATACGATATATACGATACATGGCTGTGCATAATCCGCGAGACCAATATACAGAAAAATACATACTTACTGCACTCAAGTAAGTGTTGTTACTTGTTTCAAGTATTTCATAAGTTCACATATTCGCAAATCTACCATAAGTTTTCATCGTAAGCATGAAATTTATTCAAAATATATTCTAGATCCTAATCAATTTAGCATTTCAATGAAGAATATTATACATTAAGACGAAAACTTGGCTTGCTTACTATATAGAATCGAAAAAACTTTTTCTTCGATCAAATATTCTTGAAGAAAATAAATTTTTTTTTTAGTATATAAGTTTTCTAAAATTTGTTACGAGTATATTTTACGATTATCGCGAAGATTTCTTCTTAATTATTCTTTATTGCAGATAATTCAAAAGAAAAAAAATAAACTGAGTAATCAGTTTTCTTAGCAGTAGAATGATATTTTTCTGTGTGCACGCATCGCACGTACGCATGCATCTATATGTCCACCGGCACTACGGTGGGTGGAACTTAAATCCGGCTTTGTGACATGACGTCATTTCAGCTGATCTTCACACTCGAGGAATCATGCACGCACAATTTCGCTATTTTCTCTAGCTTCTACCTTTCACGTCAGATCACGATATAACGTAACGGCGATGTTTAACAGGCTACTCATAAAAATGATTGCGCGTTTCTCACGCGTCTACTATTATTGGTAGTCGACCTCTCGTAGAAAGCGCTTCAGCGTCTGAAAAAATGAAGAATTTTAATAAACAAGAAGATGGACGCTAAGTTGATTCTGAGAGAACACCGTCACGGTTCGCGACTAAGTAAGCGGTAAGTTACTGATATATTTCACGTCTTGCACATTACGAAGTTACTTCTTTTTCCTCCAGATCAATTTCGACGATTTTGAAAATTGTATCTGGATGAGCATTATATCCAAAGATAAAGAAAGAGAACTTTTTTCTCATCCTTCTTTTAAAGAATACAAGGAGGAAATATAAAAGCAAATGGAGTGAAGCTGTGGTATCTCCTCTAACACGTGAAGAATTCTGCGAAAGTGGACAAATAAGATTCGACGGAGCGATAATGCGCAGGTGGAACGCGCTTGATTTACTACACGAGTTCCTCGAGTATCGTGAAAGTGTTGTTATTAAATGTATCGGCTAACTTCCATCGTTCGATTTGTGAGCCGGCTTTCACGACTACTTTTTCGCAAAATCTTTTATTTATGGCCGCATATTAAACGAAGAAAGAAAAAAAGGATAATCGACAGAGAGCCGCCGAGAAATCCGAGTCGGCGGTGTAACACTTACGCGCGGAAACTGCGACTTGCTTTTCCATTTTCTCGATCTGTCCGAAGACGTTCGCTCTCTTTCTTTCTGCGAGAGATCATAATGCATACAACGGAATAACTTTTTCGCGCGCGTACACGCCTAAATACCGCGGATTATTCAACGGGCATTCGGGACGGCTACGCCGGCGTGACTTGCGCGCGCCTCGCCTCGTTTTGTCGCGTTGCACCTCGATATAAGTCGATACATGCTGTACCGCTATTTATTGTAACTTCGTGCCGTTTCAACGCGCCCTGAGACGACGAGCGACGCGCCTCGTATGGCTCGAGTGCGCGTCCGGTACCGTAATATCGTTTAAGTAGTTGCGGCACGCAACGTCCGCCGACCGGTTAAATTCCCGAAATCGCGCAGCTATGACGTCGCGTCGCGTCAAGTTGGAAATCAAACCCGTCACCCGCCTCGGACCCTGTGGAATTTCGCACTTCAAGGCGATCGGATGTTTCATCGATGCTCAGAAAGACGCGTGACGGAATTGGCAAAAATGCTCGGACGTTTTGCGGCAAGACGATGCGCGACGGAGTGTCGTTACGCATTCAGAGAAAAAGATACTGCTGATAGCAATCTCTTATATAAAGTAACAATTATGCGAGTTTAATGTGTAGTATTATAATGCGAGTGTAACAATTATGCGAGTTTAATGTGTAGTATTATAATATATATAGTTTTTAACATGAACCATTTTTGTACTTATTGCAATCGAGACTTTAATTGCAATATAAAATAGTTGATTGAATATGTACATTAATTCTATATTCAAAATTCGTATTGTTACTTTATAACTGACGTGTCTTTTTCTCTGAGCGCTGAGAAGCACTTCGCATTCGACACTTTCCAAACGCGTCTCAGACGCAAAAGTAGATACAGTCGGGGGAATGAGCGTCGAGGTTGCGCTGTGCAAGAGTGCCGGAATTCATCCGAGGTAAGTCTCTGCTCTTTTCTCCAGCAGCAATTCCGAAGATAAGAAGAAATAATCAGCGTAATGCTGATGCAATATCAAACGTAACAATCGGACGCTCCTCTCCTTCGTAAGCGAACCAAGTTCGTTTACGAAAGAGAACGCGTTCTCTTCAACGTGGCAGAAAGAATCCGAGATGTTCCCGGGGAGAATAAAACCCACGAAATCTCTCTCTGACTCGCGAGCACTTCTCTATTCTCCTCCGATGGTTTCGCAACGTTCTCCACGTAGTAGGTGCCTCATGGCGCTTGGCCATTATCTCACCGCAGGGTACAGAATTGCGTACGAGCTCGCCATCTGTTTCGCGCGTGCATACATACGTGTCTCGCCTTAGGGTGAGATTACGGCAATTACAACGATTTCGTAACGCGGCGAGAGATCGCGTGCCGATTAAAAGGAAGAAAAGGAAAAAAAAGTCGGTCCGGCCCGATCGCGAAATCGGGCGCGTTGAGAAATTCGCGACACGCTGACGAAAGAAACGTTATGACCGTCAATTTGACTATAGTGTACGAACGAATGAACGAAAGAACGAAGGAACATACGAACAGACGAACGAACGAACGAACAAGCGGACGCCCATCAAGCCAGAATTTCCCTGAAACTGCTTTCACTTCTCCGAAGAATGCGAAGGCTGTCGTACACGACCAACGGCGTCTAGCACGGCCTGACGAGTACACGGTACCGAGACCCCCACTTCGAGAGACCAGCGGTGTAGCTCACTCTCGTTGGATTTGTGTGTATATGTGCAAGTACCTGTATCCGCACACTTCACACACGGTGCACACTCGAGCCACGCGCAATACGCGACCATTCGCACGGTCTTTCTCTTCTTTTTGCCCTTCTATCTCTCTCTCTATCTCTCTCTCTCTCTCTCTTGCTTATGCACTCTTCGATGAATATTATCGTGCCTCTCTCTTGTTTTCTCGCAATTCTCTTCATTTCTCAGCTTCTGTCTTCACATGCCTTTTCGTCTTTGTTGCAGTCTATCGTGGATGTGCATTCCCTCCCTCAGATTTGTTCTTTCCCTGTACCAATTGCATTCTCTCATTTCTTTTTTTATGTTCATTATTTTTCAGTTTCTGTTCTCCAGAGTTCCTTCTTAAAAGTGCACATTCCTGAACATGCTTTTCTTGCGATCTCATGTTGCTTTCTTTGGGTTTCCTACGATAGTGTATCTTCATATTCAGTTTTTGTACACCTGTCAATTTTCAATTACAGTTTGTCGCAGTCATGTTCCTGTATAATGATATTTAACACCTTGACTGCCTTTTTTCTATTGAGATATATACATCTTTTTCCCCTTTCCGTCTGTCATTTTCATCGATCGTCCTCGCCAAATCTTCGTCTCGTCAATTTACCTCCACCCTCTAATTTTCTCTCCGATTATTTCTGTCCATATTTCTCCTTCTTCTCCTACTCATTCGTTTCTTCCTTTCATCCGCCATTCTACCATCTACCACCTACTCCTCCCCGCTCGTACATTCGCTCACTGCCTTTCTCGCGCTGTCTTTCCTTCTCCTTCCCTGCCCTCCCCCCATCTCTCTCTCTTTCTCACTCACCTCCCAGTCAACCCGCCAGGCGACTTCGATGAGTGCAACAGCGAGATTTCAAGCAGTGGAAGGAAACTGGTTATACCCGGCCGCGCAGCGACGGGCATTTACGCACACACCCTTTGGCGACAACCCCGGCAGGGCCGCGCGAAATACACCCATGGTGCAGTTAAAGCGTCGTGAAAAAACACGAGGTACAATTAAGCGAGCGTAGAATCGAGCGAAGCAAGGGACAGTAAATCGCAATTATCGCGATCCGCGCGACGATTATACCTCTTTACGATTATCGTGCGCCATAAATCCGCGGTACTTGGTTACTATGGTGTATTGTCGGCGGTATTCAATACACATCGTTTAATTCACGTAGCGACACGAACATCTCGAAAATGCCGATGGAAAGAAAGATCGTTACTCCTCGTTATCACGAAACTCGTTTAGCCAGCGAGAGACCGTTCGCGACTACCTGCGAGATGCTCTCGGGGAAAACCCTTGAGTCACTCACTCGTAGCGAACTGTACTTCATGCAAAATCGATATTAATAAGAACAATGACACGAAGTAGTGCACGAGCAATACTTTCAAAGTCTCGGTGAACTTATCCTGTTTCTCTCGATTATATTTGCAATAAACTCATTATTTATTCATGCGTGTTATGAGCCGAAACTTAAAGGAACCACGTGTGAGCGTGCAAATATTTGACATTTCTACTAACAGAGAGGGGATCGACTCCATCCGGATATCAGAAAGTAGACTCAGGATCTACTAAAAGTAGATAGTATCAGTTATTACTGTCGCATCGTTCTCGACGGATGTGTGTAAAAAGAAGAGAAGGGACGAGCAACCGGCTGCCCGCGGTTTTGAATCGACAGCGTTGAAACGAGCGCAAACAGCGCTCTTTCCTTGGCCTATATAGGCAGCCGGGGCCGAACGAGAAAAGAAATTGTAGACATGCCATCCATCCATCCGCCCGCATAGGATAAACATCCAGCAGCAGCAGTGCGTAACGTGAAGTGCGCGTTCCAGCCTTTAAGCAGGATATAAACGAACGTTATCGAATTGTATCTCGGCATCTGGTACCTTGTCGCCAGACAGGAGCACCAGAGTCTCGAATCTCCCTGAGGCGCAAACAGTCGCAAACGTTACGCCGCTCGGCTCCGCGAGATCCTATCAGAAGTTGATATTTCGCTGTCATCGAGAGACGTGGCGAGAGAGAGTGAGGTGATCCTAGCGATTGAACGCATGAATTCGCCTCTGGGTCCCCCTCGAGCGTCGCCTCTCGTACCACAGTTACCAAAGGAGAAAAAGGGAGCAAGTAAGAGCGCGGGAGAAGAGCGGGAGGGGGAGGGGGAGGGAAATGTTACGACATCCTATCAGTCGTCCGCAAAACGATACGCTCCCATATGATACGATTGGCAGAAATTCCGTTTGGTGCGCGCACACTCGCTCGCCTCGTGAAAAATTAACGGAGCTGCTTTCCCGATCGACAAGCTTGCCACGCGTAATGGATCGTCAACCAAGAGGCTCTCGCGTGCGCGCGATGATCGTCATGACGATCGACGACATTATACACGTCGTGCAAGACGTCATTTGGAACTTCGGTATGCGAGAGAGGAGAGAGCGACAGAAAAAGAAAAAGAAAGAAAGAGGATTCCTCGGCTTCATAACTTCGTGAAGCTGATCGCGAACTGTATCGTCATTCGGGCGGCGCGCGCGGGTAGAACTTTCACGTCGTTCGTTCGCTCACTCGCCCGTCCGTTCGCTCGCTCGCTCGCTCCTCCGTTCGACCGATCATTCTCCTTCCTCGCGCTACCCTGGAATGTATTGTACATAAGCAAATGTCGAGCGCGCGCGCGCGCTTGTCGATGAACTCGACGATGACGTTCACCGTTAGCGCCGTCAAAATGGCACTTTCTACTGAGTACACATCATAGATACGCGCGCATCGACGTCTCGCGGACGGCACACTTTGTTTATATATGTACTCGCGTGACAGGTACATCCGTGACGTCGTTTCCTTACGACAGGCTCGCGACTCCCCGGGGACCACAATCTCGCATCTCGCTGGTACCGCGAGGCAGAGTTGTTCCTCGTATACGCACCGCGAGCCCTCGCAACATCTCTCCCCCGCACAGCAGCGAGGTCGTCGCTGAGCGGACCCTATGCTCCCCTCCCGGATCTCCGTCCGGAACCCCGCTTCCTCTCTCCCTTTTCTGTATGCATCGCGTTTCTCCATATGTCGCGCTCTCGGACGCGATACTGCGGGTTTCTTTACGTACCTCTCGAGTGACAGCGTCCAGTTCGCGAACACGACGGCGATCGAACGCCGTCACCGCCTACACCGCCTTCAATATGGTTCACAGACTGGCTCGAGGGCACTCGACGCGCTCGTGAACGCGCTCTCTCCTATCCATAATCGGCGAAAGTCGCACTTGTTGGCTCGCTCCTCCGCGTCTCTCTCTTTCTTTCTCTCCGCGACGGACAGTTCGTCGAGTGTATTCGCGACGGCACTCTTTATGGACACTATCATCGGCAACGACTGTAACAGAGATTCCCGGGTGACATGCGAGCGATGATCTCTTGTAGTTTCGCGCAAGCGACTCGCGACACGAATTCCCCGCGCGACGCGATCAAGTCTGCGCGCACTTACGAACTGCCCGCGACTTGCGAGCGGGCAAAACGGACGGCGCGAAGCGTCAAGGAAGGGGGAAAAGGGGAAAATGCGCGAGTGAACGAGCGAGTGGTGAGCGCGCGAGGCGCCTCGTTATAAAACGCGCGCCTTTATTCGGCCGTGCCCGCTCGCGCTCGAACTTCCTTCACGGCGTGCAATAACCGTTCGCCGTTTGCTTTGCTGCCACCGTTTTGAACCGCCGCGGATAGGCCTCACTTCGCGCCGCGAGTGAGAGCCACAGGACGTTCACCATTTTGGTGATTCGCGCGCGCGCGCATGCGCCGCTACCCCAGCTTACCTGCTTGTCTACCTTCACTGGTGACGTCAAAAATAGGACAAGGAGCTGGTGGCCTTTGCTAAGTTGCGGACGAAGAGGGGAGAGAGAGAGAGAGAGAGAGAAGAGCGAGAAGGAGGGCCACTGAACTGTCTCCTGATGTCTTCTGTCATGACCTCGCCTCGCCTTTCTCTCTCTCTCTCTCTTTCTTAGAAAGTCTTTTTGAATGAAACCCATTGTTACGTATTTTACAACACAAATAGGCAATCCCTATTTAGCCTTTCTAGTATATATGATATAGGCCACGGAAGATTCTAATATCAATACCGATCTGCATAGATCATCTACCTTCATTTCCAGTCTCCCTTCTTTCCTGGCCTCGTCGACCTTTATTTCTCCATGTTGGTTCTACCAACTCGAGTCACGTATGTACATACCTGCGCATACGCATGCGTATCGTTGTCGTGATTCTTGGCATTCGCGGTGCGTTAGCCAATTTTTGGTATTGCAAAAATTTTTCCGCCGACGTAGTAAGATATGGCGACTCTCAAACGAATTCCGTATAAAGGAATCGAACAAAATCACCATCCAGCTACTTCAAAAGCTGTTTGTAATAATAAGAAAAAGCATTAATAGCAACAATAATAGCTATTTACTCTACTCATTAAATGCTATATTCTACAAATTTCTCTTTATATTTTATATATATATATATATATATATATATATATATATATATATATATATATTATATAAAACCAATACATATGTCTCATTTTATTCAACAATAGTAATACATCAAAAATAGGCTGATTTTAGGACTTTATTGCAATATATGATACAATGAAACAGATTAAGCTACAAGAGCACTAGCTGTTGAGCTCTCATATTTCCAATTTGGTGGCAGCGATCCTTTTGTTTTGTAATATCGAGCTAGCCTATGAATCCTTGATTCTACGAGAATCAACCGAAATTTGCTGTCCTTGTCTTTACGGTTTCGCTCCAGATGTTTACGGACAGCCACAGCTTTTTTGATCAAATAGTACAGATCCTCGGGTAAATCTGGGGCCAGACCCATGCTCTTTACAATACGTAAAATTTTATTCCCTGTACGGAATCTTACTTGTGCTACTCCATGAGAGTCACGAAGTATTACACCTGGAAATATAATGTCCATTTAAATCTTCACCATTTCCAACAATTTGTAATAATTTTTGTGTAATATGCAAACATCTATGGTAATTTATTATATTCACACATCAAATATTATTATTAAATTATAATTGTAATATGTATGGTAAGAAATATAGAACTAAGGACCTCAAGATTTCTCAAAATATTTTGTTTAAATATATTAAGCCTAATCAACAATATGCTCTTTGCTTCCTGTTTCTTTCTCTTCATTTCTTTCTATCTTACATCTTATGCCTTAAAAAGATAAAGGACAAGAAATAGAAAGCAAAGAATACATTATATATAGATCAGACTTTAACATTTCCTATATATATTCCTTCTTTTTATAAGAAACATTTGCTAAATACGATAGCTAATATTATCTCTCCAGCAATATAGCAAGAGACATATTTACTTTTTTATTTAAAAAAACAAATATATTATTAAGAATTACCAATTTGAGATGGTGTATGTCCCTTTTTGGCAAGTTTATAAATAAGTTCTTTACAATCTTCCGGTGTCAACTTCAGCCAAGTTGGCACACTTCGTCGATATGGGAGCGCAGATTGGGATATACCCTTTCTAAAAAAAACAACATCTTATTAAATAATTACCTAATCTATCATATTGAGAAACTTGCATGAGAGGTTATGTATTAGAATGGTAACGAATTGGCTCCAAATATTTTCGTTATGTCAAAGTCAAATTGCTAGAACGTCTGACGATTACATGCAATAAGATCGCTACATCTTAAAATAAAGGATCGTGAAAGCATAAAAGGTTGATAATGGATACAACGCACACATGGCCGCTAACAAGCGTGCCTGTTGCCAAAACGTTTCGACAATTGATCGAATTATCTTAAAACCGTGTAAAATGTACTAGTGTAAATTAAAAACTGGACATCGCAAAAATTGATTGTAAGCGTGGGAACAAACTTATAATAAATATCATTACCCATGCGAATGCATACGACCCATTTTCAATAAATTTTCTCCGGCACACCAACGTGTAAGCGTACAAAAAAGAAAAAGGGAACCGCTAACGCCGCAGTGGCAGAGACGTCAAATAGGCAAAAATGGCAGACAAATTCTTCGCATGCGCAGTAACGCAGGCGTAGTCGAGGCACAGTACATTGAGTGTATATCAGTTGGACACGGGGCAATTGGACACAGTCCAATCACAAGTCGCTGTTCCAAGGGACCCTACAAATGTCTCTAATCACACGGTGCTGTGATTGGCTGTGTCCAAATGCACCGTGTCCAAGTGCACCGCTCCCCAGTACATTCAGGGTTGCATTCCAAAATGTTCTTTTTGGAGAAAATTTTACTCAATATTTATAATTCACATTACATATATTATCGAATAAAATTTCCCCAAAACAGACGTTTTGGAATGCAACTCAAATAAATTCGGAACTGAATAAATTTAATCTGTGTCCAATTGGAAGATTGGAGCCTGCGTCCGAAGCATAAAGTAGTTTATTCTTTTTAGCTGCACTGCTGAACTAGTGTAATAAGTAAAATGAGAAAAAATATACTTGTCTCATTTTAACTTATTATACTAGTTTAGCAGTGCTGCTAAAAAAATAGACCAAAGGTTGCGTTCTGTTTCACGCATTATGTATAAATTTTCTACAATATACGTGATATGAACGGGAGCGTCCCGATTGACCATAGTACGATTGGACACCATTAATCGGTATACAGAATTATTTAGTGAATTACTAGGTTGAACCAATCATTGAGTGCTTTCCAATTGCTTAACACATCTTGACACATATGTATACAGAAATTCACAAAGTGTAACGTTGTGCACGATTCAATTGGAACAAAGTGTGTACTAATGGGTGTTTATGATAAATCGAGTACGAGTTAGTTCCACTAGGGTCGAAAAATATAGTAAGCACAACCATCTAGTATATTCATGGTTCAAGACAACTCAATACTGTTTTCCGATGCTCGAGTAGAGTTAGTTAGAGTAACGTGAACTATAGATATTGAGTAAAATTTTCCTCAAAAAGGACGTTTTAGAATACAATCTTAAAATGCTTCGAAGAGTTCCACAATATGTGCTCTGTTTTCGGCTTTTTTGCCAAGTTATGAATTCGGGCTACGTTCCGTTATTTACTGCAAGTACTGTTAAGCTAGCGGCACACGATGCTTGTTTTCATGTCGGATTGCTTGCTGGATGAAAATAGGCTGCGTTCGGAAACGTTATTCGAGTACTCTCCCTCTCTTTTTATCTCACTTTTGTATTTCGCTCACTTCAATGGTTATCGTCTAGTAGTGTGCACACAGTATGTGTTTTCGAATGTAGCCATACTCTGTTCTGATTGGTACATTTCTGAAAACGGACCAATCAGAATAAAGTATTTCCATTAAGCAAGCAATTCAGCACGAAACAAGCATCGTGTGCCGCTGGCTTTAGGGTGCAAACCCATGCAGAGGAATAGCGGAGCGCGAAACGAGAGTGGAACCAATCACGAGCGTTCCACAGTTTTCTCTCGTAATTGCTTCCGCTCGTGATTGGTTCCGCTCTTGTTCTGCGCTCCGCTATTCCGCTGCAGGAGTTTGCACCCTTATAGCGTGTTCGACTGGCCCTAGGCTGCTATTCCGTTACCGTGGTTTCGATAGTTGTCGGATCAGTAGATGTTGCACAGTTTTTCTACGCTATAAAAAAGCTGCGCAACGACGCCTACCGATTCGACAACTGTCGGTATGCGGGAACGAAATAGTTAATCCTCCTGGGTTAATCTCTCGGTTAACTCTTGGGTTAATCCCTCCGAAAGCGATTAATGACGTCATAAGTCTCTACTAGCCAACATAAAGCTTATAAATACTTGTTCGACCAATAAATATAGGCTGAATAATCCAGAGTGGGTTAACCCAGAGCCAGTCGAACATGCTATTAGAGTACAAACCCATGCAGCGGAATAGCGAAGTGCAGAACGTATACTAGCAGTATACTTTCAGAAGTGCGTTCAAAAATTCTACTTGGTAGGTAGAGTACATTTAATTGACTAATCATGATAAAGAAATCCTAGTTATCTTTGTTTTTATTGGTCAATTAAATGCTACTCTACCCGCCGAGTAGAGTTTTGGAACGCAGCCCATGACGTCATAGCATCAGTATTCGCAGTAAATAAAAGAACGCACCCTCGTTTTCACGCTAATTTATATTCAAATTTCCCGGCTGGCAGCAGTTCACTTCCGGTTGCCTGAATTTACGCGCGATATACTTCTTTCGTGTTATTTTCACACGTTGATATGGTTTACGGGACGTCACTGTGCCACGCCATCATTTGTATGCGGTACAATTCCACAGAATTGGAATTTTGCAAACGCAAGCAGAAATTTTCGACGGTGTGATGGCGTTGCAATCGGCTGCGTCAGTAAAACGGGAAATAGCGCAACGTCGCCTCGGCGGCTGAACACGGCGTCCGAGATCCAAGATGTCCGCAGTCCGGCAATAGAACGCTTGTATTTTCCGGGGGGTGTCAACAGAAGGATCGCAGAATATTTTCGCAGTGCGCATCGCGCGCGGAGTCTTTGTTCGAGGGATCGGCGAATCGGCCGAGATTACGGCGTCGTCCGTCCTCGTGTCCTGTACGCCTGTGATTAACTCGTGTGTTACGACTCGAATGCGCGACGACAGCGCGAGAATCGGGGAGCGAATATTAAGAAAGAGGGAGAGAGAGAGAGAGGAAGAGAGAGAGAAAGTGAGAGCGGGACGACGATCGACAAGCGTCAACTAGTGCTTCGTGTATGATTTGCGCTCGCTGAATGCAAATTCGTTTGCGTAAATCACAGAGCAGAGGCAGCTTGGTTGGTGAGGCACTTGAAACGATCGAGGTCCGACGGCCAAATTGTGAGATCTTGAGAAATTTGAAATACCGAGAAGCACACATCGAGATACGCGAGTGAATTTTCGCAGGCTCACCGTTTCCGAACATTATTCGGACGTCTGGACAGCCAGACTGAATTAGGTCAAAAAACACATTTCTGATCGCTAATTTTTGAAGGACGACTTGTAACGCCGTCCATCTAAAGGCCCAACTTAGAACACAAGAGTATCAGCCACGAACTCACCTCAGTAGAAAGTAATTTTATCATTTTACTTGCTACTTTGTAGAAATTACGATATAGTAGGATACATAGGATATACTAAACATAAACTATGTAAAATGCTAAATAAACTGAACACTAATGATTTCTATAATTCATTTCTGCTATATTTAGATATGAACATGTGTTGAACATGAACATTAATACTTTTGATCATATTAAGAAATTGTTTATAATTCTATTTAGATGAGAATAAGCTATGATTGTTCATAAAAGTAACTAAAGTAATTATATTATCAGCATGATATGAAATATATCAATAAATACTTATATGATAAAACTGATTAATAATTCTGTTTACAGATTTATAGGGAGAATGCAGTGGATATATATTTAAGCAAAAATTAAAATGTCAAGTGATAGCGATCATACTTATCCAGTAAATAAACGCAAAAAACTTGTCATAACTGACAGTGATAACAGCGATGAGTCCATTATTGTACAAACTCGAAGGAGAAAGAAAATACATGTATGTATAAAACTATGTATAAAAGTTTTTATTATTGAAGTACTTAAGAAATACTTCTATTTATTATTAAAATTCCAGAGAGTTGTTAGTGAAGAAGAGAGTAGTGATGATAGTGATGTACCTAAACCTGTGATTAGACGACAAAAGAAATATGTAAGTGTGACTGTTGTATTCTTATGAACTTATTAATTGGTTTTATATCTTTACTATTATTGTGTATTTTATTGCAGAGAGTTATTAGTGAGGATGAATCTAAATATGATAGTAGTGCATCAGAGGCAGATAAATCTACTCAAGTTGGTTAGTGAAAATTGATTACTATGAAAAGTCTCCACAGATTTTTTATTTCTCCCAAGTTTTACATCTCATAAAGAAAACAAATTAATTGAAACAATTATTTAGTTTAAAAATCACTAGATTTACCTTTTTGAGTATAAACAAAATATAATTATTTGCAGAGTCCATTATGTATATTGAAACGCTTTTTTACTTGTATGACTAAAAATCACAAGCTTTCCAAACAACAATGTTACTATTAATATATTAAAATTTTATATAATATGTTTAATATAAGATACTTGTGTTGCAGATACAAATGCAAGTAGTAGTGATGCATCCGAATGGCATAGTGATTGGACTAGTTCTGATGAAGTAAATAAGGATTCCAAGAAATATAACACTAAGCGCAAGGTTTTACTTAGTTACGATAGTAGTGCCTCAGAGGCAAATACATCCGCTCAGATTGGTTAGTACATATCAATATTAAAATATTGATTCTGTTCTATGTTAAATACGATGTTTTATAATATTGTATATATTATAGATAATAATAGTGATACCTCTTCCGAATGGCAAAATGATTGGACTAGTTCCGATGAGTTGGATAAAGGTGTTAAACATAATTCTAAACGCAAAGTTTTATCTAAAACAAAAAAGAAGAAAGCAGATAAATCTGCTCCTTCACCAACTAATGTTGATATCGATTCTGATAATAGTGATGGACAATTAGAAAAGTGTCCTATATGTTTACTGCCATTTAGAAAACAACAAGTTGGTACACCATCTGCCTGTGAACACTGTTTCTGTCTGGAGTGTTTACTAGAATGGAGCAAGAATATTAATACTTGTCCTGTAGACCGCCAAGTTTTCACTATTATACATGTCAGAAATCATCTTGGTGGCAAGGTAATATGCTGGAGGAACTTACTTTAGAATAAAATATTTTAATTATTAAATATATTAAGATAGCTTATATAGTACTATGTATTTAAATATACTAGTATGAGTAGTACTATGTTTAAAGGATACTGATGCAGAAAAGCAAAATAAGTAATTCAGTATATAAATATAAGATATATGCATTACAGTTTTGATATACATTTTTTTTCTTGATTAGGTTGTAAAACATTTACCAGTAGAAGTTGTGCCGCGCCCTGAAGATCAAATACAAGATGATCCAACATTTTGTGAAGTGTGTCATCTGAGTGATAGGGAAGATCGAATGTTACTTTGTGATGGTTGTGATTGCGGCTATCATTTGGAGTGTCTAACACCTCCAATGACTGAAGTTCCAATGGAGGAATGGTTTTGTCCAGAATGTTCTCAAAACAGTCAAAATGATGCCGAAGCGGTACATTTATATAGCATTATTATTTCACGTTCATTTAATACTCAATATGTATATATATATATATAAAGTTATTCGCGCACGCGCGTCATAATTTAAATCCCAGTGGAGAATTTTTTTAACGAGCATCAATCGTATATTAAAATGAATTTTTTCCAATATTCTCTTCACGCTAAACATCAATTTTCTCGCAGGTTTGCGTTCCTACTCATATATTTATATTTTATATATTTAAAATATTTAAGGCTTTTTTAAATTGCCATATTATAAGTGAAAAATAAAAAAAAGATAAATATATATAGTCTAAAAGACAATTACAATCTAAAATAAAATATATGTAAAGCAACAAGTCAAATTATAGAGCTAATTACTATGTACATATAACATGTACATATAGTATAGTATACACGCAGGAGAATACAAATTAACTTTGATTACAATTTAAAACTGCAAAGTGTAAGAATGAGTTTATATTTAGCAAATATAAAATTTTTTCGTGCATGTAATATTTTTTATGCGAAAAATATATACCATAATATTTATTTAAAGAAACATCTGTAATAATAAATTGTAAATGCAACAATATATAGCAATTTCCTTGTCTTATATTTGCAGGTTGAAATTGACATGGATGAGATCTCAGATCTTATGGAGGAAGCGCGGCGTCTTGGTGTATCGTATGGTCGTACTCTTACTGGAACAAATTCGGAAAGTGGAGCGTTGATTCCTAGAATCGTTCCTCGCACTCGCCATACCGAACGTGTACGTGCTAACATTCGTAATCGTACTGTGCGCAACACCATAGCGAATATTCGGTTTATTGATCCGAATCAGCCGTCTACGTCATCTGGTCTAGATTCGATTGGTGACAATAGTCGTTCTCCAAATGCTAATTTTCGCGCGTGCGGAGTAAACACTATGTCCACTAATTCGAATAGGACATCTAAGACTAAAACGACGAAAAAGAAGAGAAAGAAACAGGGGAAGAAAAGCTCATCAAGAAATGGCAATACTGTGTTTCGAGAAGTGAGAATTAGAGAAATCAATGACGACGGCGAAGAGAAGGAAACTGTAACGTACGTCAAAGTAGCATCGTCCACATCGAGGAGGAAGTGTAAGAAAAGAACAAAGAAAACGCGCAAGGTATATCGTTAATTTCTTCTCAAATGTAGACTAATAGTTTGACGCGCGCGCGCGTGTCTATATCACATACATAACACATTTGTCTATATCACATACATAACGTATTTGTCGTCATAGGTGGTGATTGCCAGATACGTAGATCTGCACATATATTTTAAATCCGGAGATGTATTTATCGATTCCTTTTTATTATATGACAAATTATGTTTTACTTGATATTCTTTTAATCACAGCTATTAACAAATACATTTTTGCCAGACATCTGTTCTGTGCTAAGCTATTGCCATAATTCGTGCCAGATTTTTCCTCAATTAGGATGTACGATCTGGCAACGCTACCGCATCTCATCACTGACTCCATCACTCTGGACTTCCTAGATAACACGATGATTACTGCTGAATTTTATGTATCGTACTGATGCCATCTTGATAACTTATAACTAAATTAAATTTCCTAATTGTACCTCATTGTTCTTAAGTTATATAAATAAAACCATTTTCTCACTAGATGCACTTGGTTTTTTTCTTAATTTTGCTTAAATTCACTTTAATATTTTATCATACTAAATCTTTTAAACTTTGATAATGCCAATTGCATTCTAAGATTAAAGTTATATGTACAGTTAATTTATTTATTTATACACTAATATATAAATTTTTTATTTTTTTGTAATATACTATAATGATGTAACATCAGAGATAATGATGTATATCATAAGTTAATAAGAGATCAATATAACATATATAACGTTTTTTGAAGTGTGTGTGTATATATATATATATATATATATATATGTGTGTGTGTGTGTGTGTGTGTATATATAATGCGTGTATATATATATGTGTGTATATATATATATATATATACATATTTATATGTATACACATACATACATATAATAATACATGTGTATAAGAAGCATTACTCTAAAAAGATGTATTACATGAACTGTACATAGTAAGACTAAAAATTTCTGTTATCTTATTGTCAAAATAAGTAATTTATGTAGAAACTTATGCCAAAAGTAGTATCTTTTTAAACAAACATCACTAATCTTTTATTTTACTAATCTTATAAATTTTGTTTACTGCTATGATTTTCTATAGTTTTTCTAGAAAATAGAATTTGAACAATGCTTTAACATATCTCTATCTTGCTGCCTAATATTGCTTCACATATATATTTCTTTAACTAATTTTATACTAACTACATATATTGTAGATTGTACATATTATGAATAATCTTTGTGGAACATAAATTGTGTTTTCCTATGATTCTACTAATTTTTCCCTATTATAAAAATAGATTATTGTAATCAGTTTTTTCTTAAAGTTACATTTTTATCTTTTTTTGTCATTTAATGTTTTCATTGTGTTATTATATGTTAGCATCGTCATTTATTTTATATAATTGATTGGAGTAACATATAAAATTATATATATAAGTGGGATATATGTAATAAATAAAAATTAAAGATAACACAAAACGCATTTTAATATTTTACTTATACTAATAAACGATTTATTTTTGCAGAGGAGAAAAACCAAACGACATGCGCGCACTGTATCGTCCGTGTTAGCCAAAACGCGAACAGTAAAAAAGAGACTGGCTACTGCATTGGGTATGAGCAAGCCGAATTTAGAGGTTCCGTTACTTGTACCCACTATGAGAAACAATATCTCGGTATCTGAGAAAAGTGCTCTCAAGACTGCCAGATACAACGCCGGTATACCTCAAATAAGTATCTTTGGAGACAATCTGGGATTAGACTACAGCCCACCTATGTCAGACGACGATGAGTATTCCATCGGAAGTGGTCCAATGATCGTGAACGTACAACGACGTTCAGCCGTACCGTCGATCAGACGTCGCGCCGTTCTAAAGACAATCGCCAATTCGGTGAACGAAGTAGAAGACACGAATACGCCAAATATTCTGGATAGTATAATCAACAGTCAGGAGCTGTGGCACTCGACCAAGAATAACATGGTGCTGAAAGCCGATGGCACGTTGTTGATGAACAGTCCCGAGAAGGAGAACAAGCACAGCATCAACAATAACGAAAGCCCAAAGAAGGAGAAAGAAGAGATTACACGACGCAAGGAGGTGATACTGAAGGAGGTCGACACACCGTTGGATCTGTCCAATGTTAATCCTAACAATATTACACAAGCACCGATGTACAACAATCCATGTGGTGGTGGGAACCGAGGTAACTTCCGTGGTGGCTACCGTGACAACGGTCGTCACGGTCATCACGGCGGCCAGAGCTACGGCGGAGGCGGTCGGGACTCGTTGCCACCGGGCAGTGGTAGACATAGCTATGGCAGTGGCGGAACCGGCCCGCGGGATAATTTCGGCAACCGCGATTTTGGACCGCCGCCGTTTTACAATCCGACTTTCGAGCATTGCGGCGGTCCGCCTATGTTCAGCGGCACGCCGCCGCCACCACATTTTCGAAGCCGCAATCCTCAGCACTTCCGTAACGAGCGACTGCGATTTCCACCACCAGTTGAACGACCATTCAACAATTACGCAAGCGACAATTTCGAGCGGCCGCCTTTTCCGCACACCCAGGATCAGCGCTTTCCCAGGCCCAGATTACCACTGCCGTTGGGAATACCACCGCCGCCGCCTTCTGTTCCGTCCGGTGTACCCGCCAATCCGACGACGGATTCTCTGAACGCGCAATCGACGTCGACACACATGCGTAATAGCCTGTCTGCCGGCTTATCGGAGATAGATGTGACGCGGAACTATCAGTCGGAGCAAAATGAACATGCGAATTCATGTGTCGCACCTGAGCCTGTGTCTGCACCCATGGACGTCAGACAGGAGAACAATGACGATTGCGATATTTACTGTGACATCGAGCCGCCGTCCAAATCCGACTGCGATGTTCCGGAGGAGCATCATGACAACGGTTCACTGATTCTTCTACCGCCACCGGAGCCTCCGTCTGGTTTACTCGACTTTGAGGAGAACTCTCGAAGTGATAAGGATAACGATAGCGATCAGGAGCTTGTAATTGACGACAGCCACAAGGAAGAACATACGACGAAAGATCTTACGCCAAGTGGTGACAAGTACGATCCATTTGCAGCTGACAGCGACAGTAACGACGACAACAACACTATGAATCCGGAGAAGACCGTGCTCGAGAAAACGACAGAGGTGACTCAGAACAATATGGACAGTTATAACATACCTATGCCGACCGCGCCGCCACCGATGATACCTGCACCAAGCTGTCCTCCAATGTCTGCTGGAAGTGCCGCGTCCGAGAGCAGAGAACGGTCGCAGGAATCTTCTATTCGTCTGCCCGCGTACGACGATGACGATGGCGATCACGAATCGCAGTCAGATTGCCCGAATTTCTCCATCTACTCGTCACAGACTATGGATGTAGCCAGACACACGGAACAGGAGTTATCGCAGCAACTGGGTCCTCTACAGCCACCACCGTTACCGCCCAGCATCCCCGATGACGATGATATTATCGTGGGCGACGTACAGGCATGCGACCTGCCCGATATCCCGGAACCAGCCAATCCCTATCTTGAGGCGCTGCAGAAAGAGCGGCAGATTTTGAGCAAGATACCGCCCAAGAAGATCTCGCACGATTCGCATCGTGGTAAGATCACCTTTAAGATCGGCAGCAAGTTGCGACTCAACAATCGACTAAGCAGTTTGAACGACGATCCTGGTGTGAATTCACAAAATCATCAATTAGCATCGACGGATGTGGCTGGTAATAAAGCAGCGTCGCAGAAAATTGACAAGCCGAAGCAACAATCCCATGATCAGTCGGTGAAGCGCGATCCGAAGGAGACGAGTGATGACGAGTCGCAGGATAAAGATGAAGACAAGAACGTCATAGGCCCATCGAATCTGGCAGTGATATCTACGAGTGGACCATCGATAGTTTTGAATCAGTCAGTTAACATAGAATCATCATTCGTGAGCGAAGAAAATGAAGATACTGCGATGAAGATTACGCCAGGTTCAAAAAAGAGAGAATCGCCGAAAATTGATGAATGCGAGAACAAAGAAAGTTTGAATAACTCGTCGGACGAGGAAGCCACAAAGAAAGAAGACGAGAAATTGGAACGCGTCGCTGTCGATACGTTGTCCACCGACAACATATATGTCGAAGACAACGAACAAGAAGCATCGCCAATTCTTGAATCAGTGGTGAAAAATAAGAATGTCGCCATCGCGGAGAACGCGACAGTATCATCTTCTTCGTCGTCGTCATCATCGTCGTCATCATCATCCTCGTCGTCGTCATCGTCTCCGAGAAAACCGGACAACAGTGAACTGGGTATAGAACATGGCTCTGAGAACTTGGAGGCCGATGATGGTAACACAAACAAAGTCGTTTCGAGCGGCGGTGGGTCACGAAGCGAAACGAACGTGCGTGAGGACTCGCGGGAGTCAAACAGCGACGATTATGACAAACTGCTGAGTGACAAACCTGACAATAAGGCGGGTCACGACAAATACGATGAGGATAGAGTGCTGAGTGACGAGGATCCGAGCGCTTTATTGGATCAGCAGCACGAGAAAGCGAGCTCAAGTTACTCGGTGGACGATGAGCTGGAGGAGCAGTTCCCGATAGAGAAGGATAAACTAGCGGATATACCGACGCCGATTACCGCTTGCCCAATTGACAACAACTGGGAGTCGGACGGGGCTTACACACCTTGTAAAGACGAATTGCCCGTGAAGGATGAAGATAGAATGCGACATGCGGCGTCGTCGTTCGAGGACGGCGGTCTAGAACCAATCACACCAACGAAGGACAAAGCTAATGACGACTTGGATGATTGCAGAACACCGCCGGCGAGTTATGCCGGTTTGGGCACCGAAGACATCTCCGAGACTGACGAGGCGATCAACTTCGAGGAGGAGCTGTTGAACATTGCTTTGTTACGTAAAGAGAAAGATATGGAGGATGGCGAGATACCGGATGAGAATAAACTGTTGGCAAAAGAACAACGCGGAAAGTCGCGGGAAAAAGAGGACGATAGCAAGAGGAAAAAAAAGAAAGACAAGAAGGAGAAGAGCAAGGAGAACACAGAGAAGAACAAGGAGAATATCTCATCGGACAATTTGGTTTCATGGAAGAAAATCTCAAAGAGCACAAAAGAGAGGCAATATCGAGACAAGGACAAGAGATCCAAGTCGCGAGAGAAGGAGCGAGAGAAGGACAAAGATAAGTCTTCTAAGAAGAAGGTCAAGGAGGTAAGCAAGAAAAAAGAGAAACGGAAAGAACTGCCGCGGTATGACGTAAGGAAGATCGTAGCCGAGAAACCACGACCGAGGAAGGATGAGTACGGCAGAGACATCAGAGAGAAGTCACGTAGTAGATCGAGGAGCCGCTCGTCTGGCAAAGTCTCGGGTACGAAGGATCGCAGGAGTCGGTCGTATTCAAAGGGACGAACCAGAAGCAGATCTCGTCTGCGAATATCTTGGTCGAGAGATCGCCGATCGTATTCGAAATCGTGTCGGTCGATCTCGCGCAGACGTTCGTCCTCCCGCAACAAGCGCAAGTCGTCGCGCAGAAGATCCGTATCACGCAGACGTTCCTTATCCAGACGACACTCAGTGTCGCGTAGAAGATCGCGTTCGTTGTCGCGCAAGCGAAGGTCCTCGCTGTCGCCCAGACGACGATCCAGGCGGTCGCTGTCGCGATCGCGCGACAAGAGAAAAGACAAGACGAAGAAGTACAAGTCGCGCAGTCGCTCGAGAAACCGCAAGCGATCACGCAGCAAATCGCCAAAGAGGACGTCGTCGAAGTCGCGCGAGAAGAAGCACAATAAGAGAAAGCCGCACAGCAGATCGCGCTCAAAAGCCGGCAGGTCGTGCTCGCGCGATCGAGACAATCGCAACGCGAGGAACTGGGAGCCGCTGAACATAGAGAAGAGCGTAGAGCAACACGCCCCCGTGGAGCAGCGCGAATTCCCGCGCGAACGAGACGCGCGTTCCTGGAGCGCACAATGGACACCATCCTGGTCGCGCTCGCGGTCGAAGACTCCGCCGCATATGCAGCAGGAGCCGATCGGCTCGCGCAACTGGTCGCCACCGCCGGTATTGGACAGCGTGTCGCCGAAGAACTTAACCGTCATATTGACGAACAAGGAGGCGATCAAGAAAAAGAAGAAGGAACGCAGGAAAGAGAGCCGGAAGTCCAAGACGGAGACTGAGAAACGCCGGAAGGGTAAGCGAAACAGAACACCGCCACCTTCGAAGGAGGTCTTCGCCAGCGGTGACAACATTCTGGTGAGCGTGTGCTTCAATAAGGACAACGAGATGAATCCGACAAACATACCGGAACTGCCGGAAACTATACCATGTGCGCCGCCAATAAAGCGTCGACGAAGGGATTCTGTGCAAACGGAATCGCCGCCGCCGCCGCCGCCTGTCAAGCGCTCGAAGAAGGAAAAGACTAAGGACAAGCGATCCAAGTCACCGAAAGTGAAGAAGGATAAAAAGAAGAAGTCCAAGGCAGCGGAGATCGCGGCGACGAAGAAGCCTGTGGCCGTAATCGATTTGGACCAGTCACCGTTCCGGGAACAGACTCCGTCGCCGCGTGACGTGATCGTTCTGAGTGACGACGACGACAAGCAAGCACAGGAGGCTGCTACACCAGAACAGTGTCCTCCTTCGCAGGTGACATCGCCACCACGCGAGCAATTCGTCTCGCAGGGACCTAAAACACCGCCCGAGCCGCAGATCAAGTTCTCCATAAACAAGCAACCGAGCAATTTGCGACCGTCTCTGATAAATCCGTTGCTGGAGGAAGAAGAAGAAGAGGAAGAAATGGAGGAAGAAGAGATGATGGACGAGCGAGCCGAAGAGGAATTGGAGATACGCGCGCAGGAAGAACTCGAACTGCGTCTCAAGATCGGCCCCAACACACCTCCGGAACCGCCGACTTCACCGTTGAGCTCATCGGATGTTTACGATCCCTTTGATCCGACCAAGTCCCGTTCACCGACGCCGGATGCCAGTCAAGAGGCTACGCCGAATGATGAGCGTGATCATGCGCAGCGCAACTCACCCAGGAAACACGACACAGCGGACACTCCATTGCCGGACGAGCCGAGCCAGCAGCAGGATCAGCCCGCTCAGGAAAAACCGCCAGAGAAGCCAAAGATAATATCCGTGGTAACTATTAAGAGGGCTTCCCCGCAGAGGGACACCACGTCTCCCGCGCCGGAAAATCAAACCGACATAGCTCAGTCGGGTAGCAGTCCCAAGACTCAACAGAATCAACAGAACGTGCAATCAACCGCCAATCCGTTCGCCACTATCAATCCCGTGCTGGCAACTGTGGCGGCAGCGGTGCAGAGAAGTACTGTCTTCAACCCCAGCACTCCTAACACTACACAAAGGACGTTGCTGCAGGTATGTGCATTATTAAAGAAGCCATGTCGGCAATCTAGTAAACACCAATTAACAATAACATTGATATTATAATTTTCTACTCAACAATAAATTATTATATTACGCTCGCTTTATATTGCATTTACATTATTAACCACATTATTAATATTAATTTAACCCTTTAGCTACGGTGAAGCTGGCCGTAGCGCTGTATCGCCAGTACAGATTTCTCTGCCGTGATGTGCATGTAAACGAAAATGCACACAACTTTTAAAACCACGAAAACAAGTGAGATAATGGCTTGGAAATTACTAAGAAATGATTTGGCGGAAAGCCACTTTAGTGGAGCGTAGTAGCTAGAGAGTTAAACTAATATTAAATTAAATTATATTAATCTTTAATGGCCCTACATGGGTATTTTGAGTCCAAATGGTTTCTATTCATAGAAATTTCTCAGCACGTTGAAGAGTATCGGATTTTTTTTCCCTCCTAAAAAATGCACGATAAAGTACAGGTATTTGTTCTAAAAACTTGAAATATCCGTGAATTTTTATAAATTTTTCGAACCACTTTAAAGATATGATAAAAGAGCCGGAGTCGAAAGATCCATGTAGGGCCACGTATGGTGCCGTTTTTCACATAAGCCACTAAGGGTTAAATAATTTACATTATTTAAAAAATTATAACAATGATGTTATATTACTGATAGTTAATGTTTATTGGGCAATTTCAGTTATTTTATTTATTATGTTTTAATAATTCATTTTTTTTTCTTTGAACTCCCGGGAAAAAATGACTATATACGAATTTTGTCTTAACACGACACAATCATGTGTAATTTTATATAATTATATATAATTTTTTTCCTGGGCTTTATTCATTTACGATTTATACATCCGATATGTGTACAGCGTCTGTTCGATAGACTCTTCTTCCGAAGCTGCGTTTCGGGGAGACGCTATTTGGCGTTAAATGTGTTCTGTTCTCATTCAACTTTCAATAAGTAACAAGAACATAACATGTTTTTAACGCCAAATAGTGTCTCGCCGAACATAGCTTTAATTTAAGGGTGATTAGCATCTTGAAATCTGATCTCTTTACAGTCTAACCGCACTTCGCCCAGCAATCAAATAAAGCAGCGCACAAATGACAGGCCGCAGCTTCCTAACATATTCACGAATTCTACGAAAACCACGATGGCGAGATCTTCCAAGTCCGCTCAGGGTAAAACCAGCTCGACGATCGGACAAAATGGGAGCGACGCGGCTGCGGATATGACGAGCGACAACGTCGACATGTCGTCACCTTATTCACCAGGCTCAACATTGAGCGACGGTCTCTTTGATCCTCCTAGTCCTGTCAATTTCAACAACTCGCCCGTTCTCAACGCACCGCCTGCCGCTACTAAGACTAGCAGCACGCCGAAAGTCAATAAAAGTGCGGAAAAGAAAGATGCGTTCGATGCGCTATTCGGCGGAGTATTGCCGCCTGTTAAGACTGCAACTAAAAATCGGAGCAAAAAGACCAAGGAAAAGACGAAGAAGTGTAAGCGCTTTGAGTGTATTTTAATAAAAACAGTACAAAGCAGTCTAGGACTCATATTAATAATCGTTATTTGAAACTTTTCTCAGGAGAGAAATTCAGATCTGAATTTAAAGTTACTTAAGTTTGTTATTTGAATCATATAATATATGCGACATCGCACTTGCAATCGCGCTTTAGCTCACATCTAATTCTAAATTCAAGTCTGAGTATTTCACCTAAGAAAAGTTCCAAGTGATGACTATTAATAAAAGATTTATAGTGCAGCGATCATTCAGCTACTCTTTAACAATATTTTCTTCATACCAGCGAGCAATCGACGATTATATTAAGTAATGTAAATTACTTATTTTATAGCTACCAATCCTAAGGTTGGCGTACGTATGGACGAAAACCAACTTCAAATCCTGGACGATCTTCCGAGTTCTGCCGTAGAAATGCAAGTTAAAGATAAGGTACGCCGATTGCATCGAGACACCTCTTTTTACTTTGAGAGATGCGTGTATTTTTTAATGCAAAAAATCTCTTTTTGCAGTTCCTCAAGAAGCTAAATCGACAAGAGAGAGTCGTGGAGGAAGTCAAATTAGTTCTCAAACCCCATTACACCAAAAAGCACGTTACGAAAGAGGAATACAAGGATATCATGCGCAAAGCTGTACCTAAGGTGAAAACGTTAAATCAGTCATGTATTTCTAGTATTGTAGGACCAGATATATGTAACGTGACGCGATAGATTCACAGTCACGATTATATTTCAGATATGCCATAATAAGACAGGCGAAATCAATCCTAAGAAGATAGCGCATCTTATAGAAGCGTATGTGAGAAAGTGTCGAAACAACAAGAAGAAGACTTCTTCCGCTAAAATATCGAAACCTCCGTAAGTGAAGTATGAATGCAACCGCATTATATGGTCTTTTTTACACGATACATTAATGAATCTAGGGTACGTTGAATCGACGATATCGTATGCATTCATGAATGTATAATCAATTCTCCCCTCTGACTTTTCGTGCCATTGTACTTAATGAAACTTGCAGGAAAACTCTATGGAGTTGATCACGTGTCGGCAATTCTAGCGCATTAGAAATTTCTTCGACGTTAGGCCTCTCCTTAGACGGCATGTAAAACACATTCTATCTTCTGGATGGTAAGTGAATGAAGCGTTTCTACCGCATACACATCTCCATCGATAGCACCGAAAAAATGTGTATTGTGTGTATATATACATAATTCATTAATTGTATAAGCATATAATATTTTTTATTTATCTAAATAATTGTTTACAATATAAGATACACATAATTAAGGGTCGTAAGTGATTGATATTATCCAGAAGTTTTAATATCTACATAACATGTACACGCATGCACGAAGGCGCTCAACGATGTACGGCCTCGGCTCCGTTGTTGCGCGTAAAGTACACGGGCGTACATTATTGCGGTGCCTCCTAAAACATGGACTTGGGTTTGGATCGTGATCAGCCCGACTTTGCGACGTATTTAGAAAATATAATATTGTACGATAAGATATTAGAGTGTGCGGTCACGTAGTTGAGGTAAAGGAAAAACGGATGAGAGGACGCTCCAGCAATTCGAGCTACTTACGGAAGAGAATATATAGGTCGCTGGCAACTTGCGTTGTAAAATTAATAGATTTTAATCTTATTGTTATATATACATAAGCGAAAGTGGCCTCCACGTGAAAATCATTTTTCATACGACTTTCATTTTCATCAGGATAGGATATGCGAAAACTTCTTTTACTAGACATATTTCGTAAAAACAAAACAAACGAGTGGTTTTTTGAATCGCAATGCACACAGGTTTTCTAATAATCGTTAACAAATTCAGATATTGTAAATAAAATAAAACATGTAAAAAATTCCCACATTTTGTGCGCGCCGTGAAATTGGTTTAATTGTTGCGTTATATACGCTTTTACCTTAGATTTACGTCTATAGATCCGATATACCGCCATTCGTTAAAGAGCAAGTGTCGAGAGATATTTTCATTACGTTTCAGCACTCGATTACAAAAAATCGACATTTTGTTTATATGATCTGTTCCATTTATACGTTTTGCAAAAGACAAATCGTTCATCGTTTTGTGAATCCCACAGCCCGTATTCACGTCTTGCGTTTTAACACAAAATGCGACCGTATGATTCTTAAAAAATATTTAACATAAATATTTAACTTGATCTTAATATTAAGTTAACGATATACGTGTGGAATTAGACGGCCGTGTTAATTAAGAAGGATACGCAAGACGTGAACTTGCGTACTTGCTACTTGTAAGAGAATAAGAGAATGTGACGTATCATGGGAACAGGGAATCTCGCTTTTTAAAAAGCATTTGATGTACCAAATTGAGAAATGTATAACGCGTTAAAATACAGAGATGTAATCGTGATCGTGAATTACACTAGTAGTAATGAAACAATAAATAATGCTATATAATACAGTTACAACTTTTGCATACCATAAAAGAATGTTGACGCAACACAGTATGTCCGTTTTATACGTTAACACAGGTATCTTTTCAACGAGCTCGAATATCAATTAATGCCAAAACAATATGAATTCTCTCATCCAAAGTATTGTTTTATATTGTTAACGGTCAAAGAGAAATAACTGCTCTTAACGGGGCAGAAACGGGTACACTGTGGTAATATTAATTTTTTAGAGTATCATTGTTACATAAATATTTAAACGCTGCAATACGAAATTCTGTTAGATATTTTACAAATCAGATTATATGCTCACAATCATATATGAGATACACTATATGGATAGGTTTTGTACTTTTTATGTGTAATAACAGGAGTTATATATCCGTTTTGAAACATGAAATAAACACTTGTGCGTTGAACAGAAAAATAAATAAATTAATTTATATGTAATAAAGCATAAACATACTGTCTGCTGAAATGTTGAAAGAATGACATATGACGGCTCGTATCATAGAATGTTCAGTAATAATGTTAAAAAACCATGTCCTTCGACATGTTCGAAAAGGTCATTAGTTCTTGTGTGCATGAATCCTCTTTTGTACTACACAGTAATGTACATAAACAAACGAAGAATAAAGAGTTTAATATTATCGAATTTGTTTGTTTAATTTATAGCGAAATTATAACAATTTATAGCGCAATTTAAAGCAAATTAATCTTATCCGATAATTTGATGTTTAATGTTTTCTCCTCAGAGAAAGTATGAAATTGTTTTCTATTGAAATCGCACAGGAACTGCCAGTGCTTTTAAACTTTGAATTTAGAACCCGTAAATTATATATATATATATATATACACACACACACACGCGCACGCACACACACATATATACATATATATATTATATATATATATACATATATACATATATATATATACATATATATATATACATATATATATATATACATATATATATATATATATATATAATTATATAAAAAGTATTACTTCTCTCGATAATGTAAACATATATTTTGGAAAATAGAGTTTACTTATTTTTTTCTCCTTACAAATCGAATTGTACGCTGATTCATTTACACATTTAGTTTTTTTGTACAGGGCGAGTTTTTTAATTCATCGATGGATACATCGATGAATTAAAAAACTCGACCATAATGTATATAATAAAAAATGTAGTTGGTGTAAATCACCTTTTTTATATTTGTAATGAACAAAAATTATGTTGTGTTAATTACTACATTTGTTTTGTCTTCTTCTAATATATTTGTGAAAATTTGTGCGGCTCTTACGTTCCTACCGCGATTTCAAACAATCGCAGTTAAGAGGACCAAGCGTGAATAAATATGGAAGCTTGTACGTTCGTAACGATCACGTTTCATTTATGTAAAGGAGGAACAAAGTAACATATATATAATTATGTTAAATATATTGTCACAGCGAATATCAAATCTAGTTCGTTATAAAATTATTAGTGTAAAAAATATTAAGGTAAAACAATACAGATGCAACTTTTATAAAGATATCAGTCCTAAAGTAGGGTTATGTTGGATGTAAACTTGATTTTTAACAAAACATTTTTGTTTTCATAACAACGCAAGTATAAGCACATGTGAAATAATGTGTAAGTTTTTTCTATTGTTCCTAGGTACGCAGACAAGTGAGATATAAGTCCACGTATGAAAGTTGGAAAAAGAATAGAATGGCTAACGAACCGTTACCATCGTCAAGAGCAGACCCTGTTATAGCGAAGCTGGATAGCCCGGAATTTCTTTCTGTGTTTACTCCAGAACTAAGGACTCTCGTTGACTTGTTTAAAAAGTATAATTATGAGTTGAGGATTGCCGGCGGCGCCGTGCGTGACATTTTAATGAACAAACATCCAACGGACCTTGACTTCGCAACCAATGCAACGCCAAATCAAATGAAGGAAATATTCGAGAACGAGAATATCAGAATGTTAAATGTGAAAGGCGAAAAACACGGTACAATAACCGTGAGAATAAACGACAAAGACAATTTCGAAGTAACCACTTTGAGGATCGACAATGTAACAGATGGACGGCATGCAGAAGTGGAATTTACAAAGGACTGGAAGTTGGATGCATGCAGGAGAGATCTGACTATTAATTCCATGTTTCTCGACTTCGATGGCAAATTATATGACTATTTCTATGGCTATGATGATCTGAAGAATAAAAGAATAGTTTTTGTGGGCAACGTTAATTGTAGGATATGTGAAGATTATCTTCGAATTCTCAGGTATGTTATGTATATTAATTCTAGAACCCCCTAAATATATGTCTTCCTAAATATACTCAAAATATTGTTTTATGGATCCAAATAGAATTCTAAAAATGTCACATTAAAAATTTTTCACTGTCACTATTCAGATACAAAAATTGTTTTTTATATCTGCTAGAAAATGGTAGTGCATAGAATTTACAGCAATAGCAGTAGCAATATTTACAAGCAAATAGATAAGTATGAGGATTATACATTCATTTATCTCTTGTTGCTAATCTTTCTCTAATCTAACTTTTTTTAGTCTACCACAGTCAATTTTTATAAGTGTGACTGGCTTTAATCTGCTTGGGTACCAAATAGTTCAGATAGAAACTCTGTCTTTATCATCTATATTAATTAAATACAAAACATATGCAATATCACAGTGTTTGCTAGTTATTTATCTATTTTGATTAATTTCTTGTATCTATCTAGATCTATTTAGAATTTTTGCTATGACTATAAAGTCATTCTTTGAGAATAAGTAAAATTTACCTAGACCAACTTATCAAACATTGTCATTCTTAAAAATATGTTTTGTTTTTTATCATAAGTTTTTTTACTTTATCGAATCACAAAAATTACACTAATCACATTAATAGATTCCTATTCCTCAAAGTTTTCTACAGCTTTAATTAAAAGATAAACAAAAATATTAAATTTTGATCGTTTTTGCAGAAATTGTGAATAAATAAAAATGTGATGAGTAAAATTTACCCATGTTCAAGGTTGCATAACTTTTTGATGTTTAGGGTTCTAGAATTAATAGCAAATGTATGTTGAGTCTTCTTCATGACTATTGACACTCAACCATTATATATAATAATATTTTAGAACATATTTTACACAAACAAAAACATAACACATATAGATCTAATAAATACAGAATGCATATTATGTTGCACTGAATCTTTAAGCGACTTATATATAAATTTATGTTGTTTGACTGTTACAGATACTTTCGTTTTTATGGAAGGATTATGGATAATCCCGATCAGCACGACGAAGCTACGATAAAAGCAATAAAAGAAAATATCGACGGCTTACAGCGAATATCTGGTGAGAGAATTTGGAGCGAATGGAAAAAGATTTTAACGGAAAAATTTGCTCTAGAAATGACGTTGAAAATGCTAGAATGCGGTAGCGGTAAATACATAGGTTTACCCGAGAAACCCGACGTGGATAACTTTCAAATTGTTTGTCGACGCGCATTATCCAACAATGTGGCCTTAAAGCCTATATCTATGATCGTGTCGATGCTGAAAGATCAGCAGGAAGTCATGAACGTGCACAGTCGCTTGAAATTGTCCAATTCTGATCGAGATCTAGCGTTGTTTCTAGTTCAGCACAGAGAATACATTCCTTGCGAGCAACCGTTGAAGCCGTATCAGCAGTTAGTATTTATTTCGCAGACAAACAAGTCAATCGACGTCAATCGCGAATATATAATAGAGATATTGAAATATCAAGGAGCCATAGAACTTTTGGACGAATTTGAAAAATGGGTAATTCCGAAATTTCCCATCAAAGGCATCATGCTGAGAAATCATGTGCCACATCCGAAAGTAACTAGCGTTGTCCTACGTGAATTGAAGAAGATATGGGTGAATGATAACTTTAAGAGTACTAGTGACCAACTTATGGAATATGTACCATGTATAATTAATGAATTAAACAATAAAATGGCACTATAATTTAAAAAATGCCGAAGTTATTTTTACAGACCTTCTTGCATCTTTCGGTGATTGAAGGTATATTACAAGACCAAATAGGTCATATATTGTAATTTCCCATTTTTTGATGAAAGTTATTTCCAGTGAACGGATTGAGCAAAATTATATAGAAAGATGTACATTGATATACAACAAGATACTATTATCCAGTATATATCTAAATTCAATTGAAGAAAAATTAAAAGACAAACGTGTCATGTATATTAGGCACTCAAAAATTTATTAAGAAATAAAATCTTGCATTTCGTGAATACAAATTTTATAAGATGTGCTATACAACGTTGTAGCGGTTGTACGAAACAAAATCTCGTAAACCTAACTTACACGACATGAGGCTACGATGCTCGTTTTATATTCGCGTAACGAAAATCGCTAATAACAAATATCAGAAGACGAGGCTATTATACCGTGTGTTACTATAATATCGTACATCGCAGAGAGTCAATTGTTCAATTGTAAAACGAGGTAAAAATAACAATATTCGCACGTTATAAATTTGTTTTTAGAAAAAGTTCTCTTTGCATCTTGGCGCTTACACGCTTGACGGAAGCACGCTGAGCGCGCGATCGCATTGTCTTGTAATGTATGTGTGTGAAAAAAAAGTAAGAAAAAGAAGAGAATAACGATTTTACGAAACGCGTAACATTTGAAACGAACAGTTGCAAAAATGCAGTCGCAGCTTCACGCTAGCAACGAACGTAATTTATCACTTGGCTCATCATACAATCATTTTGACTTGCATAAAAATAACCACTTATATGTATATTTTGGCTATTTTAAATTACACGATAGATCTTGGAATTGTCCCTAAACACTCAGATCTTTACAGACGCATACGTATTTCTACTGCATTAAATGCAATATATATGTATACATATACACATATATATGTATATGTATCGTTATGTATATATATAAATACAATCATACAACAGCTATTTAATTATCGATACTCATCTTGATACGCACTTTTATTCCTTTACACTTCTGCAATAGACACTTCGATAGTACTACATTTCGCTGCATATGATTTTATTCCACTTTATATCTTCCCCAATTTTAAATTTGACATAAAATCGACAGCACAATCGCACTATCTCTTTTTCAGGTAAAGATCGAGACTTTTAACTGTGTTTATCATTGCCTTAACCCTTCTTGGTGTTGTCGACGCGAGACGTCATCACATTGTCGCGTCGTGTCATTAATCAACAATGTTATCAACTCTATATACGCAGAAGGGTTAAGATTTATAAAAAATGAAAAATGAATTTTAAGATTGAATATTTACGAAAGTTCAACCTCTTGAATATACGGGTAAACCGTGACAATAAAACAAAATGTAGAATAATACGATTTGTCTAATTTAAAGAAAATATTTTTCATTATAATAATCCTGCATTTCCAAAGGGATGATTTTTTTAAGCAATTAGAGTACATATAATGATTATTATTGCACCTCATGTAATACTTTATACACAAACCATGTTCTTCTCAAATTACCAGGATATCTTATTATTGAAAGTTAGTAGATATTTTTTTTTTGAGAGAATTATACGAATTAGACGTGCCGAAACCTCAAGCAAAAGGTATACACGTAAATTTCTATATAAGAATTTTAGTGATATTTTTACATGAACATAAATCAAAGTATCTATTATACTCAACAGCTCGCTTCATATACACATATGCCTAGAATGTATAATTCTCTCAAATTAATCGCTAAACTACTAAATTACTAGATGTCTCTAACGATGTTCACGTTTGCTTAATACAACGTACAACATAGAATTATTTAAATAAACAAATACTTAATCCCGCAACTTAAAATTATATCGTAAGTACGCGTATAATAGTTTTCTTATTTCGAACAAAAGATGACTTCACACTTCAATATGTCAAATCACAATTGCTGTACAATCGACTCCGATGTATGTTGCTGAAACATTTTTTTGAAATTAATGAACTATAAAAATCGTCGCGTATATGTATGTATGTATATGTGTGTATGTGTGCATATATATATGTATATATATACATATATCTCTCTCTCGGATAATCTCATAATTAAAATTCAACGTTTAGCAATACATCTATCTTGCGCAAATGTAATATAAATAAAAATATTTAAATAATCTTTTAATAATTGTACAGCATCTTCCTGAGATTACATACCAAATAAATAATTATTGGTAAAAGAATATAATTTGACAAGAAATGTGAAAAAAATCAATGAAAACATAAGCTTTATTTGTAATGTGTTAATCGATAAATTGATTCTTTTTATACCACTGATTGGACATACACATTGATGGCATTTATGGACGAAAGTTTTGTAGCACGACTTAAACGTGAAAGTTTAAGATACACTGCAATAGTCAACATCGCAGACAATTTATACATAAATCCTACGAGATTTTTATCGCACGGATGTCACACAACTTCTATATGCGAATCTGTGTATTTATATGAATATTGGTAAAAAAAAAATAAACTTTGGTTTGCTATTTTATTACTGTTCGGTGTAAAGTATACGTTAGTAATGCTACTACACTATCTCGCAAACGAAATACAAGTGACTTAAGTACTAAGAAAAAGAAAAAAACTTAAGTATTGTCTCACTCTTTAATATCAACACATACGTTGATTTACGCGAAATTTACTCATCTCAAGCTTATACTTTGTGTACTCGTTTAATACTAACCTCATGACAATGCAACGCATCGTGTTACCGTAATAGTTAAATCGCGTTTACTATGAACACGTTACAACGTTAAAATATACATAGCCTGTGCACGTACTAGTTCTTACTTATTATGGAGCTGCTATAAGTTACTCATTACAAGATATCATATTTACTTCATGGTCATTATATATATATATATATATATATA